TGTTGTTGGGGACACGTTAAATCTAGTTCCTACGCTTAACAAAGTATCCTGTGTAGCCATATACCACAAGAATATTAAAATATGGCCGTATAAACTCACTGGATGATGTCCACCTGTATACGGTTTTGTTAATATCTTTTTTTCATCGCTTTTTCATCATTTCTGCTAAATCAATAAATATTTTCTTTGACATGCGGAAAAGTTTAGAGAATTGAAAGTTATCCTAGCTACAAAGCCATGGTTCCATCAGTAAAAAAATGTTTCTGAAAAAAAACATTCCTCCCATTAATATTATGAAAGTTTTCTTTTTTTCAACTTTTCATACCCCGTTGTAGACGAAAAAGTACCGATTATTAAGTGATAATAAAAATAATCAGAAATTATATACGCGCTTTTCTAAAATAAACAACTTGCCACAAACCGCGGATAAAACCAACGCGTTCAAGCGATTCGAGTAACTGACGTCATCATCCCGTGTGTCATCTATCGGATCACAGGTATATACTGTTTAAGACTGATGGAGAGATTCCGGATAAATATGCTCGGAATCCTAGGCATACTAGATGGGGGTCCTTTAGGGCAGACATTGACAGTAAGCTCGGAGCGGTCCCATGCAGACTTTGTAGGGGCTCTGACATAGAAGCAGCTGTCGAGTCTCTGAGCAGGGACTTGACGGCTTCGTATGAGGAAAACTGCCCGTTACGCAAAGTTCAAGGTAAGGGCAAGGCAACCTTCTGGACCAAAGTATTAGAGGATAGAAAACGAGCGGTGCACAAACTTCTTAGCATAGTTAAGCACAGGAGAAGTTCTCATCTATGGGAAGACTACAAAAAGGCATTGCAGGAGTATAAAAAGGAGATTAGAAAGGCCTCCAGAGAATCCAGGAGGTAGTTCTGTCAGTCCATAAACGACATTCCTGCTACTGCGAGAATACACCGGGTCCTATGCAAAGACATTAAAGCAAGATTGGGATCTCTGTATGATCCCTCGGGGAGGAATACTACTTCTGAGGAAGGTACTCTGAGGCTTCCGATGGATACGCACTTTCCCGGTTCCACAGTAGCGCGATCAATCACAGAGTGCGTGCAGGGGAGGACTGGCGCACGGCTAGGGAGATTGTCACCTTCGAAAGGACAATATGGGCAGTAGATTCGTTTGCTCCATACAAAAGTCCAGGTCTGGACGGCGCATTTCCGGCCATGTTACAGCAGGGACGGAGTTCGGTTGTTCCTTACCTGTTGAATGTGTTTCGAGCATGTGTGGCCGCGGGCTTCACACCTAGCAGCTGGCGGCGGGCTAAAGTGGTATTCATTCCTAAACCGGGCAGCAGAGCTAGATATACTGGCCCGAAGGATTTTCGTCCGATTACTCTTTCATCTTTTGTGCTTAATACACTGGAAATGATAGTTGATAGATACTTAAGGGATGGCCCGCTGGAAAGGTGTGTCATTCATTCATATCAGTTTGCGTACCAAGCTTGAAAATCGACTGATCTGGCCTTACACAATCTGGTAGGTAGGCTGGAGAAGACTCTAGATCAGCGAGAAGTGGCACTCGTGGCCTTTTTGGACATTGAAGGTGCATTTAATTGCACCACAACCGACTTGCCTTGGTTAGACACGGGGTTGGATCAATCCTAATAGATTGGGTCCTATCTACTCTGGAGTAGCAACAGCTATGCTGAATGACGTAAGGTGCAGCGTGAGCGTAGCTAGATTCTGCCCTCAGGGCGGAGTTCTGTCACCCCTACTGTGGTGTATCGTGGTGAACGAACTCCTCGTTAGGCTCAGCAGTATGGGTGTCTACGTGCAAGCCTATGCTGATGACGTAAGCATAGTAGTTAGGGGGCGTTTTTGTAGAACAGTCTCGGAAATTATGCAGGGCGCTCTGCGCTCTGTGGAATCGTGGTGTAGGGAAGTCGATCTTTCTGTTAATGCTGAAAAGACCGAGCTGATCCTATTCAGTAGGAGAAGAAGGCTTGACGGGCTGGTCATGCCGACCGTCTTTGGGACTAGATTAATTTTGTCCCAGTCCAATGTTAGCAAGGTTCGCAATTCGATGTGGGCCTGTAGACGTGTTGTCGGTGTAAGGTGGGGGCTTAAACCCAAAGTGGTATACTGGCTCTACACGACGATAGTACGTCCATCTCTCTTGTACGGCTCCCTGGTCTGGTGGCCTTGCATTAGAACTGAGACAACTAAGGCCAAACTCAATAAAATTTAGCGTTTGGTCTGTATTAGTATTACAAGCGTAGTGCGAACAATGCCCTTGAGTGCAATGGAAGCTCTGTTGGATCTCCCACCGTTGGATATGGTGTTCCGCGGTGAAGCGAGAGTAGTCGCTCATCGACTGTGGAGTCAGGGCAGCTGGGCTTTCTTGAATCCTATCAAGGGGCATACTGCCATCTTAGTCGAATTGCAAAGGGAGGACCCCGTCCTTCTAAGCAGCTAAGCAGGGGTGATCGTATTACCCCTAAATATCGCTTCAACCGGTAGTGAGCGGGCAGGTCTGGTACACGGACGGCTCGGTCACCGAAGAGGGCTCAGGTGCTGGGGTCTCTGGGCCTAGAACTAGGCTATATCTCTGCCTCTCGGTGGATACACCACTATATTCCAGGCGTAAATCTTTGCGATTCTGGCTTGTGTATCTCACATTCTGGAGGAGGGTGGGCCTAGGAGAAGAATAACAATCTTATCCGACAGCCAGGCTGCAATGAAAGCACTAAGTGCCTGCAAGATTACTTCGAGTCTTGTATTGCAATGCAAGGAGGCTCTGGATTGCCTCGCAGCGAGGCATCCGGTATCGTTAAAATGGGTACCGGGGCACGCTGGGATAAGGGGCAATGAGACGGCGGACACTCTGGCGAAGACAGGATCAGCCAGCAAGCTCGTTGGTCCTGAGCCAGCTCGAGGAGTGACCGCGCAGAAAGCTAGGAGGAAAATGGAGACGTGAGTTGCAAGACAACACTCTCAGAAATGGAGAAGTATCTCCAGACATCTCCGCCAGGCACGGGAACTCATTTAAGGGCCCAGTGCTAAAGATGGACGCTGCTGCCTATCTCTGGATAGAGCCAACCTAAGGTTGCTGGTGGGACTGTTCTCTGGCCATAACACGTTAAGGCGTCGTCTGCATGTGATGGGGTGGCTGAGGATCCCTTGTGTGAATGCTGCGGGGTAGAGGAAGAGACCTCGGCGCACGTTTTGTGTCGCTGTGAAGCTCTGAGCTACTATAGGCAGACTATACTGGGGTCCATTACTTTGGACCCTTAGGACGTCAAGGAGCTTGGACTAAAGGCGATTCTCAACTCCGCTAAAAGGGCGAGGATTGTGATCTAAGGATTGTAGAGGTGCATAAGGGCCCGCTTAAGCGGCCTATGCACTGGCTCCTTATGGTGGCCGGAATGCCTCTAATTTCAAGATTCATTCATTCATTCATTCAACGTTGGAAGTATCGTGTGGGACTCGCATTAGACGTTCAATAACTCCCTAAATGTCAATTCACGATCAGCCGTGACGTGACAGTGCTGTGACGTGCCAGTGATTCTCGCTGACGTGAGATCACAGTGTTTTCAATTCACACCAGTCAGTATTTTTCTCCATGCTCTGAAAGTGCAGTTGTGTTTACATGAGGTCGAGATGGCAAAATTTTCAGAGGATGAATTTGCATACATACTCCAACTACCACGAAAGCCTAAACACCCATGGGTACCGTGGTGCTATAGAGGGAAACACAGGGGAAAGGGAAAACGCCACAACACTATCAGTCAGAGACCGTCTACCACCTACGAAAGAAAGAAGAAGAAAACGGAAGTTCTTGTATTTTGAATTTGACTGGTTCTACAGCACGGGATGTACGCGTACAAACTCAATTAGTTTTTCATCATTCATGTTTTTGACCAATTATATCAAAATATTCACGAAATTACATAAAAATACGGAAATGAAAATCGAAAAATATCGTTCCACAACAATGCGATGATCACGGTACGGCCTACGGCGTCGACTAGGGTCTAGGGCACTGTGAACACGGCCACCCTCACGTGCCGGTCTAGTGTGAATCAGTTCATCCAAATTCCAGGAAGAATGTTTTTAGTTTCGCCGGGCGGATCACGTGCCGGTCACAGCACTGTCACGTCACGGCTGAGTATGAATAGGCCTTTTGTCATTTGATAGACACCGTAAACATAACCTCAACCGGTAGTATTTTGATGGGAAAACTTTGAATACTGATGCTAAAAAGAATAATAATTGATGTTCGTAGTCATCTTTCGACAGAATTATCGTCTTATAGCATGTCTTCTAAAGGAAAAAGTAAATCTAAATCCATAAAAAAGGATGAAAGTGCGCCAAAACCAAAGGTGTGCGTGTGTTTATAATAGATATACGTGATATGACGGGTAAACATTTATTTATATTACTAATTATACTGTTCTAGGAAGAAAACAATGTCATATCGTTAGACAAGTCAAATAATATTATTGTTCAAATATTAGCCAAGCCTGGTGCAAAGCAAAATGGAATCAAATCACTGGTGACATGCGGAAAAATTTAGAGAATTGAAAGTTATCATAGCTACAAAGCCATGGTTCCATCATTAAAAAAAAATCTGAAAAAAACATTTCTCCCATGAATATTATGAAAGGTTTCTTATTTAAACTTTCCATATACAGTTGTAGACGAAAAAGCACCGATTATTACGTGATAATAAAAATAATCAGAGATTATATACGCGCTTTTCTAAAATAAACAACTTGCAACAAAACCGCGGTTAAAACCAACGCGTTCAAGCGATTCGTGTAACTGACGTCATCAACCCGTGTGTCATCTTGAACCATTTTATAACCGCGGCACATAACACAGAAATTTTGGTTATTCGCTTGGATTTGATTATAGCTTCCGTAGTTGGCTGTTGAGATGAACGCACCCTTTTTGTCTAATCATTTGAGAATAAGCTAAAGGAACAAACCCCTTGACAGTGACATCTGTCAATGTCATGATTACGTAAAAGTATAGAGTTGTAGGTTATGTTATGATTTTCATTCAAGTTTTCATGCCGATTTTCAAATAGTTTTCTACAAGATTAATTAGTATCTTCCGTATTGTTTTATCATGTGCTTGATGAGTTAACACAGACTTACACTAAACATTCATCATGAGACTACTTGGAGCCCTGTACGCTGCAAGAACCCCTGCCAAGGAGCCTGTGCATTTTCAAGCAATTCTACCGCTGAAATTGAAACCCGTCGTCTCAGGTAAAGGTGGCAAGACTTCGGACGTATGTTGCATTTATGAAATGTCCGTGATGTTCAACTGTTTCAAAGACAACGACTTCAATCAGGGTCTGTGCGGCAAAGAGATAGAACAGTTCCAAAACTGTTACACGAATCACTTGAGTACAAAGAGGGTTCGGAAAGAGAAGGAACTGAAGGGCATACTTAATCCAGGAGAGAAGAAAATGTCGGCAAAGCAGATCAATACCCTTCTTGCTAGGCATCCTAATATTGAGTAATGTAGTATCCTTATTAGTTTGTTTTAATAAATAGTTATTTCATTTTCTAATGTTTACGATATTCTGCAGAAAGTATGTAGCAGGTAAATTAGATTTTATCTAGCCCACAGGAGAATATTACTTTGTACTTTCCGCACTAAATAAGCACTATATTTGCATTTTTTTATTTCAAATAATCCAATATAATTCAGTACAAGACAAACATACTTAAAATGTATTCAATATAGCAAAAATTACAACTCCATTTAAAAAATACATTAAAACAGTATTAAAAATAATCACAATAACATTACATCACTAAAAACAAGTATCACACTTCCACAAACGGGTTTGGTTTCTTAGTACTGACTGTGCCATTATCAAAAGTATCTTTGAATTGCACTATGGGGTTCATATATTCGTGTAATCCAGGCTGTAGAATGGTTTTTTCTTCAGCATCGTCATTCATTTCGGCGTCAAACGTTTGGTTGTGGAATCTCATACTGAAAAAAAAGATAAATAATGGATTAAGCTGTATGAGCAGTGGCTGATTTAGGGGGGAGGTGGAGCTCTTTATATATACAGGGTTCTTCAGTTTATTGTTGCATAACTTTAAGATTCAATAGAACTTTTAAAATTAATGCATAAAGTCTATATAAACATGGGTGGGTTGAAAAATGAGTGGCTTCCGAAATACAGGGTGTTTAAATTTACTTTTTATAATAGTTTTTTTTGAATATTTCGAACAATATTTGATGTATAACAGTGAAAATTGGTATACAAGGGTTTTTTGGTCTGACTAAACGAACCATGTGCATAGTTTTACTGTAGCCACTAGAGGGCGCTCTCTACTGTACCTGTAGTGTATTAAAATGACCGAAAATGTTTTCTTAGTGCAATTTTTTGCTTTTTGAATAAAAAACCTGATTCTTCGTACTTTTCTGCATAAAAAAGCTCTCTTGTGAGTTTTCGTTATAGTTAGCCGTTTTTGAGATATTTCGATTCTTAAGGATCCATGCATTTTTAATTATTTATGCGAAAATAATATTTTTTTTACATTTTCGATTTGGGCATTACAAGTAATTAAGATGATCGTTTAGATTGTGTTTTTAAACACAGCAATAATTACTAACTCCAAATAAACACAAAAAAACAGAATATTAATTTGTTTAATTTTCCAATATTATTTTTAACAAATTAAATTAATTATTTACAACTAAAATGCTATTGGATAGTTAGGACAAACATACAAAATCTAAAGTAGTTACTCGAAATGTAAACCCAATTGTTCAATACACAATTCACATCTACAGATGATCGAACGTGGTATAGCATTATCCAAATAAGGCCTTATTTCATCACATGCATTCCTGATTCTGTCTATTAGCATTTCTCTTGTGGTTACGGGAGTCTGGTACACTTTTTCTTTTAGAAATCCCCACACAAAGAAATCTAATGGATTTAGGTCAGGGGATCGTGGAGGCTAGGCGACTGGTCCTCCACAGCCGATCCATCTTTCTGGATAATTTTCGTCCAGCCAGTTTCTAACTATTCTCGAATAATGAGCTGGACAACCATCAAGCTGGAACCAGGCCAATCTTCTTAAATCTAACATTACATCATCCCACATATTTGCATGTTCAGCCTTTAAAAATTCCAAGAAGGTCGCAACATTTAACCTTGCAGGCAAAAGGTAGGGTCCAAATAGTCGATTACGGTAGATACCAATCCACACGTTCACACTAAATTCATGCTGAAAATTTCTTTCCCGAACTGCATGCGGATTTTCATGCGACCAAATATCTTGATTATGAAAATTTACCACTCCACGTCTAGTGAAGCATGACTCATCGGTCCATAAAACGTTACTTAAAAACTCCCTATTATTATCAGTTCTATCAAGAATCCACTGACAAAATGTGATTCTTCGTTCTCCGTCCCTTGGCTGTAGTCCTTGCACAGGTTGCAAATGGTAAGTACGTCTAGGGTCATTTCTAAGAACACGGTGAACATGGCTTGCTGAAATTTCCAAGGCACCAGAAACTCTCCTAACACTTGTGGTCGCAGAATCATACGGGTAAATCTTAACGAACATTTATGTTTTGATCCCTTTGGAGATTTCCAAAACCATTTTCAATTATTTGCGATGCACTCTTACAAATACTGAGCGAGTTGGATGTCGTCAGGTTGGAAATCTTCGTGCCTATTCTCTGGCTGCTTCTGCTGCGTTTCCATTTACAAAGCTATACACAAAATGAATATCCGCTAACTCTTGATTGGAGAATAAAAATGGCATTTTTATAAAACAGATAAAAGAAACTAAATTTCGTGCATTCACAATTGCAAAAAAAACGTTTCAGGTTTCAACAGACAACAAAACTAACTGTCAACTAATTGACGTTTAACCTTATTCTGCTTTCAATTTCAAAAATATTTGCAGGCACAGCCTACTTCTAAAAATTATCGAGATACTGACTTTTTAACGTTATTTTATCATAAATAATTAAAAATGCATCGAACCTTAAAAATCGAAATATCTCAAAAACGGCTAACTATAACGAAAATTCACAAGAGAGCTTTTTTATGTTGAAAAGTGCGAAGAATCAGTTTTTTTTATTCAAAAGGCAAAAAATTGCACTAAGAAAAAATTATCGGTCATTTTAATACACTACAGGTACAGTAGAGAGCGCCCTCTAGTGGCTACAGTAAAACTATGCCCATGGTTCGTTTTGTCGTACCAAAAAACCCTTGTATACCAAGTTTCACTGTTATACATCAAATATTGTTCGAAATATTTAAAAAAACTATTTTAGAAAGTAAATTTAAACACCCTGTATTTCGGAAGCCACGCATTTTTCGACCCATGTTTATATAGACTTTATGCATTAATTTTAAAGGTTCTATCGAATCTTAAAGTTATGCAACAATAAACTGAAACACCCTGTATATATGGACCTGAGTTTTGAGGATGCTGAAGTGCTATACATACGTCTTCAAAGTTGGGTCATAGGTCAGGCAAGAATAAGCAAGTTTTCCTAGTAGCATATATACCAAACCCCTAAGAGAACTGCGATATTAAGTTCCAAAAAACTGTAAGCAGCCTCTACCCATACACAAATTCTTAAATCTGCTGTTAAATGATTGATATTGAATAATTTCACACAGATTTACAAATTGTATACTAGTATTTCGTTTGATACTGGGGGAAGAAATGTATTAAAGGCCAACAATTAATCTATAGATTGATATTAAAAAAGTACTTACATAATATTAGATTGTTCATTATGCTTCTTTTTAAGCACAAATAGCGCAACAGCTGCTATGATGATCAGTGCCAATGGAATCAAAATGGCTGCTGCGAGTGATCCTCCTCCATTGTGCCTAACAGTTCCAGGTTGAAACTTTGACAATGGTTTTGTGTGCACTTTGTAGTTTTGGTTGCCACTCGAACCCTGTTAAGACGTTATATGATGAATATACAAATTAAAATCCCATTTCAGTTCAATCCAATACACAGGGTGCCTGAAAACCCCACGATTATTTGTGAACTAACAATGGTATGAAAAATCTAAGCCCCGCGATTGATAGGAGTTTTCCCTAGGTGACCTTGAATTTGACCTTGACCATGTCCTTTAAGGTTAAGTCAATTTTCTTTATTGAGAGCCCGTAGAACAGTGGAAAATCCTACGTTCAAAAATTCTTAAATTTTCACCTTAGAAGGTCAAGGTCAAACCCAGGTACGGTGAGATAACTTGAAAACCAGCATGGGAAAACTACCAAGACTTTATTTTCATGATTTTTCCCTGGATATCAAATAATGACCTTGGATATGACCTTAAGAATGATGAACTTCAAGGTCAACTCGGTTTTTGTAGATAGGGATCAATCCTGAATGAACAGTGGAGTCAGTTTATCTGGCGATTACGGAGTTTTCTGAATGTTCAAGAAGTTAAGGTAAACTTGGGTTTGACCTTCATGGTCAAGTCCAAGGTCAAGTTCCAAAAAAATAGCCAGAGATATAAATTTTGTCCTTTCCTCCATTTCCGCCGGCTAAAGTATACGGTTCCATAAAAAAAAAGAGTTCACCATTGAATGATCTTGTGATAGCTAAGGTCAGATCCAAGGTCACCTGGGGCAAAATCGTGAAAATAATGTGTTTTTCATGTTAAAATTTCTAAAACAAGTTTCGGTAGTTTCCCCATATGACTACTTGTTTTCAAGTTATATCATTGTAGCTGGATTTGACCTTGTCCATGACCTCATAAGGTCAAATTGAAACACTGTCAAGTACAAATTTTAAATTTTCATTTACGGTGTCAAAAATGGGGGTTCTTTTTAAGAAAATCGACTTGACCTTGAAAGCCATTGTCAACGTCAAATCCAAGGTCACTATTGGATAGATGGGGAAAACTGATGGTTTAATATTTTAAATTTTCTGTGCTGAAGCTTTACCCTCTCCCCCCGAATCTGGTTGAACTTTAAAATTTGCATATTTAGCATCGTTTTTGAGGATTTCTAGGATTTGACCCCCGCTGGGAATGCATGCTACTCCCGATATTAGAAAAGTTTTACACTTTCTCAAAAAAATTTCTCATGCTGGTGATAGAGCGCCCCGCTGAGAAAAATTCTTGCGAACACCAATGAATTTGTAATCACCTGATCTGTGGTCGGGCAGTCTTCATCTTCGGATATCAGGCTTCCATCTGGGCACAAACAAGATTTGCTCTTGGCACCAGACGAGGCGACACATAGATAGTTGCATGTATGGTTTTCGCATGGGTTGGCGACAGGTCTCTGTAGAGAGTCTTGCACTATGACGAATTGGCTGGCTGCCCCAGCGTGCATCTTAAACATGTCACATCTATAAAAGAACATTAGTATTTTTGTTGAATCCAATATACTAATAACTTGCATAACTGTTATTTCTAGGTTGAGCCTTATTTTACTGAAAATATCTTGTATATAATTTAAATATTTAATTTAAATTCAGCTCCACAGTGTAAGAGGTCTTAGGTATTCTATATCTTTAAAGGATTCTATAACAGTTCGTATAGGTTCTATAAAAAGTTCGGAGTATATCCCACAGATGGCGCTACAAACTTAGTGACAAACTTTAGCATTACAGATTCCCTTATAATGTGGATGTACGTACCTATAAGCACCATAGAGGGCGCACTTGACCATTTCCCCAGCAGCTGTCGCATAATAAAGATGGTCCTCGAAAAACTGCAAACCTGCTGCAGATTTGAAGACATCCGTGAAAATAGTGCGCTGTTGAGAGGTCGAGTTGTCACTGCTGTCGTAGGAAACGCGAACTATAGCGCCGCTGTGTCGGTCCAGGAGGTACAATTGACGTTTGTTGTGGTCGAACGTCAGCTCTGTCACGTAGCCTGAATGTAAAAAAAAAGTGCCCAAGAAATATGCGGAGCGTTACTCTGATTTATGTCTACAGAATAACAGCACACAAAAAATTATGTGATCTTTTGAAAAAAGGCAAACAATTCCTATGTTGCTTTAGATTTTCTATGAACAAGACTTGTCGGATGCATATTCCTGAATCTGATGTCGATTTGATGCTAGACTTGCAGGGACTCATCACTTTTTATGGAAACTTATCATTTTTTGTGTTCTGCTTCAATTCGAAAAAAATTTCATCAGCCCCCTCCTCCCAAACCGATAAAAAGTAGGGCTGGAACTGCCTTTGTCTCATTAAGCATCCTGGCATCCCCTACCACAATTCACTATAGTCGAAATCACAAAAGATGACGATTACATCATTTTAGTCTGTAGCAAACAAACGACAGCGATTTGTGAATATATTTAATGAAGTTTCTGATATGTTAGACAGAGACAAACAGAATTTTATTGTCTAAACAAACTGTATTGCTAATTTGCATATATCTGACAAAGATAGACGATGTTTTCATGTTGCATGATCGATCATATTTGAAAGATGAATAGTTAGGTTATGTTAAAGCAGGTTATGTTGTTTTCGAATAAAACTTTGGTCTTTGGTGTTCCTGCCTTAAGGTATTCTACTCATAACTGCTTTTTTTTCAAAACAAAAACTCCCCACTAAAGTTATTATTAAGGTATCACTCAAAACCATGAAATAAAATGAAAATAAAAATAATCAGTGAAATAACCTAACTTCACAAAATCATCATATAAATTTGTTGTCATTATGTTCCTGACATTTTATCATCGACGTACGTCCATTGATTACTTCAGTACATACAGTTAAGGTATGACGTAATAGTCATCTTTCGTGATTTTGACTATATGTTTAAAGTGACTTACCATCATCTACTTTAGCCAACAGCCTTTCATCTGTTCCATCGAGTTTCCTCCTATAAACAGCACACCTAGGCTTTGTGAGCAGTGTTCCCTGCCATCCACAAGCCGCATAGAACAACGCAGGCTCAGCCGAATCTACAGCGATCGCTGCCAAGTGGTGGTAAGACTCAGGTGATGACGTCATCACCACTGCGCATTCCGCGGTGGCCACGTGACAGACGGTGATTCCCCCGGTTGAGCCTTCTGCGAAATATACGTTGTCTGTGGACCAGTCCACTGCGAGTCTCTGGGGTTCACCCACCTGGAAAGAAAGTCGTGCCAACTTATGGCGCTTCTAAACGGACAGTATTATGTCTGGTGGCCCTCAAGGAACTAATTTGGAACCTTTGTTATTTATTGTTTTTGAATGATATATCTGAAGTTATTGATGTTGATTTTCTTATGCACTGAAATTTGTCTGACAGCTTGAGTTCAATGTGTTAGAAAGCGATAGAAGCTGGCAGGATAACGAAGCTCATCACCACGTTGTCTAGCAACGGATTCTGCAACATTGCAAAGTGGGTTCCACGTCTAAGAAAATACGTACAAAAAATGGCGAATATGTAGAAAAATAGCTTAAAGATCAACGTTTCCAATGATGATTTCGTTTTTTCAAATAATTTTTTTTTGTGGCTGATAAAATGTGGAACCTTATTTTTGAGACAACCCTCGTAGCAGGGTGAAGGATTAGCTGACCTAAATGGGTGAAATATTTTTTTGCCATGTACATATTATACAGGGTGTCCGCAAAGTTGGGGTTTTCCTTTTCAGAAACAACTACCCTTGAAATAACAAAGGTAATGTGTAGTGAAACGAGGGCGACCAAGTAAAAAAAATAAAGGAAAAAGTACTCACTCTCCAGTTGACGAGAAGGGCTAAGTACGTCTCTGCCCGAAATCATACCGCTCCAACAGAAAATGAAATCAGCTGATGCGCTACCGAGCAGGCGCAGAAACCACATTGATTGTCTTACACTTAATGGCACATCTTCTAACAAGGAAGGCAAAATGTTGCGTAAAAAGTCTAGGTATTGCATCCCGTCCAATCGATTTGGGAGAATAAATGGTCCAATGAGCATACCGTTCACCATGCCAGCCCAAACATTCACCGAAAATGTTTGTTGAAAATGTGCCCGACGGACAGTGTGCGGATTTTCTACTGACCAAACATGAGTGTTGCGAAAGTTATTCACCCCATTACGCGTGAACGTAGATTCGTCTGTCACCAATATGCACTTCAAAAAGTCCGGATTATTGTCATGTTGATGCAACAACCACTCACAAAACCGCAATCTTGCTGGAAAATCGTCAGGTTGAAGGGCTTGTACACGTTGGACGTGAAACGGATACAGCCCCTCTTCACGCAGCGTTTAACACACTTTAGTTTTTGATACTTGCACTTCTCTAGCCACGTCTCTAGTGCTTGTTGAGGGATTCTCGTCTACGCGATTACCTCTACACGCGTGACCGTAACCGTCGGTTGAAGGTTGCATACTGACCTGACACACTGACCCCGACCCAGTTCTGTCGTCGGGTTGAGCCAGTGACCTTGTACCAATCGGTGATGTCGCGGCTACAGGACGGTATTCAGATATTTTTGATGTTGCAGAGCCCTTTATCTCGGTTCCCTTAAGACATTGGTGTATATGGTACTAAGAAAAATTGCTTATGTTTTCAAGACCTACACGTCGTGTAAAGGAAAACCCCAACTTTGCGGACACCGTGTATAACATTCCAAAATTATAAAAACGTATTTTCAAAATGTTTGCGATTACAGTACTTCCTGGCCAGTACCGTAATAAGTAAAATCAAAAATCTACTTTTCTAAGGACATTCTTATTACTTGCGCTATTTCTGTTTCTTGTCTTCCCCTATGATTCTATGAGAAAATATCGAAAATATACACCTCGAACGTCTTTCTTATTAAAAAAAACTGTGACATTTATAAAAAAAATGTTGAACCCGATCGGATTGTTATATCTCACTTATCATTAATAACGCTTAGAATCTGAGTCACGACTTCTTATACTGACCTGTTGCATAACCTGACTAGTATCTTCCTTAAGATCTATCTTCTGTAACACTCCCGCTTCTGCAACGGCGAAGTAAATGACTGGAGGTTCGACAACAGCACCTAAACCAGTAATTCTTGGGACTGGCTCGGTGAACAAAATAGATAGGCGGTGTGTTCTTTGACTCAACTGACGAATCTGGTTATTGGCGGTGAGGAAAGCTATCGACATTGGATCACCTTCGGCTTTACATGACTTTTTGTCCGATCTATAATAAAGTGCAAAATGAAACAATCAGGTAAACTCCAATACGATGGCAGCTGTATCGGTCAGAATCTGGTATTTTTATTTGTGGTAATTTTCCTGGCATATTAAAGCTCGCTACGATAAAACCTACGAGGTCTGTAAATTAAGTGATGAGACAGGCAACCTGACGTTCGATCTGGCAACACTGGAGGCGCCGGGCTTGGAGGGGGAACATGTGATCCGCCTTCAGTGCAAGTTTGAACCCGCTCGAGTCATTTAGTTGTCCGTATCGTTTTTTTGTGTAACAGTGTAACAACTAGATGCGGACGCCGGTACCACAAGCACGGAGGGAATAACGTTGATTGCTCGATTGCAGCAATTCGCGATTGTCGTGCGCTGTCACTTGTCACTCGATACAGCGTTGCCAGATTAAACGTAAACAGATTTTCAAGAAGCTTATGGTAATATTGTGAATTTTCATTTGTTTCATTCAGCGTCCATATATCTGTAATAATAAGGAAGTTACGAATTTTTAACTCATGTCAAGTCGCATACAGTACGACGGAAGAAAAATATTTCAGTTACAACTATCTCAAAACTACTTGTTTGGACTTAAGCTAGTCTGGCTTTGAGGTACAGAATTGGATATTTAGTAGACGATCACGTCAGTTAACGAGTTGTCAGCGGAGCTTATAAATCGGCCTTTAATCCGAAAAATAGGCACCATACCTAAAATAAAAATCCTTACCTAAGTGCATGATCCCAGAAGCAATCGCACTTGTATCCGCCGTCTTCATTTTGGCACATTTGCGAGCACAGAGGCGGATCAGCCTTGCATTCGTCGACATCCTCGCAGTTCCTACCGTCTCCGATCGCCCTGTATCCTCCTCTGCATTGACATAGCGGCCCGTAAGGTGTCGGTAGGCAATCGTGGACGCAGGCCAGCTTAGCGCATGCGTCTTTGCATTTGCCGCCTTCGTCGCTACCGTCGTAGCAGTCCGGTTTGCCGTTGCAGACGAGGGAGAGGGGCCGGATGCAGTCGCCGCTTTTGCATCTAAAATTTTACTCTCCATCAGTAGGGATGGCAATTTGTTAGAAAACATCGATGTTTGGACATCGCCATCGTACCATCGATGGAGCTCGATACATCGGATCAAATACATCGATTTATCGAAACAACTCTTTTTTTTAACGTGTTTTGCTTTCAATTCAGCAACGAATTCATCGATTGCTATCGGTTTTAGCGGAATGGTCATTTTATCCGTTCGTGGAGTTCCCACCGCGTTTTTTTCTCGGTTTCAAAACCATTAAGTAGGAATAAAAAACGCGACAGCAATTTCGAGATAGGATGAAAGAAGGATACCGACTGCAATATACTTCAGTAAAAAAGTATGATTATAGGAAACTGCAAGGTAAGAGATTGTCAAAATTAAGAACACATTGATGATCATTAAATACTTTACACTGTGCACAAGTTGAAGAGTGTTGTTTAGAGTACTTCCACACATCACTTTTTCGTGACATTTCGGTTAATTAACAATAAAACAGCGACATTATAACTACATACAATAAAATAATCAAAAGAACTTGAAATCATTAAATGCGTAAACGCGCTGTTTTCAGTTTAATTTATTATATCCCTTGGGGAAATACAGAATCACGTCTGTAATGATAATATTGAGATACTACTAAACAGCTTTCTGGGCTTTCAATTTAGAAGCTACCAGTCCTCGCTTAGAGATGGTAGCACAGTTAAGGATATACTCGGGGTATACCGATCCTTTCGATGTCGATATATCGTCATAAAACTATCGATGCCTAAACTTCGATGTTCTACGTCCGATGTATCGATGTTTTCGATACATCGATGTATCGTTGCCATCCATATCGGTCACATCAAACTCCAGATCGCGATGTTCAAATTTGCAGGCGAGAAATGCCTGAGCAGGCAATGACATGTACACCACGAAAAATCTTGTCACTTATTTCTGTCAGTCTGTCGGTCCAGAGGCCGCGGAAAGAAAGGTTGAAAACAAGTGAAATAAAAATCACTCAAACTTCGATTTTCTACGTTACATGGGGTCGTGAACACTTTTTTTAATCTTTCAGTGGCGAAAAATTGGAGGGTGCGAGGATGTAGGGGGAAGAAGGAGGGTGTATCGCAATTTTTTGGCGACAGTTTAATTTATTGAGTATAAATTATTAGATAGGGCGACAACATTATGGATTGTGAAGATATTTTATGGAATCTGTTTTTCAGTAAATTTTCCTGTATACCAGAGTATAGAAAAGTTGACCTTACATATTTAAAAAAAAACTATTGTATACAGGGTGGCCCATCCATGTGTCGACGGAATATTACTTAAAAACAAATGCATTTTGAAAAAATCTATTTATGGCATCTTATACATGACATTTGAGGGCACATTTCTAAAATATTGGCAATTTTACAGGGTATCCCAATTTTGACCTACATATCAAAGCTGGGATTTTTTAAGTGGAATGCCTCAAATTTTATTGCATATTTGGATAAACCAATTCAAACTTGCATAAATATTCAGGGTGATGCAATTGAAATTTTTGAGAAAAACTACAATTTGCATTTTTGATCAATCTGTATGAGCAAAATTTAAAATTCGAAAAAGTAACAAATAAGATAAAAAATGAGGTGTGTAATTTTTTTTGATACCAAATTCAGCAAACCAAATTTCAAAATGGCGGACTGAGGGGTTGCCGAAGTAGAGGGTTTTTCTAGACAAAACACCTTATATCTCAGTAGCTAATTACCAAAACATCATAGTATGTTATATCAATTTTCTTCGTTTGAATTGTTTTATCCAAATATGCAATAAAATTTGAGGCATTACATTTGAAAAATCACTACTTTGATATGTAGGTCGAAATTGGGACACTCTGTATAATGGCCAATATTTTAGACATGTGCCCTCAAATGTCATGTATAACATCCCCTAAATTGATTTTCCCAAAATGTATTTATATAGTAATCTTCCGTCCACACATGGATGGGCCACCCTGTAAAGGGTGGTCCATTTAAAATTTTTTTTTTAAAAATGCTATAAAAAAAAAACTACTAAATATTTTTTCAATTTTTTTTTTTTATTTGAAAGTACAATCCTTCCGATTAAGTATGGAATACAACTTCATTTAAATGACTGCCGCGGCTGGCTTTGCAGTAGCCCATACGGTCAGTCCAATTTTTGACCACATTTTCAATCGTATGTGGCTGTATTTCAGCAATGGCAGCGCGTATGTTCTCTTTTATTTCGCCAATTGTTGCTGGTTTGTTGGCATAACATTGGTCTTTAATGGCACCCCATAAATAATAATCTAATGGGGTCAAATCACAGCTCCGAGGCGGCCAAACAACATCAGAATTTCGGCTGATAATGCGATCACCGAAAACACTTCGCAGAAGAGCAATCGTAGCGTTAGCTGTGTGACACGGAGCACCGTCTTGTTGAAACCAGATGTTACCGACATCAATATCTTGAATTTGTGGAAAGAAAAATTCATTTATCATGGTACGGTAACGCTCACCATTCACAGTAACTGCTGCTCCGGCTTCATTTTCAAAGAAAAATGGCCAATGATGCCACCAGCCCAAAATCCGCACCAAACAGTCACTCGTTCTGGATGCATTGGCTTTTCTTCGATTGCGTGGGGGTTCTCTGAACCCCAAATGCGGCAGTTTTGCTTATTAACATAGCCGCCAAGATAAAAATGCGCTTCATCTGAAAAGATGATTTTTCGACCAAAATCTGCAACATTACCACCACTTTCGAAATATTGTTTTAATATTTCCCAGCGTTGTTCAAGCGAATACACAACCATTTTCGTTAATCGGAATGATATGACTGATGTTCTGTCAAATCAGATGCGAAATAAGTCTTGACATATCCCAAAAAACCAGTAACTCAAAAAAAAAACGATAGATGGACCACCCGGTATACAGGGTTATCCAAATTAAGTGTCCACCATTAGTAACTTTGTTATTAGTGAAAATACAAAGTTGTTTGAATTAGCAAACTAGTAGCATTTTTAACGCTGGTAAAAATGAGAAATAAAAAAAAAACAATTGAGAGTCGTTATTTTGATTTTTTTCAGTAAAATAACATTTTTTTAAATGGAAACCCCTGTATATTATATTTTTTTCTGTTAAAGCATCAAATTTTAAACAAAAAAGTTCATAATGACTTTTCCGCTAAAGTCAAAAATAAAGTCAAAATAACGATAAATATTTTTAATTATTTGCAGTATTATAATATTAAGACGGCTATGAAAACAACATGGCGTTCGCGATTTGACAGCATTAAGATAAGCGACAAATTGTTAAACTGGACATACTCGCAACTAGAAGGCTTTGGAAAACAATGATAAAATCAAATAATGTCAAACATTAGTGTAAATACTTGTTTATAAGCTTTATTGTGTCATTAATTTAAAGAAAAATGTTCTCCCATGAAGAAAAGTGTGATATGTTAGAATGCTATTTAGTGTGCAGAAAATCCTCCTTGAGAGCAAGAGAATACTACAGTGAATTATATCCCGCTCGCATTCAACCGTATGAACGATATTTTCTGAGACTTTATCGAAAATTTAGGGGCAACGAAAATGTTTTTGCTAAAACAAGGGCAAAAAAAGAATTCATAATAAGCGAGGCCACGGAAATTGCAGTTATTGGATATTTTGAAGCTTATCGTGAGAATTCAATAGCAGATATTCTCAAGGACTCTAATTTCAGTTATGGTACTGTTCAAAGGATTTTAAAAAAATACAAATTTATTCCGTATAAGTACCGACCAGTTCAAACGCTTTTGGCAGGGGATCCAGAGAGAAGACTTGTTTTTTGCCATTGGTATCTTAGCTTCTGTCGCCAAAATGTAAATAACTTTCGTTACCTTTTATGGACAGATGAATCAAATTTTTCAAATTCTGGAATGTTTAATAGAAAAAACCACCATTATTGGTCAAGAGAAAATCTTTTGTTAGTACATCCAAGAGGCCCACAAGTCCGTTTCAGTTTCAACGTTTGGTGCGGTATAATTGGTTCTAAAATTGTTGGCCCGTTCTTTTATGAGGGAACCCTAACTGGTGAAAGATATGTGGAATTTATGTCAGAAATTCTGACTAATTTCTTAGACGAATTGGATCTTATAAGTAGACATCATCTGCATTTTCAGCAAGATGGCGCACCTGCCCACAACCCCAGAGGTACTTATCATTTTCTAAGTACTACTTTTAATGATCAGTGGATATGAACAAATGGCCCAATACAGTGGCCTCCCAGATCACCAGATCTAAACCCACTTGATTACTTCTTGTGGGGTTACTTAAAGAACCAAATTTACAAGCGAAGGTACGATAACCTTGACGCGTTAAAGACTGCAGTTAGGGAAAAGATAACCCAGATAGATGGTAGGACCATACTTAAGACAGTTCGAGCAGTTGAAAAACGTGCCCAAAAATGTATTGAAGAACAAGGTGGTGTTTTCGAGCATCTTCTTTAAAAAAAATTGTTATTGTATTTTGTAAGATTACAAGTTGATGTTGAAAATAAAGTTTGTCGATACAATTTAATTGTTTCAGATTGGAGGCCATAACTTCAACAATTTGTAACCTAGGAGAAAAGTTATTGTAAGCTTTTTTGTTTAAAATTTGATGCTTTAACAGAAAAAAATATAATATACAGGGGTTTCCATTTAAAAAAATGTTATTTTACTGAAAAAAATCAAAATAACGACTCTCAATTGTTTTTTTTTATTTCTCATTTTTACCAGCGTTAAAAATGCTACTAGTTTGCTAATTCAAACAACTTTGTATTTTCACTAATAACAAAGTTACTAATGGTGGACACTTAATTTGGATAACCCTGTATATGTCAGCTCATAATTTATTCTAAAGAAGATCGTATACAAATTAATGTCTGACTATTATTTCAAACAGTTACGACAGATTCTATTATTTTGCTCAAAAAAATATGTTCGGCTTCAGTTACTTGGTTCTACCGTTTTTAAATTCCGTCTACCGCGTAACTTACTCACCGGAAACCATCGTTACAATCCTCAGATGTACTAACAGAGTGGGTTGTCTCCTTGGTATTATTGGACTTGGCGCACACTTCCGGGGTTTCGTCGCTCTCATCGTCGCAATCGGCCATTTTGTCACAAGCCCATTGCCACGGTATACACCTGAAAAAAAGATTAGATTAAATACGAGGTTCCTTAAGTTCGTTTTGTAATGGAGATGGAAAAACTTTCGTCAACGTAAATTGTATCACAAACTAAAATATGAACATTGTTTCATTTTTCAACATAGACATAATTAACATTAAAACATTTGTCAATTCGCACCCCCCCCCCAAAAAAGTTCATCGGACAGACCCTCGACTAAAATATTTTTTAGACCCACCCTGGATCCAATTTTCATAGAACGCTGTCGCCTCACCGTTAAACCAGTCAGTAACTATTTCTTTCTACATGTCATCATATTCCAAGCAAGGAACTCCTTAAGTAATCGCAACACCAACGATGCGTGTAGTTGAGCCATTCCTCCATAGATGGACGCTCACAACGATCCTAGTGAGCAAACGTAGAACGACTGTTCCTAAAAACTACCTCGTATGTAAGATGACAGTTTATAGGTTGTTTTTTTTTTGACGTTTTATATTTTTTTTACATAATACTTGTGCCGAAAAGGCAGAGAGCAGCAAAACACATTGCACGCCCATGCTAACGCGGCATCTCTTTGAATTGGGATATCCGCGCGTCGACTTTGAGAGATGGCGCGTTGGCATGTGCGTGCGATGTATTTTTGTGCTATCTTCCTTTTCGGTACCAGAGTGAGAGCAGGCCCCAGCGGCAGTTATGAATAGCGCTCCCAAGCTTCAGTTATGCTTCGCAGAACCTCTCAGAATTTCGTGAGGAGGTTTTTTAAAGTTCTATAAACCTTGGGCGGGTCAAAAATTGGATTAACAAAGTTTCTTCAAACTCCTGATAGAAGCTGCGGCTGCTCCGGTATCAGAGAACGCATTTATCTGGAGGACGACATTGGCCAGCAATGTATAAATAAACTTCCCTGTTATATATTTTTCTACTTACTTTTTGTTTTTGCATTCAAATTCGTCTGGTCTGCAATCACTCTCTCCTTCCGCTCGATCTTCACAGCCCATTTCATCCTCGCCCTTGGGACACTCCCTGGTTCCATTACATCTCGAGATCGCTGGCAAGCATTCTCCTCCTTGAGTACAAGCGAAACCTCCTGGACAAGTGGATGCTGCTTGGTGACGCCTGCAGACAGAACATAATCGTTCATATTTCTAATACGTTCTATGTTACTGTAAAAAATACAATTTTCTCCTCGTAGCAGTGCTGGAACTCTTCCCCGATCATTATGACTGTCAAGTGTCGATTTGAATGCACAAGATCATCGGTTCTTGAATATGAAGGCGTTCCGCTTCGCGGTTCATCTTTAATACACTCTCTCCCTTCTGAAAATGGCTTAAACCACCAAAAACCCTGGGCTCTTGACAGAATATCCGTAGGCCTGTTTAGCAAGAGTTTCCGTTGCACTGAAGTCTGAAGCAAAAGCTGATAGCACACCGTTGCTTGAAATTGATGTCACTAACTTGTAGAACACAACAAAAAAAAATCGTGACGGACAACCAAATACTCGAGCGAGTTCAAACTTGTACTGAAGGATCAAATCAACGTTTCAGCAGTTTTTTGAGCGAAAATATCTACATACGAGTACATTATGATATATCATGTTCAATCATCGATATCCTGTGGTACCTTAACATGGGGGAATCATGAATAATTATTATAAAAAGATCGATATTCACACAGAAGTGAAGTTTGAACACAAAAATGTTATCCCACATAAAATCTCAACTTTTTTAATTTTTTCTTAATTTAATTAATTTTTCTTTATTTTCTATCATACAATAATATATTTATAAAAAAAAATGTGAACTAAAACACATTTATGTACACCACTATTCATGTCTGACTAATTCTTATGTCGCGCTACTGACTGAACTATATTCCACTCTGCTCTACTCTCCCTACTCTGCTTCCATCTCCCGGCTGTCGAACTATATAATCCGCATCGCTGATTCGAGAAGAGTCCCGCGAGCCACAAAGCGGCATCTAGAATATTCGAGGTCACTTCGCGTCGATCTAGAAGGCGAGTCACTGGTACGGTCCTCAACAGATGTCGCCAAGCGGCATGTGCGGTCGTGAACCGCGCAAAAAATAGAGATCGGTCATGAAGCTCTGGCGAGTAGGAGAGTATCCCAACAGATGGCGCCAACGGTACTATTTATCCTTGTCACAATAATAAATTTTACATATAAGTAAAAAAACGAACACACAACGACAGTAATAACGATAACCAACAACATTCAGGACAAAGTCTTGAACACAGATAAAATCGGCCACAGAATAAAAACGCTTCAACCTACTTTTAAAAATGTTCAATGATTCTGCTCCTTTTGTTTGCTCCGGTAGCTGTTTTGTTGCTTAATATTTTCGGTTTCAAGACCGGTTGGCAATTTTGAATTTAGCGAATAATACCACCATCCTCTCATATTACCTCAGCTCACAAGACGGTGGTTCATCGCTACCATCTCCACAATCGTCGTCCCCGTCACAAACCAAACGCCCATCAATACAGCGACCACTTGGTGTACATCTGAAGAAACCAGCTGGACAAACAGTGTGACGAGTTTTCTCTGAAAAAAAAGCGTTCTGTTTTGTCGCACAAATCAAATGACACAAGTTTCTCATGAAAAAAGTGCTTTAGCACATAATTCAATCGTATAACGAGTATTAATAGCTAAGTATCGAGGAAAATTGTAGGAGGGCAGTTTTTTTGTAAAAACTTGCGAAAATGTTTATTGAACGAGAATGTGGGTCGTGTCAGGAAAAAAAATGTTCCGCTTAAAATTTTTATTTGTGCTAAACAGGATTACAAGAAAATTTATATTTGAAACGCCTTGGGATACAATACGTCTTGATATTTTGAAAATCTAAAATCACACCCCACCCCCTATGCACTGAGGAGTGAATTTTTTTCTAAGTAGGGTGTGAAATGGCTTCATTTAATAACAGTCATTGTGGAAAAAGGTTGGTCAATCAACACAGTCATTTCCATTGCACTGTAAATTTTTAGCAAGTTTAGAAATATTTTTTCACATTGCGATACCTTGACTATAACCAGCCGACAATCCCAGAGCTGTAAGAACATTTATTTTAAATAAAATAAAAAATTTATAAACCGCAATAAAGACCAAAATCTAAGATATTTTCATTTGAAATTTTCTGAGATTTTATTACGTATTACACTCCAAAAGAGGCAGAGGTATATTTTCCCTCAGCGGTGAAATATACAGGGTGTCCGCAAAGTTGGGGTTTTCCTTTACACGACGTGTAGATCTTGAAAACATAAACAATTTTTCTTAGTACCATATACACCGATGTCTTAAGGGAACCGAGATAAAAGGCTCTGCAACATCAAAAATATCTGAATACCGTCCTGTAGCCGCGACATCACCGACTGGTACAAGGTCACTGTCTCAACCCGACGACAGAACTGGGTCGGGGTCAGTGTGTCAGGTCAGTATGCAACCTTCAACCGACAGTTACGGTCACGCGTGTAGAGGTAATCGCGTAGACGAGAATCCCTCAACAAGCACTAGAGACGTGGCTAGAGAAGTGCAAGTATCAAAAACTAAAGTGTGGCAAACGCTGCGTGAAGAGGGGCTGTATCCGTTTCACGTCCAACGTGTACAAGCCCTTCAACCTGACGATTTTCCAGCAAGAGTGCGGTTTTGTGAGTGGTTGTTGCATCAACATGACAATAATCCGGACTTTTTGAAGTGCATATTGGTGACAGACGAATCTACGTTCACGCGTAATGGGGTGAATAACTTTCGCAACACTCATGTTTGGTCAGTAGAAAATCCGCACGCTGTCCGTCGGGCACATTTTCAACAAACATTTTCGGTGAATGTATGGGCTGGCATGGTGAACGGTATGCTCATTGGACCATTTATTCTCCCAAATCGATTGGACGGGATGCAATGCCTAGACTTTTTACGCAACATTTTGCCTTCCTTGTTAGAAGATGTGCCATTAAGTGTAAGACAATCAATGTGGTTTCTGCGACTGCTCGGTAGCGCATCAGCTGATTTCATTTTCTGTTGGAGCGGTATGATTTCGGGCAGAGACGTACTTAGCCCTTCTCGTCAACTGGAGAGTGAGTACTTTTTCCTTTATTTTTTTTACTTGGTCGCCCTCGTTTCACTACACATTACCTTTTTTATTTCAAGGGTAGTTGTTTCTGAAAAGGAAAACCCCAACTTTGCGGACACCCTGTATAAATAAAAAATAAAGAATGATTTTTAACTCTATTTTTTGTAAATACTCTAGTAGAGCAACCGTTTTCACGTGTTTTTACCAAACAGTTTGTAAACTTACAATTTTCCCCAAACATTTTGCCACATTTCTCAGACTATATAATCAACTACCATTTGTTACTTACCTTTACAGCCTGAGTGTTCGTCGGAGAAATCTTTGCAGTCAAAATCATGATCGCACTCCCAGGTTTTCGGGATGCACATTCCGGAATCGCATCTGAAATTAACAGAAAATTAAAATGCGTTATTTTCTATTTTCGTATAGGTTTCAGGCTTCGGAAGTCCGATGTGTGTCGAAGATGAAGAGAACAATAAACATTCTCACTTACTTTGCGTAGAGGTGGCTATAAAATATTTCTTCTAAATAAAGCACAGACGATATATTTGTTTAAATTTCACCTGAACTGCGTCGTTAGACACGTCATAGTATGGCATTCCTCCTCATCGGACCCATCTCGACAGTCGTTGACCCCGTCGCACAACGACGTTCTGGAGACGCACGAGCCATCATCACACATGAAGTGCTCATCAGGACAGGTTCTCTTGTTCTTAAACGCTTCACAGTTGACCTCATCGGACTTGTCTGGGCAATCCAACTTCAGATCACAAACTTGGGACTCCTTGATGCAAGCGCCATTGCGACAGGTGAACCATCTAGAAGGATATTTTGAAAAATAAGGTTTTACCATAAGATCATCTCAGTTGGCCATGACGCGGTGACAGTTTAGTAGTTGGCCCGTTCTCCGCTATGGCCAACTGAGATTATTTTATGGTAAAATCCTAATGGAAGATTTGTTTGTTTGTTGTAGATTTATTCAGCATTGGTGCTACAATATCAAGGTTAGGCAGTATATCACATAATATTTGTCATCAAGTCTATATATTGTTATATTTCACTACGATGAATCCTACACACCTAAATTTTCATAACCATCTTACGTCAGCTTTTGAGTAATCGATCAGTCTGCGCATGTGCAGGTGCTACCTTTCAGGTAACAGTCACAGTTTCGCTTTAGTAACGCATTAAATTATAAACCCCTCACCCTTTTCCGCAGTCCTTCCCGCCTTCGCCACCAGTGCACCCAGTCTCGTCTTCTCCATGCGCACAATCCTTGTGTCCATCACACCTGGCGTGCATAGATACACAACTCTCAGATTGCCAGCACGAAAACTGGTCTGCGGAACACGTCTTCCTGTGGATGCAAGTCCTGTTGTCTTCAGGGTTGAGTTCGAGGCCCTGGGGGCACGCGCAAACCGCTGCTGCTACTGAGACGGGGAGACACAAGTGGCTACAATTGTTGTCTGAAGAGCAGGGGTGATGGTGCGAGACTGGACGCCATGTTGAGACGATGTGGGGACGGCTGATGCTCCGCACGGGAACGTCTAGAAGACATTTTTTATGTTTTTAAAGAATGAATTAATATACTCAGTGGAACTCGGAAAAAATAATTTCTTCAACTTGTTTTTTTTTTGTTAATGTCAACGTTTTATCTTTGTTTTTGTTTACCTTTGTTAAAATGTTATGTGAAAGTTTCTGTGAAGAAAGAAGAATAAATTAAGCTTGCTGAACAAATACGAGTTTATTCGTTTGCCAACACCACTGAAATTGTTTTATAAGAGCTCTGTGGAACAATTATAAAATTGATTTATTAATATTTTCTTTCTGATACTGTCGCTCGCTAAAGCATATTTCATCACTACATTCACCGAAAATTTAGAATTCCTACATGTCAACTTATTATTTCAAGTAGTTTGTTTACACGAGTGCAAGTACGATCACAAAATTTATTTATTATTTTCTAACAGTTTGGCAGCATCTTTAGCCTGCTGGCGCGGAATTGATGCCTTTCCAAAAGAGCCGGAACAGTGAGAGGCGCGCCTGATGTCATTTTTTGACGGTTTTTCAAGATTTTCTCACTTGTTATTAAAAATATTGAATTGTCCTTTTCTAGTATGAAAGGATGCCCATAATAACATGTTTTCACGTAGTCAATTGCGACAAAAAAAAACGGTGTCGCAACTAGTCGAATCAACTGACTCGTATCGAAAGACCTGTACATGAAGTTTCTTCAAAGCATTCAATATATCCATCGTTTCGCGAAGTAAGAATAAAAAGCTATATGGTGACATACCCAAAGTGACCAGCTTGTTATACGGACTGTTGGTCTTCTTAGCCCAAAACAACTTTTTGGAATGTTCACTCATCCAGAAAAGTTCGTCCTTGATGGTAGTCATAGTTACAGGATTCGTTGATAGCGTACGGAAGGTATGCCTGTCGTCACCTGTAACATACATTAATGTTGAATTAAAAATATTTTTTTTAAATATCTGCTTATTAAGATCCTCAGTCTGGACAAAGAAGTCGATTTCAAGCTGTCGATGGATAAGTCACTGCATTGCGGCGTTCACTAGCATTTAGCGTTCTCAGTGATTGTGAGCTCATTTATATGGAATTCTAGTGAACACAATGCTGGTTATCAAACCGGTCCCTAGGACCGTAAGAAAAAAATCTCAAAAAATACGTTTCACAGCCAAACATGTTTTAAAACACAGTTATAAGGCTTAAAACGGGTCAGTTATTGGTGACCTTGAAAATGACATTCAAGGTCATGTGAGGGTCGAGGCAGTTTTCTCAAATGTAAACGCCTATTATTTGAGTATGTCCATAACCTTAAATATGACCTTGATGTCATTTGAAGATCAAATAAAGTTTTAACGGGAAACACCTATTTTTAATTCCTGATATGTAAAAGCCGGCAATGTTACGTTCAAGAATATCTTTATCGATGGACCTGACCATGACCTCCAAGGTGATCTGAAGGTAAGTCTCTTTCTGGGGATATGAAAAGGCGAAACCATTGACTATGATCTTTAAGGCCATCTGAAGGTCAAATGATTTTTTTAACGGGATACTCCTATTTTTGCTTCCAGAACAGTAAATATAACGTTTCTCTAAATCCTCGGTCTTCTTGAAACCTTCAAGGTCGTAATCAAGGTCATCATTAGATTGAACCTTGCAATATTTTTCTCTATGTAGAATATTTTTCCAGGATATTTCGTTCTCTCCATACGTTTTGGATGCCCTAAAAGGACTTTGAAGGTCATTACCAAGGACTTACTCGAACGTAAAATGTCCCGCTCTTCACGTCTCCGGTGTCAAAAGTATGAGTTCCTGTTTAAGAAAACTGTCTTAAACTTGAAGGTCATGGTCATGACCAAGTTCAAGGCCACCGTTAGATGAACCTTGTCAAGCCTTACAATTTTGTTTTGCTACAGTTTTTTCGGGGAAACATATTTTTTGAGATATTTTGATTTGATCAAAATTGTTTGACATCCAATAGGTTAGTTAGGTCTGATGACTCAAGAACCAAAAAAATTATAAGGAAAGAGCAAAAAAAAGGAGGAGGACCTAAGAAGGAAGGTACGAGAAAACAATCAATCTTACGTTCAAGGATATCATTGTCGATGGACCTGACCATGACCTTCAAGGTGATTTGAAGGAAAGCATCTTACTTTCTATATGAATATGAAAAACGGCAAATGATTTTTTCAACAGGATACTTCTATTTTTGCTCCCAGAACAGTAAATCTTGCGTCTCTCTAAATCCTCGATCATCTTGAAACCTTTACGGTCGTAATGAAGGTCATCATTAGATTGAACCTTGCAATACTTTTTTCTCTATTAGAATATTTTTCCATGATAGTTTGTTCTCTCCATACGTTCTGGATCCCCTAAAATGACTTTGAAGGTCATTGTCAAGGTCATTAACAAGGACTCGCTTGTACGTAAAATGCCCCGCTCTTTACATCTCCTGTGTCAAAAGTATGAGTTTCTATTTAAGAAAACTGTCTTAACCTTAATGTGACCTTGAACGCCATGGTCAAGACCAAGTTCAAGGTCACCGCTAGATCAACCTCGCCAAGCCTTACAATTTTCTTTTGCAACAGTTTTTTTTTAGATATTTTGATTTGTTCAAAATTTTTGGACTCTCAATAGGTTAGGTTGGTCTGATGACTCAAGAACCAAAAAAATGTTACGGAAAGAGCCAAAAAAAAGGAGGAGGACAAAGGAAGGAAGGTACGAAAAAAGATGGAGGAGACAAATTGAACATACCATCAACACTTGTAGATTCAATAACTCCGCTGTAAGCATCTGCAATGAACACCCTATGTAAAGCAGCATCATAAAGAAGCGATATTGGCCCAACGAGGTCGTCTTCGATGGTGTGTGTTCTTCCTGCACCATCCATGTGCATTCTGTCCACATGGGCTTTTCCACTAGTTGGGTTTCTCATCGCCACAAACATTGCCCTATAATAGAGAACATAAACATTAAAAATGCAGAAAGCCATATGAAGGAACTTTTTATTGGCAATACTGATAGTGTTGGCCAATATTGATGTTGTATATCAGGTTATTTCCAAGCCTAATACTCAGAATTCAAAAAATAAAAATTGGAGTTCCACAAGGATGCATTCTGGGGCCAGTACTTGCAGTTTATAAAGGTGAAGCTTCTAATTTCCGATCATAAACATTAAACATGCAAAATGCCACATGAAGGAACTTTTTACTGGCAATACTGATAGTGTTGGCCAATATTGATGTTGTATATCAGGTTATTTACAAGGCTTATACTCAGAATTCAAAAAATAAAAATGGGAGTTCCACAAGGATGCATCCTGGGGCCAGTACTTGCAGTTTATAAAGGTGAAGCTTCTAATTTCCGATTTCTGACATTAATCCACACGACAGAACAGCTTACCCTTCTTCTGGTACAACAGCCACAGCTTCCAGAATCTCATCCTCAGTACCACTGAGCAAAATCTTTCTAGCTAAATTTTTGAGGCTAACCACTTCCAAAGCGTTTCGCTCAGCATCGCACAGGTACAGGTTGTTCCCAAGAGCGTCTGTAAAAAAAATAAAATCCTCATTCTGCTGAAAAAAAAATTGACCAAAATACTTTTGAGACAGCATCGTATTTAATCCTGTGTAAACACTTATTTATATACAGTCTATTAAATTTTTTGTCAGGTAATTTAGATGGGATCTGAAATGCATATTTTTACCGTAATCCATTGATATGACCCATCCAAGATCATCAATCTCTAAAATCCTGTTGATATTCCCTTCCAAACTGTACTCCACGATCTTCTTGGTATCCAAGTCGCTGATGAATACTGAATTATTGAGTGGATTGTAGACCATCGATCCAATTTGATTGGCAACTGTTGGAAAGGACGTGGAGGTCAATTTGCCCAACACTTGGTGGCGGACTTGAAGTAGGGTGTCGTTGAAGCCGATCAGAAGCCATTCTTGGTCATCCACGTCTGAAAAAAATGCAGAAATCCATTGATGGACAGCCTTTTGAAGATGCATTAACAAAATAAGGATAAAAACGTACTCAAAAAAAAGAAAAGATATTACATATTGTAACGCCCCGGGTCGTTGGGGAGCGGTCTCAGCGTGCGGACACTAGCCAACCACCGTTTCGCGACACGGTGTCATCTAGACCACTACCATGGACGTTCGCGAAAACGCTGGAATGTTTCTCGGCTTGTCGATAGGGAAATAAATATCCGAGCTGATGGCTGACGGAATCACAGTCAAATCTACAGACACGGTCCAGCCAGTGGGCAACGAGCACGAAGCTAAAATGGAATAATAGTCCAGTCGACATAGTTACAGATTTGTTATAAATTTTAATTGCAAGCCTTATAAATTAGTGTAAAAAAATAAATTTTTAAAAATTCTAGCATCACGTCAGTTGACATTCGAAATCAACGTCCGAAATTACCACAGTGGCATTACCGAGTTCAGATGGCGGAAAATTTCAATAACTCTAAAACTAGTTTGTGAATTAAGAAAGTAAGAAGACATCATATAATACCTTTGCATACATGCCCATCACTGGAAAGAACTTTTCCAAGAGGACACGCGCATCCATATCCTTTAGCGTCTTTCAACAGGCACAGGTCGCTGCAAGGTGCGCGTTCACAAGGATTGTCTTTGCGTCTACGTTGGACAGGGTGAAATATGCTCACCTGAAAAAAAATAATACAAATAAAAGAAACAAAGAAAATACGAGGGTTGTTTCAAAAATAATGTTTGCTGTCACTTTGCCGCCCGTGATGTTAGGCGAAATCTGGCAACACCGTCGTGTTTATCGGCTCCCCCACCACCGATCCCATTGCTTAGAAATTATCTCCGCAGTGCTTTAAATTCAAAAAGACAATGAACAAATCCACTATATATAAAAATGTTTTTTTGTCTGGACTTACACCATAGATAAGTTGCTTGTCCTCAACAACAGTACGATATTCTTTTCCGGTAAACTTCTCGCAGGACTGGATAGATCGAGTAGACCAATCGGACCAGTAAAGGCGATCTTCAAACACAGCTAAAGAGTAAGGGTGTTTCTCAATTTCTCCCAAAACAACCTGAAAAAAAAAAACAGTTTTTTTTCCAATATCCGCTGATGTTAATCTGTTTCTCCAGGTATAAGAAACGTGAGAGTAGTGCAAATCTTATTGAGAGTGCCTCATGAAAATACCGGTAGATTTTACCAATTCGCAAAAAAAAGTGTAAAGCAGTCAATGTTCGAAAACGTTCATCCGGTGAATAAATGTTTAAAAATCTAAGATACACAATGAGCCTTTCCAGATGTCAAAGTTTATTAGCTCGTGTTTTGCTACGTGCTGATTTGAAAGATAACAAAGAACAAATTTCCGATTTTCCAAATACTTTTTGGACACACAAAAATAATTTTTCAATACAAAATCCCGAAAGAGACATTTAACTGGTCGCAGTTTTTAGTTTTAAGTGATATTTTTTCTAACATATACGTTATGTTAAATTGCAGGTAATACAATCTCAATAAATGACAAGGCTTCATTGATATCAAAATTCTTTTATTCGTGAATCCACTTTTGTCAAGTTTTCGCAGAAAATAAAATACTTTACAAACCTTCTTCATACGATAGAACTTTTTTCTTGGACCTCAAAAAAGCATAAGTTACAGAAAACTGCTATTTTTTTCGTAAAACATCTATTAACTTTATAAAAAAAAATTTCGAAAAATCGCAGAGTTTATCTTTCCATATGTATACATTTTTTATTCAGTTGTAAAAAAATAAATAAATGATCAAATTACTGTTGTAATCTCAAATCAGTCTCATCACTTAATTTATAGACCTCGCATACAGGAATAGATAGAGCTATCATTGAGCATTAACTTACCCTTATATCAGTGCCATCTAGTTTCGCACTCTCGATCGTCATTTTTTTCGCATCTGTCCAATAAATGCGGCCATTTGGATAGTCCAAAGCGAGCCCATTGGGCCAGTGTATGTTATGATCAATCAGGGATCGATAGTTGCTACCATCCATGTACGCTGTCATTATAGCAGCTGGCTCCTCCCAATCTGTCCAGTACATTACGCTGAAAAATAAAATACACTATAAATTTTTACGTCTAATCTACTAATTCACTATCATGGTAGTACGAGCAAACACCTGAGCTATTGTACTTCAAAATAAAATAGTAAGAGAACTAATGAGATTCTTAGCGCCGAGTCCTTACCCGTCATCGATATTCAGAGTGATCGCTCTCGGTTTCCTAACATCTTTCCCGCTCACCAGCACCGCGCAGGATCTTCCGTCTTTGGCACAGGCAGCTACCCTGCGTTCATCCGCGTCCGTGAAGTAAACATTACCGGCCAACCAATCAACAGCGATGTCTTCGGGCAGGCTCAAGCCAGCCGTCGCTACGATTTCCTTGTCGCTGCCGTCTTCGGCGGCGCGGACTATGCTCTCATGTTCCGATCCCACTTCTGACCAGTAGACGTGGTCTCCGTCGTAGTCAACGCCTAAATAACAAAATTTCACAAAAACCGTCAGAGTATAAAGATATAATATATTTGTTATAAAAGGGTGCTTTGATGATTCTCAAAAAACTTCAGGGCCGTGACACACGTACAAAAGGCAATATTTCAAATAATTATTTTGGCGAGTATAAATTCGAAACCTATGAAATATTCAATGATCTGCTGGCAGATTAGGAGTACCGCTACTGTGGATGAGCATTGAATCAAAATCCGATCAGTACCTTCCAAGTTATAGACGGACGAAGGATTAGCGGACAGACAGACCGACCGACTGATACGAGTGTCATGGACTTTTGCAAGCGTCGAATTTGAAACACCTTGTATATTGACATAAAAAAATGAGATACACCTCCCCGCTCCCTACAAATCCTAATCATCAAATTGCAAAATTTTGTCTAAAACTAATCTGGAGCCTCTGAGATGTCGAAAAACGAGTTTTGAACGATTTTTGTTTATTAATTTTTGTTCGTTTTTGGCCTTTTCCTCCCCCGCCCTTGGATTACTTTCCAAAAACTACAAAGCTTTTTCGTCCGTGGCATAGTAGTAACCTTGTGTAAGCAGTTCATCAAAATCCAAGTAGTACTTTCCAAATTATAGACGGGCCAAGGATTTGTGGACAGACCGATACACAAACAGATCGACGCAAATGAGAGGTATGGTTTTTTGTGATGTACATCTCATAGTACATCCGAAAAACAGTACCACATTTTCAGAATGTTTTGCGATGATTATTGAAAAATTGATTAGCGTAGAAAATTACCTACTTTTTTTTCTATAGGGGTCAATGAACCCGAATTTCTACGCCTTTGGTGTAGTCTCAGGCACGAAATGGATGTTTACTATATTCTATAGTACTACATATTTTTTTATTTCGCAATCAAAACTTCTATGTACCTCGCTAAGGGACCATTTCATGATCAATGTTTATCAGAATTTTTCGTGTTATTTTTGAACTTATTTTTTACCTTAGCTATTTTCAACAACAAAATGATAAACAAACCATGGGCGTAGTGAATAAAAGCATTTACTTATTGAGTAAGTTCTTTTAGTCAAATTTCTTCAGAAAGTAGTACAAACTAATTTGATGTACCTATTAAAGTCTACTTTAAGCTTTAAATCAATAAATCTTGAAAACTACTGAACTGAAGTACATTAATTTTATATCATTATAAAGGGAATTGAAAGACCTTTAAAATAAGGTATCACTCGATCCCCTTTCCATTTAAGATTTTAGGGTTGGTGTCACCCCCGCCCAGGGATCTGCACGTGTTAACGTGATTTTTTGCCAATCTTGTGTCCCCCTCGAAAAGAAAATCGACAGGTCTGAGCGTTTTTCCAAAAAAAAAAGTGTTGCCAACGTTGTCGAACCTACCGATTTTTCGGTATTTCTGCCGAAATATTACCTTATTGACCGAAAACGTATTCATTTTCCACGATTTTTCAAAACGATTCAGATATTTCCAGATTTTTTACCGAAAAAGAGCTACAACCAAAAATAATTGTTCTTTCCGATGCGATTCTTGAACGTATACTAAGTGACATATAAAATGCAACACCCAGGGTTATTTATTGAATTTTAAACATATTTGCTATCATGGAAGTATACGCTGATCAAATGTTGAAGCCATTCCTAGCCTTACTTTTTTTGTAAAGGTTTTTTGTCATATCAGGATCCGAACAATATTAAGATTCAGTAATTCTTCTGTATTGGATCCATTTGTTTAATTGTTGTTTCATCGCATTATCATGCCCAGAGGACAATACACGACCTCATGTCGCGCGTGTTAGCTTAGACCTGATCCAATCAGTGCCGCGACGACTTAACGAATGTGTAGCGAACACACACAGTAGATCTGAAACTTGTAAAAGCATACTCATAATCGGTGTTGTATTTTCTATGTCATTTGGCTAGAAAGGCGAAAAACCTTCGTTAGTTCCACTTACCAACAACCTGTTTGAGATCAGAAGCGACTGTGAAATACAACTCCGACTCCAAAGTGAAAGCTCTGATTTGCGTTTTCGAACTGAACACCATCAAAGCTTCACCGCCAACCACCTTGCACCTCTTTGCATCATTGAGGAAGTACCGGTGCTCGCAGTAGCACTCGTAAGATCCGGCAATGTTGCGGCACTTGTGATCACATATTCCTAAAACATAGAAATAATAATGAATGGCAAAGCTGATTACCACTTTGTCTAGTAACGCTGGCAATCTGCCGCGTTACCAATATGTTACACCTTGAATTCAGATGCATATTGAGATTATGCGCTAGTTTGTTCTTTACGCTCAAATAATGGTTTTATTTTGAGCGTACACGAATCTGTTTAGTAATGATTCCCGATCGGTCCTAACGGCGCTCCATTTTATGTCGAAATGAAAGGTCAGAATTCTGCAACGTTGAATCATTGGTTGGTTTGACAACACCGCATCTTGTACATTCCAAGGCAAGGTTTCCACCTACATGATCAAAGTTAGGCGATTTTGGAGTGTTCTCCTACTTCGAAATGGCTTTCACCTGCGTACTCGCAGGCAGCGAAAATTTGTATTGCGTAACGTTATTTGTTACATTTTCCGACCGCAGCGCTGTTTCTTTGACCTTTTTCGTTGTCATTCACGTAGCATTTGTAATATGCCGCACCATACAAGTTTAGTGTGTACATAAGTGAAGTATAACACTTTCAGATGCTTTCAGTATGAAAGTTAGTTTTTCATCATAAATGACTTTAACGCTATTACACCTTTCATTTCCATCGATGTTCTAGTTATAGTAAGTGACATATAAATCCGAACACCCAGTTCAAATGGTTTTATTTTAATAAAAGTTGGTGAATGTATTTATCTTACTGTAAATAACAAGTGAAAAAATTTTCAGCCTTATCAGTTGGACATTCCGGTTTTTATACTGCTTTTTTTTAATTCACTATCGCTCTAAAAATGAATATTTCAGCCGCAGTAAAGAATCAACGTTGGCGGATTTTGGTTCTTGACATCCTTTACTATCGGTTACGATGCCTAGAGTACGGAGACCTGTACGATTTCGTCAACTTAGTGAGTTTGATAGGGGCCGTATAGTGGGACTTCGGGAAGCTGGACTTTATTTTCCAGCAATTGCAGTTAGAGTGCAAAGAAGTGTAGACACTGTGGTTAGGTGTTGTCAGGCATGGCTTCGAGAACGCCGTACGCAAAGAGCAAGGGGCACTGGACGCCGCCGTAGAACAACAGACCGTGAAGATCGCCGCCTAAGATTATTGGCCTTAAGGGACCGTTTCTCCACTACCAGGTCCATTGCAAATGACTGGTTTGCAGAACACGGAAGACATATTGGCATGCGAAGTGTTTACCGACGAATGAGAAGTTTTGGCTTGTTTTCATACCGGCCACACTGGGTCCTCCCTTTAACTCGAGAACACCGACTTAATCGCCTTGAGTGGTGCAGACAACGGTCACTCTGGGATCAGGAATGGAACAGTATTGTCTTAAGTTACGAGTCTCGATTTTGTTTAGGCATGCACGATGGTCGTGCCAGGGTTAGAAGGCGACGTGGTGAAAGGAGGATTCCACAGTTTCACATGTTCATCACACTGTTGGAGTTATGGTTTGGGGTGCTATAGCTTATGGTTCCAGGTCACCTTTAATCTTCATCAGAGGTAACATGAACGCGCAGCGTTATATCCACGAAGTTCTAGAACCCCATCTTTTACCCTATCTTGACACCCTGGCAGATCCAACTTTCCAACAAGATAATGCCCGACCACATGTTGCAAGAGTCACAATAGACTTCTTTCAACATAATGATGTCACATTCTTACCATGGCCAGCAAGATCTTCCGACTTATCCCCAATTGAGCAAGTGTGGGATATGATGGGTAGGAGATTTCTCAATTTGCAAGGTCCTCCTCAGACTCTAGAAGCACTTCGAGAGGAGTTGGTGGTTGCCTGGAATGAGATACCGCAGGAGGACATTGACCACCTGATCAGAAGCATGCCTAGGCGCGTTGGAGAATGCGTAGCACATCAGGGTGCATCCACACATTATTAAAGGTCAAAGGGCTTTAAAGCCGTGCAATCATTTTGAAATTTTTATCATTTACTTATTATGCTTCATTAAGTACTTATACAAAACTTTATTAATAAAACCATTTAAACTGGGTGTTCGGATTTATATGTCACTTAGTATATATAAATAAAGAAGTCTTCCTCCTAGTGTAGCTAAAAATCCTCAACTTGCCTGTATTAAGATAAAATTTATGACGTTCACACCAAATTTTGCATCTACAAGCTCAAGGAGTCCTGTATGTTGTTAATTGAAGAGAAGGTATTCACATCATCATCATTTATAAATAGTAAAAATGATAGTGGCCCCAAGTTAGAACCCTGGGGCACACCAGATGGAGTTGAGTATGCTGCGGGTTTGAAGCCGGTGTATGATACAAACTGTTACCATCCAAGTAAGTAAGACCTAAAGAACAATGGAATGAAATCACTCACAAATTTGCAGAGCTAGTAAATGTCGAGATCAATAGCGAGCAGACCACATATACTATACCGCCAGAATCGTTAGCCTGTAGCGAACACGAACCAATAGCTACTATACACTCTCCCAGTGGGCGATTCTGGTAACAGATGGCGCTTTGCCCTGTCCTGTTTCATTGTGATCATCAAGTTTGCCTTACGTACTGATAATAAAACTTTTGTACATTGATAAACGTATGAAAAAATTTCCATTTCCAGAATTTACATAAGAAATACCTCTTACCATACTGTTGGCACTCGTCCACATCCTTGCAAGTTTTCTCGTCCACCCTAGAATAGCCTGTAGGACAGATACACATCGGACCCGATGGCAGTTGCTTGCACACGTGGGAACAACGATGTTTCTCGCAGGAATATTCGGGCGCAGTGCACAGTGGGGACTCGTCGTCTTCTCCTGGACAATCGTGGACTTTGTTGCAAACTTTGTCGATGTCCAGGCACGTGGAGTTATCTGAGCATAGGAATTTTTGGTTGTCTGGGACGCATTGGGCCAGCGGGACGTGATGTTCTGTGGGACAAGATGTTCGGTCAGTACAGGAAGTATCTCCTCATCCGGTCGGACAAATATTCTGATTCGAAAACGTATGAATTGCTAGCACCAAAAAAATTAAATATACGTCAAAAAACGAAGTTTTGACGGTTTTAACTTTTTCCTATTTCTGTTTTTTGCCCCAAGCTCTGCCGCCACCGGACCGATTTTCAAAAACTTCGTCCTTGGCATAGTAGTAACCTTATATGGAAATTTAATCCAAATCCGAGCAGAAATTTTCAAGTTATAGGCGTTCAAAGGATTAGCGGACAGACACGGTTTTTCATGATGTACGTCTCATATACCATCCAAAAAGCAATTCAGCAGACGCTCAATAACGTAAACAGGGGATAATGAAAACTTGCGCTAATGTAAACACATACTTCGTTCTATAGGATCAAACGGAACGCGCGATAACGTAAACAATGTGTACGCTCGATAACGTAAACAACTCTCGGCGCACGGAAACAGCGCGACGGTAAAACGCTGAAGCCTCGATGATTTATGTCGGGCGTCGGGGAGACCCCGATTTATGATGTAGAGTGCAGGGGATTCACCTCTGCGATAAAATACGACAAACTCGGTCAGTCGTATGATCGTTTAGGATACGTTTATACGTACGTATGTATTTCATTTTTGAACTTGAGTGAATACATTGCACGCGTTAATATATTTTACGACTATGGCATCCACATCCTATAAAAGAAAGTGTTTAAAGTTGAGTGAGAAAGTGAAAATCATAGACGAAGTTGCACTAGGTGTGGGAGTGACACAGTTAGGAAAAAAAATATGGAGTATCGAAAGCAACAATCTGTAAAATTAAGCGTATGAAAACTTAAATTTTACAAAGAACGTGCAATACACTTGGAGGTCCGGGAAAAAGAAAAACTTTAAAAAATGCGAAGGCACCTAAAATGGAAAATTCCCTGTATAAGTGGTTTTTAAAACAAGGGGAAAATCATGTCCCAGTTAGTGGCGAAGTACTTAAACAGAGAGCGAGACTGTTAAATGAAAAACTGAAAGAAACTGAAAATTTCGTAGCTAGTGATGGCTGGCTACAACGATTCAAAACAAGATATGGAATTCGACTGCTGTCTATATCTGGTGAATAATTATCAGCACAACCACAATTAGTGCAACCATTCAAAGAAAAATTGATGAAAACAATTACCGAACTAGATTTAAGAATGGAACAAATTTACAACGCAGATGAAAGTGGCCTTTATTGGAAAATGTTACCAGAGAAAACCTATGCTGCATCATTTGAAAAATCTGCCCCGGGAAGAAAGCCGGAGAAACAACGAATAACGTTTCTAGCCTGCACTAATGCTAATAGTTCACGCAAAATAAAGCCACTGATAATTGGGAAAGCAAAAAATCCGCGCTCATTTAAAAATGTTAATATCCCTTTTGATTATGACTGTTCAAAAACCGCTTGGATGACTAGCAGTATATTCCTGAAATGGTTCCGCAGGTGCTTTGTCCCTCAGGTATGACAATCAATTATCACAAATGCTCTATTCATAATTTGAAGGTAAACGGTTTCCTAAAACAACAGAAGCTTCCAATAAAAGCGTTGTTACTATTGGATAATGCACCAAGTTATCCTCCCGAGCAACAACTGAGGAGCAGGGATGGGTCAATTTTCGTCATGTACATGCCGCCCAACGTAACACCGTTAATTCAACCGATGGACCAGAATATAATAAGACTCACCGAACTATACTATAGGAAGTTTCTTCTTTCGTCTGTCTTATCAAAGAATGCTGAAAACTTATCTGAGGCTTTAAAAATGTAACATTACGAGAAGCTGTTTTAGATTTACATATGGCCTGGAATGAACTTAACCAGCAAACTATTCAAAAATGTTGGAACAATCTCTTTTGTACCAATAATGAAGATGATGAAGAAGACGATGTCTCCTTAAGCGTAATTTGAGAACGTTTGCGATCCAATAATGATAATGTTATTAGTGTGTCATTGGATGTTGTTGATTTATTGAAAACAGTGAATCCCAACATTGTTTGTACTCCTGCTGATATTAATTTATGGAACGAAGATAAGCAGACGAATGATGCTGATAAGGAGGAGGATATGGACAGTGAGGATGATGAGAACGATCCCATTGAAGTCAGAAGTGTAGTGACTGACGCGCAAGCTATACAAGTTTTTAAAGCAAGCTTTAGATTGGGCTGAAAGAAAAGAAGTTTCATACACGGATATTTTAGTTCTTCGTACATTACGGGCGCAGGCATCGGAAGACAATGCTAAGCGCAAATTTACGCAGACAAAAATTGTTAATTATTTTTCTTCTAATTAAACAAATACTTATCGCTGTTAGAATATTTGTTTATTTTGTTATAAATAATATGTATTAAACGTTTCTTTTAATAAATCAAATATTATATAAATCACGTTCGCTAATGTAAAGATTTCGATAATGTGAACCACACTTGGATTAAATTAGTTTACATTATCGAGCGTCTGTTGTACCTACCTCATTTTCGAAATTGTTCGCAATCATTCTTTAAACGAACCTGCATGTTACCAGGCTTCAATTTTTTTAACAAATTTCAAATATTGCTTTTTTCGCTGTATTCAAAATTTTGTCTTAGATAATTTTGGATCACTCGGAACAAAACAGGTACTCATGGATGTTTCTCTATCGTTTCTGTCATTCAAAAATTTTCGAAGCAGTAGGTAATCATGCAGAATATAGATTCATCGAGCGTTTGATTAACAATTTAAAAATTCAAAGATTTACATTACTATTCGTCATTGTTCGTCAGAGCAGTCCGGTGGACAGGAAAAAATAATACTTAAACACATAAGCAAAATAATAACACCAAAAAAAAAAAATACAATTAATAAGAATGACAACATTGATTGCACGAGACAAATGCAGATAGTATTGCGAGAGTTTTAAATTTGAAACAAAAATATTAGAAAATAGTCAAACAAAAAAAAATAAAAAAAAATCACATGGGCACAAGAAAAACTGAACTAAATGGACTCCAACAGCTGACTTTTCATTAATTTCTTAAAAGAAACAACCTGTTTGGATCGATAGCCACTGTTGACTGCATTGTAATGCTTGACAGCATTATAGGTGTAACTTCTTTCAAAGACCGAGGTATTGTGAGGAGGCATGTTAAAATTAGCATTAAATCTAAGAGCTCTGGTAACAAAACTACCTCGGTGAACTAATTTGCTAGCGAGGTAAGCTGGTCTGTTAGATAGTAGAACTTTATGCGTGAAGACGGTCAAAAGATATAAAAATAACTTATCAATTCGCAACCAGTTGAGTTCTTTGATTTTATCTGAGACGCGACTAAACTTGCGCAATCCAAAAATAAACCTACAACAGCTGTTCTGAATTTTCTGGAGTTTCCTTTTGTGGACGTAGTCTAAACATGGGTAATACAGAACAAGAGAGTAAGAAATGACAGACAACACAAGACTTTCAGCGAGCCTTTTTCGGGTTTTAAAATTCAAGATGTATCGATTAGAATAGAGGAGTTTCAAACGCAAATACGTTACTCTAGATAAGAAAAACATGCCGATCGAATCTCATATTTAAATCAATCCACAAAAGGGATGAGTGTCTCATCCAAAAAAACACAAATCCTCTGCTTCATTTTACGGTAGGAGTTCTTCGAACAGTACAACATTGCAGTAGTTTTATTGGGATTGATCTTCAAGCAGTGTTTGTTACAGTAATCACCGATGTTAGCCAAATCTAAATTATCTTTAAAAGAAACTTCATCAACCTTTGATGGATCGAAACCAAACACTAACTGAGTATCATCTGCATAAGTTTGCATACTACAGTGGACTAAACAGTCTTGCAGATCGATCGTATAAATCAGATATAGTAAGGGACCTAATACTGAGCCATGAGGAACTCCTGAAGGAACTGGCTCAGAGGAGGAAATTCCCTGATCAGTTTTCACTGTTTGTTGACGATTTAGCAAGTATGACTCAAAGAACCTTAGAACTATATCTGACATTCCATAATGAGATAACTTACTCAGTAGTATCTGGTGATTGACCATATCAAAGGCTTTCGAGAAATCTAACAGTACCAAGACGGTGTTGATGTGATTGTCTAAATTGTGAATGATGGAATCAGTGAGATGTAATAAAGACGAAGTAGTGCTGTAACCAGCTCTGAAACCTGACTGATCTAGAGGAAATAAGTGATTTTGTTCGAAAAACTCCACTAGTTGTGAGTAGACAGCTCTTTCGAGTATTTTTGATAGAAAGCATAATAAGGTAATTGGCCTGAGATCCGAATATTGTTCTGGATGATTAGTTTTAGACATTGGAATAATAATACCATTTTTCCAACTGGCAGGAAAGTAACCTGTTTCGAAACAGACATTAATAATGTGAGTTAATGCTTGGAAATCGCGCTGGCAGCGCTGCATCGACGCAGAAGGAGCCTATTTTGAAAGTTTTTAGAAAATTGTAACGATTAGCTCAATACATTTTTTTAAATCGACTTAGTCCTATGACTTTCCGGATAAACCCTGTATGTCAATATGGAAACAGTTTAGGGAATTCTGCAAGGCAACGAAATACGTGCTTTTGAGTACTACAAGCTCAGAGCAACTAAACTAACAGTTTGTGTATTGTGATTAAATAAATTACCGGTTTTTCAGCTATGTGTAAGCGAACAATCTGTTACTCATGAAATAGTCTTGTCAAATACCATTCGGACATTCAGATTTTTTTTTGTTTTTATTTTATTTTATTTATTTTTATTTTTCCTCATTTGTTGTCACTATTGGATATCTTCCACTAGAAAAAGCAATTGGTAAAATTTTATGTTTATTCCAATTTTCGCAAATTCTTTGTGCAGCCACTGGTCACCGAGATATCGATGACAAAGGATCATTTTTTATACAGAATCAGATATCTTCGCGCCAGATGATTTTATTAAGATTTTAAAAACATACTATTGAAGCTAAATAAACGGGCTATCCTATCCATACGATGGCCTAATAGAAAAAAATTCGAAGCCCGTAGTGTAAAAAGAAAGCAAAAATTTCGAAAAAAAATGATTCTTGCACTACCTGTAAAAATTGCATGAGAACCTTTGCTCCTAAAATTTAAAAAGCCTGATAACTAGAATCTCAAAGCCTAGATTTTTCACCGATATACAGCCTTTCAAAAATCAGCAAAAGATGTGTATACTAAGTGACATATAAATCCGAACACCCAGTTTAAATGGTTTTATTTTAATAAACGTTGGTTTATCTTACTGTAAATAACAAGTGAAAAAATTTTCAGCCTTATCAGTTGGACATTCCGGTTTTTATACTGCTTTTTTTTTAATTCACTAACGCTCTAAAAATGAAGATTTCAGCCGCAGTAAAGAATCAACGTTGGCGGATTTTGGTTCTTGACATCCTTTACGATCGGTTACGATGCCTATAGTACGGAGACCTGTACGATTTCGTCAACTTAATGAGTTTGATAGGGGCCGTATAGTGGGACTTCGGGAAGCTGGACTTTCTTTTCGGGCAATTGCAGTTAGAGTGCAAAGAAGTGTAGACACTGTGGTTAGGTGTTGTCAGGCATGGCTTCGAGAAGGCCGTACGCAAAGAGCAAGGGGCACTGGACGCCGCCGTAGAACAACAGATCGTGAAGATCGCCGCCTAAGATTATTGGCCTTAAGGGACCGTTTCTCCACTACCAGGTACATTGCAAATGAATGGTTTGCAGAACACGGAAGACCTATTGGCATGCGAAGTGTTTACCGACGAATGAGAAGTTTTGGCTTGTTTTCATACCGGCCACACTGGGTCCTCCCTTTAACTGGAGAACACCGACGTAATCGCCTTGAGTGGTGCAGACAACGGTCACTCTGGGATCAGGAATGGAACAGTATTGTCTTTAGTGACGAGTCTCGATTTTGTTTAGGCATGCACGATGGTCGTGCCAGGGTGCGAAGGCGACGTGGTGAAAGGAGGAATCCACAGTTTTTTGTTGAAAGACATGTTCATCACACTGTTGGAGTTATGGTTTGGGGTGCTATAGCTTATGGTTCCAGGTCACCTTTAATCTTCATCAGAGGTAAACATGAACGCGCAGCGTTATATCCACGAAGTTCGAGAACCCCATCTTTTACCCTATCTTGACACCCTGACAGATCCAACTTTCCAACAAGATAATGCCCGACCACATGTTGCAAGAGTCACAATAGACTTCTTTCAACATAATGATGTCACATTGTTACCATGGCCACCAAGACCTCCCGACTTATCCCCAACTGAGCACGTGTGGCATATGATGGGTAGGAGATTGCTCAATTTGCAAAGTCCTCCTCAGACTCTAGAAGCACTTCGAGAAGAGTTGGTGGTTGCCTGGAATGAGATACGACAGGAGGACATTGACCACCTGATCAGAAGCATGCATAGGCGCGTTGGAGAATGCGTAGCACATCAGGGTGCATCCACACATTATTAATGGTCAAAGGGCTTTAAAGCAAAGCAATCATTTTGAAATTTTTATCATTTACTTATTATGCTTCATTAAGTACTTATACAAAATTTTATTAAAATAAAACCATTTAAACTGAGTGTTCGGATTTATATGTCACTTAGTATATTTTTGTCTTGCTCCCTTAATTGTTTTGAGTAGTGTAATACACAATACTATCCCTAATGCGACATTCGTATGTTCCCCAAATCCTTTTGAAGTCAAATCAAAATCACTAACCACCAAAACCCGATTATGAAAAAAATCCGCGGAAAATTTCAGATCAACTGAAGTAAACCTTTTCTTTTCTGAGAATCGTAAATGTTCTCTTAGGCCCGTATCGTCAGTCGTCCCTACAATTGTAGGGCACCTTTATGGCCTCCTTGATTGTTATAGTTTTCTACTTCTCCGTGTCAGCGCTCTATTTTGGGGTTATGTCACAAACATTTATTTGCATCAAATTGTGCTTGCTTTTGAGTTATATCATGTTATATCAGTCTGAAATTTCCTACAATTTAAAAAGAAAAAATATCTTCACAGTAGGACAGCGCTGACGCTGACCCGGGACAAGTGTAATCTAGAAATTTTTGAATGAGAGAAAGGAGTATGACAATCAAGGAGGCCATTAACGCACCCTACAATTGTACGGACGATTGACGATACGGGCCTTATCGCTTACCGCAATCCTTCTCATCGCTGCCATCATTGCAGTCATCCGTTCCGTCGCATCTCCATTCGTGCGGCACGCATCTTCCGTTCCCGCACCGGAACTGATCGCACCGAGTTTTCGCCTGTTCCTCGCATCCGGACACTTCATCGGTGCCATCCAGACAGTCCTTCACGCCGTTACAAACCCACTCGTGCGGGATGCACAGTTTGTCTTCGCACTGCCATTCGGTTGCTCCGCAATGGGACGAGCTGTTGTTCAACTGTTCCTACATTTTAGAAAAAAACGACTGAAAAATGTCGCTACGTAGGTTAGCTACGAACATGTATAACAAAAAAAAAATCGATGGATCAAGTCAGTCAAATAGGCACATACAGGGTGACTTTTAATGTCACGTATTCCTGTTAAGGGGTGATAGATTAGGTCAAAAGCAACCGATTTTGTCCTATAATGTCCTATCCAGAAGTTAACCGTTTTTGAGTTATTTGAATTTTATTTTTTATTCCGATTTCAGACGGTTAAATTTGAAATACAAAAAAACTACATGTTTGATTTTGAGTTTTTTGTTATCGTCGCATAGCGGACATTCCAATACAATTTTTATCGAATAAGTTAGTAAAAAAATAAGAAAATCATACATTTCAAAAGCGTAATTTTAAAACTTTTGTAAGTTTTCAACATTTTACTTATTATGAACTATTGGAATGTCTGCTATGCGACGATAACAAAAAACTCAAAATCAAGCATGCAGTTTTTTTGTATTTCAATTTTAACCGTCTGAAATCGGAATAAAAAATAAAAAAAATAAAATTCAAATAACTCAAAAATGGTTAACTTTTGTATAAGACATGATAGGACAAAATTCGGTTGCTTTTGACCTAATCTATCACTCCTTAACAGGAATACGTGACATTACAAGTCACCCTGTATAATTAGACCACAGCTCACACGCATTCGACAGCGTTGCTATCTAGAAAGGACCAGGCACAAAACATATGGTCAATGGCCTCAGTCGATTGGTCTAAGAATTCAGTATAATATACAGGGTGTTCGATAAACAGACAGAGATATTAGAGAGGGTTATTCTTTGTTAAAAAATGAAAGAAGTTTCTATAAACATAGGTTTGGAAATGCAGAGTTTTCAAGGTACAAAGAGAAGAACTAAAAAAAATTATTAATATCTTAAAAAATATTTACTCAATTGTGTTGAAATCTGGCAATTTTTTTGTTGTATTAAGAGGCTAATTTAGCCCTAAATAGATTAAAACTGTTAGGTCCAGCCACGTCCCAGTCTGCACCTTAGAGAATATTATTGACAGAAGAAATGTACGCCACTGCTTTTTTGTAATTTTAATATTTGTTGTTTGATTGAGCATCTAAAAATACAACTTCTTTGCCTTACGTGTTTTTTTTTCGATAAAAAAAAAATAAAAGGAGCGGAGTGTCAACCTACTTGACGCCATTTTTGCCTCTTTTACTGGAAAAATTTCAAAAATTATAAAGCTTATCAAATTATAGCGGGTGGGAAGATTAGCAAAGAGACAGACTGACAGATTGAAAGTTTCAACTTTCAATAATAATTACAATATTTATTCGCTAGTGGCGTGGGGAGTAAAAAACGCGTCAAAACGGGAGGAAAAAAATTAATACTAATTTATGACCTTCTGGGTGCAAACGTATTTCGAGAAAAACACTTACCACAAAGGATTCACAGTTTTGTTCGTCAGAGTAATCGATGCAGTCGTTATCTCCATCACAAACGAACACCTTTGAGATACATCTAGCGTTTTTACATTTGAAGAAATGTGGTTCTTCGCACAAGTACAAATCTGCGTTGAGAATGAATGCATTAAATTCTAATATAGTCTCTGATCAATATACAGGGTGTAAACGTTATGATAATCATTATTGAAATGGGTAATAGCGGGGTCAAAACGAGGCAAAACGTTCATTTGACCCAATCGATTTTTGTCTAAATGGCTTTATAGTTTACAACTTTAAGTGCTTTATATCGACCACAATCTTAATAATTTTTTAATCTAATCTAAAACGTTTTTAAATTGGGTAATTAACAAATAAATTGCATTAAGTTTGTCTAAGTTAAGCCAAAATTTGTAGTCAGTAAGTGAGTTTCATTAAATTAAATATTTAAAACACACACGACAACAGCGCGTCGGTCTTTCATCACTCTTATCGAACCGGCAATCGATCGCAAACGGGTACGTCGTCGTGTTTATTTACAATATTCTCGAATCAAGAGTTCGCCGACATGTTGTTAGTTTACGGTGAAGCTCGTCAGAATTGAAATCTTGCAGCTCAAGTTTATCGCGACAGATATTTCGCCAACGGGTACACCCTGACAGAAGGACATTTGCGGAAGTGTACCAAAGACTTCGAGATACAGGAAGTGTTCAGCCCACTAATATTCGCACTCGTGAAAGACAGGTTACTGTAGAGCAGGAGGAACAAATTTTAAATATCCTGGAAATCAATGCAGATATCAGCACTCGGGAATCAGGCCGCCGCGTAAGCCTATCGCATACCATAGTCCCAGGGGCGTAGCTATCCTAGGGCAAACCGGGCCAGTGCCCCGGGGCCCCGGCCATGCGCCTCAAAAAAATTGTTTTTAAGCGCCGATCGGCAATAAATTCATTAAGTGCTAATATAACCTAGGTATACTAGAAAGAAAAATAAATAATAAATATAATGATAAATAATGTTTATTTTTTAAAACGCTACATATTTGAGGAAAACGCTTGCGTTCCTAAATGAATGTAGCTATAATCGGTCGGCCCGCGACGGGCTTGGCACCACCGCCTTAATATTACGTCTCGTCTTTGGGGATTCCCCGATCTATTGTTTTGATGATTTTAACTACCCAGCGTGCCCTATGTGATATTGATACGTGTCGTAGTCGTGCCGTGGTGCCCGGCGTGGTGTAAAATAAAATTACTATATTTGTATTGTGACTATTGTGTCTCGTTATAATAAGGTACCTATTAGAAAAAAGGTAAGTGTAAGTTATATTACTTAATGAATAAATGGCTCGATTTTGATTTGTGCGTAATTTTGTTTGTAAATGTACATTTGTCCATTACCTTGCTGAGTAAAGGCGCCCGCAGAATTTCCGTAACGTAAGACTTAAGAGTTAAGTTTCATTTAAGATAGATTAAGACTTAACCGCAAGGAATTATACAGAATTCTGATCAGGTGATTTATAAAGTATAGTCAAGACTTAAGCCTTAAGGCATGAGAAATTACGTTACAGCTTAAGGCGTAAGTCTGGGCTTAAGTCTTTTGTTACGGAAACTCTGCGGGCACCTTAAACCCGACACTAAATTCGAAAAGCTTCTTAAAGACTAAAAATGATCTATTGACTGTTTCTCTAAGTATATAGTATATCGAACAAATTGTAAGAAATGACGAAAAAAATAATCCTGTAAAAGTTACAGCTCTTTAACATTTCTTCATTAACATGGGAAAAAAATTGTTTTCAACTTTTGAATTTTTTTCTCATTACTAAATTATCATACGGATGAGTTCATAGTTTACTGTTATAGGGAATTGAATGCTTTACAAAAAAGGACAATTTTCCGATAAACATACTCGTTCAAAAGTTTTTCGACGGAAATGGAAATTTTCGATGCGGCACCACTTAATATTAATATTAAGAGCTATTACTTTTACAGGATTTTTTTTGTCATTTCTAACAATATTTTCGACGTACTTGAGAGAAAAAAATAGACGATTTTTTTGAAACAGTCTAATTGATACACAACTATCGAACTATATATTTAATGCATTTAAAAACGGTTGTGTATTCTTCTCTTTGCAGAATTAGCAGATTGCGGAACAAAACGCAAAAAAAAAATAAAAATGGAAGATAAGCGGAAATATCAGTCTGGAGCACAGAAACGAAAATTGAAATTAGAAAAAGAGGAAAAATTAAAAAAGCATGCTGAAAAAGAACAAGTAACTATGCAAAATATATATTCTTTTTTTGATTTAAGTATTGATAGATGGGATCTTTTAGCTTCTTTTACCAGTGAATCCAGAACAACTTTAAAAACATTAAATCCAACTCGTTGGTCAGGAAGGATATTGTCTATTAGTGCTGCCAAACTTCGTTATCTTGATATTATTAAATTAACAGAAATAGGCTTACAGTCTCATAAAAAAGAAGAAAGAGAAGAAGCTTCTTCCATTAAAAAACAAATGTGTTGCTTTGAATTTGTATTTATTTCAACAATGTTGTATAAAATCTTTACCCAGGTTAACTTCGCCTCAAAGGTCCTTCAAAAGAAAAATATTGATTTAAGTGAATCTGTGACTGTTTTAGAACAAGTAGAAAAGAACCTTACTGACTTAAGATCTTCTTGGGAAATTTTAATGATTGAAGCTACGGAACTGGCTAACAAATGGAATATTCAACCGGAATTCAGGCAAAAATGTCAACCTAAAGTTAAAAAACACTCTTTGACGAACTCTTAAGTGATTACAGATTTAATAATACTCAAATTTTATTTAAAATGAATGTTTTTAATGTTGTTATGAATCGTGTTCTGACATAGATTTCTAATAGATTTAGGAGCATGAAAAAAATTAATAAATTGTTTGATTTACTTCTTCCAAAAATTATATTAAGTTGCGATGAAACATCCATTAAAAATAAATGTACAGCCATTTATAACAAATATCCTGAAATATTTGATTTAAATAATTTAATATTTCAGTATACCAATTTGTTAAATGTTTGTAAAAGAGACCTTAAGAATGATCTATCAATTAAGGAATATTTCAATATAATTTTAAATAAGTATGGGGTACTTGAAAGCGACTTCAGTGAAGTTTACTTAATGTTCCTTTTATTTTTTACGTTGCCTGTAACTACTGCATTTGTTGAAAGATCATTTAACAAGCTAAAACTTGTAAAAAACTATCTTAGATCTACTACAGGCCGGATTAGATTGAGCGATCTTGCTTTACTCTCTATAGAGAATGAAGAAGCCCAAAACCTTGATATAAATGATATTATCAACGAATTTGCAAATAGAAAAGCAAGAAAAAGGAATTTTTAATTTTATCATTGCTTAATTTTTGACTTTTGTTATTTCATTATTTTAATTTATGTTACTTTTTGTTTTTATGACAATAAACAATTTTTTTATTATAACATGATATTTTTTATTCTTAAACATACTCATGAGGGCCCCCAAAAAATGTTTGCCCCGGGGCCCCATGTCCATAGAATCCTACGGGAAAATTTGCTTTATCCCTACCATTCAGTATTTGAGTGAACATTATCCAAATTGCTGGATCGGTCGAAATGCTCCTGATCCTCGAAAATGGCCAGCAAGATCTCCTGACCTCAATCCGATGGATTTCTGGTATTGGGGAGAACCTAAAGGGATGGTGTATGGGGCTGGTCCAATAACAACTGAAGCACAACATCGCGAAAAAAAATTTAATGCGGCTGAAATAATAAATGGACAACTTCGAGGACCTAGAGTAAGAAGAAACAGTGTAGTTTTTAAAATGAAAAACAATGTATGTATCAAAATTGTGTTCCCTATTTATAAGTGGAGACAGTTAGTAGCAAGTCCGTTTTTTTAATTGTTTGCATTTTACGAGTACATTATCAAATATTGAAATAATACCTAAGAGCCAAAAATAACAAATTCCATCTTTATTTACACTGCGTTCCGTCGTAATTTGCGTCTGGCATTGCGGCGTTGTCAAATTTTATTTTACTTTAAAGTCGCTTTTCTCTAAAAAAATGCCGTTTTGACCCCCATGTTATATGAAACTTTTGGCTTCTTTTAACTCCTTCTATCACCCATTTAACGAATGACTATCATAACGTTTACACCCTGTATATGTACGTTCCATAATTATGGATGATTAATTATAATTAATCAAGATCTCATATGTTTTGAGAAATGGTGAATGCGATGGGTGTCCCTACATACGTTTTCACATGTCCATGCACCATTTTTTTTAAATAGGATTCCAAAACCTGAGCTAAAATTCAGTGGCGTAGCTTGCTCCTCAGGGGCCCCATATCAAAAATTGTGGGGTGGCCTTACCCAACCGTTGTGAATTCCAATTGGATAGTTAAATTTGAAGTATATCTTTTTTAAAAAAGCATAAACGCTTGTATTGAATAATATGACGGAAAGCCGCAGGAAGTTTTCACAGTCAGAGGAGATGGATCATCGGCAAGAGATATCTTTTTGTAGGAGTGTAACTACCCTCAAAGCTTTTTGAAGTACGAGGAGAGGCAGAGTTTTTCGAGACGCGGTGAACAGCGAATGCGAAAATTTTGTTCAGATAAATGTGTTTTATTGTATGATGTCTACAACACGTAAAACCATGCGGGGTCATAGTAAGTAAAATGGCGTTCAGATCGCCCAACGTTTTACAAATTTCTGAACATTTTTAAGGGTCAAAGATCTTTCTGAAAATGTTGAAATTTCGAAAATTTGCTATCATTGTTCCTGATCGCTACAGGTTAGAGCATGTTCAAAAACATTATGAAGCTCAAACATTTTTTTTCTTTAGCAAGGCTTATCTTGACTTACGGAATATTCGAAGATAGCCATAGGTGAATGCTTGAAAGGTACCGAAAAAAACAATTATCAAACCATCCCTAGTAGAAGAAGAAAATTTTCATCCTCCGAAGACAGTACCATGCTTTATAGTCAAAGTTGCCTCATAAATATACAGGGTGACTTCGAATTTGAGTCATTTATTTTAACAGTGAGTAGATCTGATCAAAAGAAATGTTTTTTTCCTTTAACATTTTTGTGGTAAAATTAAAGTAACAAAGTTATAGCCATTTAGAAGTTTGAGTACCGCCCTGTCTCAATAATAATATTATGTGCTCGTGTTTGGCAACAACGGATATAATCCGCCTTATCGGTTCATCGCATCGGAAACAAAAAAGCGAAAGAATTTGAAACGCTGATCACGATGTTTTTATTCAGTCAATGTGTCAGTCGGTAACGCGTGAGTGAATAGTGGTGTTTGCTGCGTGGCTCAAACGAAATAAAAAATGGCACACGTTTATGCGGATCGGTTTCCCAATCGAGTGCAACCAACCCCACGTGCCTTTGTTAATGTAGTACAACGGGCTCGTGAATCAGGTGACTTAAGACCTCGCAGGGGAGGGCATGCCGGTGCTCCAAGACCTCACGATCAAATACAGGTCCGCACTGAAATACTTGTTGGGAGGATACTTTATAAAACAAGGTAAAATTTTTTTTTTATTTTTACACACATATTTTGGTTTATCTTCCTTCTACAATCATTATCTGAAAATTAATGACTCAACTTCAAAGTCACCCTGTATTTTAAATACTCTTAATTTCGAAAAGCTCCACTCAGCTGTTATTTAGAGGGTTAATAATAGGAAGCATTCACGTAATCATACAATCTAAGGCTTAGCTCAGTGAAGAACAGTTAACGCATTTTTTTTGTAGGTGGGGCCCACAGTGAACTGGAGCGTATTTTTGAAACAACCCTCGTACATCACCCACCATCCCACCTAAAAAAATTTCAAGAATTCGCCCTGTTAAGCCATCTTACTAAAATATAGTATTATTACTCAGAATTTTAAAAGCACTGTAACAGTGTAAGTTTAATAACTCAAAGTCTAGTGATTTTATCTGAATCAAACCTTCTACCAAAAAAATGCTTAAAAAAAATTTAATCCGAACTTGCAAAAATATACAGGGTGATGCACTTGAAATTTTTGAGAAAAACTACAATTTGCGTTTTTGACCACCCTGTATGAGCAAAAATTAAAATTCGAAAAAGTAACAAATAAGATAAAAACTGAGGTGTGTAGATTTTTTTTGATACAAAATTCAGCACTCCAAATTTCAAAATGTCGGACTGAAGGGTTGCCGAAGTGGGGAGTTTTTCTAGACAAAACACCTTATAGCTCAGTAGCTAATTACTAAAACCTCATAGTATGTTATATCAATTTTCCTCTTTTGAATTGGTTTATCCAAATAAGCAATAAAATTTGAGGCATTCCATTTGAAAAATCACAACTTTGATATGTAGGTCGAAATTGGGACACCCTGTATAGTGGCCAATATTTTATAAATGTGCCCTGAAAAGTCATGAATAACATCCCTCAAGTAGATTTTCCCAAAATGTATTTGTTTATGAGTAATATTCCGTTCACACATGGATGAACAGTCATTCTTGTTTTCAACGCAAACTTCGTATCTTTAAATAAATGATAAAAATAAACTTACCACAATGTTCTTCATCAGAATTGTCTCCACAATCATCGTTCCCATTACATCTAGCTAATATCGGAATACATTTATCGTTTCTACAACTGAATTGGTGGATCGTGCAACTATTGAAGTTCTTAAAATCGAACCATGATTCGAAAATCGCAGAACACGTTGTTAGCTGTATGCCAAGAAGGAATATTCCTAGCATCCTAGATAGTACAAAAAATAAATATAGAGAGCAGTTTAGATTGTAGATAACGTTTGTTCTAAAAGCTTTGCGACAAAATATTTATCGGAATTTTTTTTAATGAATTTAAATGATGATGATTTAAAAAAAAAACAGATGTTTTTTGAACTACTATCAGTGCTTGGTCATTTAAAGCTATAAGCAACAAAACTTTGAAGCTTAGGAAGGTCTAATTTCACACCTTCGTAATTTTTCTGAACCGAAATGTGCGTAACTAGAAAAGCATTTGATATCAGTTCGTGGAAAATGCGAAAATTCTCTTTGAAATCGCAAAACTTAGTAAAACGGGATACGTAAATATTAAAACAATATTGACTTGAATAATGTCCATAAAGATGCAAATAAGGTTCTTGAATGTATGATTATCTTCCTTTTTGTGAGGTTTGAAAGTTAAAGCAGTCATTTTTCAAAATATAAAAGTTTTAAAGCTTCATGAGAGATCAACATATTGAAATTTTTGGAAGGTCTAAGACATTTTTGAGATACGTAGTATGAAAAATGTAAGGTTGCCTAGAACGCTCAAAAACCATCAAAAAAATCTCGTACTTATACAATATATTTGATTAGATAAACCAAACGCTAATCGTAAGCAACATCACCCGCTTTTTTCTCAGAAATTCCTTGTAGGATTAGATACATGCACTCCAAAACCTTCAAAATTTTATTTTTAAAAACGTGATGACGTTTTCTTTTTTTCATACAAAATCCATCTTAAATTATCAAGATATGTTACTGATATTTCAAAACCTAAGTGTCCTTTACGTTCCTCAATTTTTGAAGAACAGAAGCAGTGATATTTGTAAATTCAACTTACCTTTTATCAATATTTTTTACACTGCACATATGAGTTGCGGAGTTTTTGAAACTGATGTGTAGATGCTACTTCTCAACTATGATGAAGGAATGGTAACCAGTAGTCACGCTGAGACCTTCTTCAGCTCTTTTTTAGTATAGTGGCGAAAAAAACCTGGTCCTCCAAAACAAGTAAAAACAGAAGGAACGAAGGTTACCAACGGATAATGAGAACACGCTGAAGAAAGATATACAAATTATTTCAGTTTCATTGTTTAACTGTTCTTGATAATTTTGTCAAAGTAGGGGATATGGTTAGTATGATCTACCACAAATTATCAATTCGTCTGCATTCCTTAGATGCGTGGGAATTGAAATATAAATTCAGGAATATGAGGCCTTCAGGCATAGGCGTTACGAGTATTTTCCTGACGCTGAGACATGGGTGCACGCAAAAATTTTCCTTCAGAGGGGTGATCATCGCAAAATATGACTGTTTGTAAAAGTGTTGTAGACGAAAATACCACTGGTTTGCGAAATAATTGTATAATCTGATTTTATTGCTGCAGGTTGTTCAAGGGGGTATTCAAAACATTCGACAACAAAGAATGCGAAAACGTGTATTTTGGGATTCAACCGAAAGTGTTGACATATAAGATCTTTAGTTGTTTCTGATACCTACAAAATGAGGGAACGTAAAAAGATCGGACTAACAGCAAAAATGATATATATCTATATATATATATATACAGGGTGACTTTGAAGTTGAGTCATTAATTTTCAGATAATGATTGTAGAAGGAAGATAAACCAAAATATGTGTGTAAAAATAAAAAAAAAAATTTACCTTGTTTTATAAAGTATCCTCCCGACAAGTATTTCAGTGCGGACCTGTATTTGATCGTGAGGTCTTGGAGCACCAGCATGCCGTCCTCTGTGAGGTCTTAAGTCACCTGATTCAAGAGCCCGTTGTACTACATTAACAAAGGCACGACGGGTTGGTTGCACTCCATTGGGAAACCGATCCGCATAAACATGTGCCATTTTTGATTTCGTTTGAGCCACGCAACAGACACCACTATTCACTCACGCGTTACCGACTGACACTGACTGTATACAACTGAATAAAATAATTGTAAAAACATCGTTCCAAATTCTTTCGCTTTTTTGTTTCCGATGCGATGAACCGATAAAGCGGATTATATCCGTTGTTGCCAAACACGAGCACATAATATTATTATTGAGACAGGGCGGTACTCAAACTTCCAAAGGGCTATAACTTTGTTACTTTAATTTTACCAGAAAAATGGTAAAGGAAAAAAACATTTCTTTTGATCAGATCTACTCACTGTTAAAATAAATGACTCAACTTCGAAGTCACCCTGTATATACAGGGTGGCGCATCGAAAACGAAACAGACGCATTTATTGGCAGCTCAGTTTTGTTTTGGAAAAACGCTCAGACCTGTTAATTTTATTTTCGAGGGGGACACAAGTTTGGCAAAAAATCACTGGGCGGGGGTGACATCAACCCTAAAATCTTAAATGGAAAGGGGGGGTCGAGTGATACCTTATTTTAAAGCTCTTTCAATTCCCTTTATAATGATGTAAAATACATGAGCTTCAGTTAAGTAGTTTTGAAGATTTATTGATTTAAAGCTTAAAGTAGACTTTAATAGGTACATCAGATTAGTTTGTACTACTTTCAGAGGAAATTTGACTAAAAGAATTTAATTAATAAGTAAATGCTGTTCTACACTACGCCCATGGTTTGTTTATCATTTTGTTGTTGAAAATAGCTATTGGAGCGTTTTTTTGTGACCAAAAAGTTATTTCTTGAAGTAAGATAAGGGAATATCTTCATCCATATAAAATTCACCTGGTACAAGAACTTAATGAAGACGATTTTGATCGGCGATTACAATTTTGTGAAGATAGGAGTGAACGAATTGTAAACGATGAACATTTTCTATTCAACACTTGCTTTTCCGACGAATGTTCCTTTTTCTTAAATGGCGTAGTAAATCGTCATAACTGCCAATATTGGTCCGATTCTAATCCCAGAATCTATCATGAGGTTCATACACAGCAGCCACAAAAATTAAATATTTGGGCTGGTATTTTTGGCGATCATTTAGTTGGTCCTTTTTTCTTAACTGGAAATTTGACCGGTGAAATGTATTTGGAATTACTGGAAGACGCCAGAGATCCTGATCCTGCATTAACAGTCATAATTGAAAATCAGAATGATCGGCGGTACATTGCGAATAGGTTGATGTTCCAACAGGTGGTGCCCCACCACATTACGCATTACGTGTTCGACAATATTTAGATCAGACGTTTCCAGATCAATGGATTGGTAGAAGAGGTGCCATTGAATGGCCCTCAAGATCGCCAGATTTATCACCTTTGGATTACTTTATGTGGGGTCATTTAAAAAGCAAAATCTATGCTACTCAGCCAACATCATTAGAAGACCTGCGACAAAGAATTGTGAAAGAGTGCCTTCAAATTACTCCTCAAATATTGCAAAATGTGCGGCAACGTTTTGAGCAAAATCTTTATTATTGCATGGAGAGCCATTGTGGCCATTTTCAACATTTACTTGCCTAACAAAAACTCGGCGTGTTGAAATTTTAGGAAAAAAATGGAGATTAATTAATATTTTCAGAACTGCTTCAGATATTTCATTGTACGTAGTGAAAGTTAATAAAGTTGCATATTTCTCAATGCAAAAATAATTTTTAGCTTCAACAGTGGCGTGCGTACGGGTATTGACTTCGATATTTTTGAAGAAAAAAATGGTACGCCAATGGTTTTTTGCAAATGCAAATTATTTTTGAATTCCTCGTTCAATTTGAAAGAAACGATCTCTCTTGAATTGTTTTCCTTCAATGCGCCATTTTTGAGTAAAAAAATAAAAACCGTTCTATCGGCCTGTATAGCAAAAAATATATTATTGTCACATTGCAGAAGGAAGAAAGATATCGATGATGGCAAAGGAAAAATGAACATCGTACAAACTGTTACTGAGTACATATCATTGATTAATTTTTATAGAAAGTATAATTGTCTTCTCTTAACCTCTCACAGATATTTTTTTCTCGTCATGTCACTTTATTCCCGAATGTGTTACAAACATTAAACATTTCGTCGACATCCTTTCCAATGCTACCATATTTCAATTTTATTTTCTTCTTCATTCCCCTATTGCAGTGACATTGTTAATATCGGAACAGCCAGAAACTTCTGGTAGACCTAAGTGTTCCGTTGCTACGATCCAGGGTGATAAAGTAACACAAATTAGTAGCCAGAATGTGTATATTTATGTAAATTTTTATACAATATAGTAAAAAGTTTTTGAAAAGTTACAGGATATAAAGCTTGAAGGATATCCTTCTTACTAAAACTAAAAGGATTCTTTGAACCATTATGAGGCTAATTTTCCCTTTGACGGTAATCTGCTGCGTTTTAAAATGAGATATAGGTATAAAAAGGTTGATTTGAAAAAGGTGGTCCTTATGAGGTTTTTGTAATGATTCTTCAATTACATTTTATAAAACGAAACTACAAACAACTATTTCGAAAATAACAGATTCATACACCATTGGGGGAAGGTGATTCGATACTATAAACAAATAAACAAGTAAAAATCTATCGTTAAACAACATGTTATTATGGTATATTGCGACTGATTGACAGCGCTAGTAAAGAGAGTAACAAGTCATCTTTGATCCAAAATTTTCTTCTGAAGTATGATCTTCCAAGACTCTTCGTATTCAGAAACGACCCTAAGGGCTAGGGTCCCTTGATGAACCCCTGGAGGCAGAATTGTAGCAAATATTTTTGATAACCCTTGAGTGAATCTCTGATATATCCAATTATTGTCATATCTGGGTTTATAATGTTTTCGCTATCGTAAAGATGCGCTCCCAGCTGAAATTTCCCTATAACAGAGTTCATTTCGGCTGGTCGGAGTCCAGAACACCGAGGACCTGATCTGATACGAACATATCTCGTCAATTGCTGCAGCTGCTGGGTAATAGCTAGGCTATTTGTTTAGGGCTAAGAAGAACTTTTTGTTTGTGGTGCTGCCGCCCCGACTACTTTATCCATGCTCGATGCTATTCAGAGAACCGATTCGACCGCTCCTGTGTCCCTAGGGCATCCAGATTGTGGAACAATCTACCTGAGGAGGATTTTTCTGGTTATACTAACCTTGGGCAGTCCAAAGATCGGACTAACAAAATTTCCCTAGGATCCACATAGCAGCCGCGGTGCCCCGGCATTTAGGCTTCTACCTTTTTTTACGGTAAGTAAATATTGCCACGTTGTAAAAGACCTTCTGCAGTTTCAAAGGGACCCTAACCATCAAGTTCGTTTGTGAAGTACAGCTCGTCAAGTGTAGGAAGAGATGCGAATTTTTGAATGTCACGCATTCTCGGGCGCAGTAGCTAGCGGCTCAATTCGCTGGACGATAGGTTTGAGATATACGATTCTTTTCTCTGAGCTCGCTCATTTCCTTCATCTCTCTTTAGTGAGTTATTCGTTGAACGATACGATTACCGACCGACCTCGAAGCGGACGAGAGTATTGTGTTGCCTATAGTAACGACTCACTGAGTCACAGAATAAACATCATACATGTACTATGAAAATTAAATGAAGGGTTGAGGTTGCCGACGTTATTGTATTTATTTAAATATTAATATTTTTGGTTGAAATTGAATATAACGAATGTATACTGTTTTCCGAAAAAAGAAGGGATATATATATGTGGTCCAGTTTTGAGGAATTACCGAATTTTGAATCAAAATACAATGTTTGCTCTCATTTCAACGTATAATTCAATGAGATCTCAAAATAAAACAATCTGGGGGGGGGGGGGGTAGGGCTCTTTTGTTTCCCACTCTTTCATATAAGCTTGCTGTCTATGTTCGGCTTTCTACAAAGATTCCGCTCCTTTTTTTTCTCTTCCAGAGCAACGTGATTCGGAATCCGACATATTATCGTTATTGAATTGAAACCGGTTAAATATCGAAAATAACTGAAACCGGTCTTTTGATTTTTAAGTTTCAAAAGTCATTAAAACGGGAGACGTCGCATTCATTTCATCTAATGCACATGGATAAACAAAAATATGCGCGTCATGTCAATACATAGAACGTGAGAACTGATTGACGGCAATTTTTGCCGTTGATGTTTGCCGAGACAGTCCGCGTAATACTAGGCAATCCATTATACAGAGTGGGGTACGCGCGCTTGTCTACCAAGCGGCAACACTGACAGCTGCTTGCTGGTGTTAATTCAACGTATTATATCGCAAAATTATCGTACATTCAGCTATTATCCTACACATAGTATCGTACATTGTACAGTACTTGAAACTTGAAAGAGCCATATTTAACAAAAGAGTCGTTCAATCCACGCCCACTTAGATGAGTCGTTCATTTTGAACGACTGCAAATCCTCATATCTCTTCCTACACTTGACGAGCTGTACGTAACTAGAGGTCGTTCTACTATTGTTTACTGAATTTTTCCGTATTGCTAGATAAAAGCATTCACATGTAACAGATCTGGTCAGCAATCAATCCTGCGTAGCATATCCGAGGCAACACCAAACCGATTGTTTGATCCAAGATGATGGCGTTCAAGCTTCTTCGGTACCCTGTAATTTTCAAACAGCTGTGAAGAGAACAAAAGTGGTCATTTTTCCTTGATAGTGTCAAAAAGCAGTAACCCCATAAGCTCAGAGCAGACAGTACAGAAGATATTCCCAAAAGTCACGGTAAAGGGTTTTATGATAAGGATTCGATGTTGAAATAGATGGAAACTATAATAAAAAAGGTCATGCAATTTGATCTTGATAAACCTTTTTTTGGAGTCTTTTGAAATAAGCTGCAATTCTACCGTGATGAGAGTTCAAAATACCTGTACATATGTTTCTGAGCATTCAAATACAAAAATGTCATAGATACGATCAGATTCAGAATTTTAAGTATGGTCAGTATAGAAAAGTAAAGTTTCCATTAGGTTTAATGGTATGGGGAAGCATATCTGCATTTGGCGTTGGAAAACTTCTCTTCATAGACGGAACTGTAAAGGCAGCTAAATATCAAAATATGCTTGAAACGAATTTGCTAGTGTCCATTCCAATTTCATCACCTGATATAAACTTTATTTCTCAAAAAGATTTGACGTCATGTCCTACTGCAAAAACTACGAAAAAATGAGCAGGTTGATCATATTTCTGTCCTTGACTGGCCTTTTAGAAGTCCTGATTGCAAAATTATCGAAACTGTACGGCACAAAATGAAGCAGCAGTTAAGAAATGATCCACAACGAATCCTTTCTGATTTACGAGTAAAATTACAAAATATATGGGATTCTTGTAAGGTGGAAGACTGCAAAAACTATGAAATCCGAAATTAATGCTGTTATTAAGGCAAAGGGAAATGTAATGAGCTATTTAAATGGTTCGTCTGAACATTTACGAGTATGTGTCAGCCAAATATTATTGTTATCAATATTAGTTTTTTTTATAGTTTAATATCATGTTACTTGATAATAATTTTGTTAATATGATGTTCAAACATTTCAATGTCTTATAAAAGAAAAAACTGTTTTGTAACCTTAAAAAATAAATAATAACTTAACATCTAGTGATTTTATCTGAATCAAACCTCATACAAAAAAAAACTTATTGAAAAATTGATTCCAAACCTGCACAAATATGCAGGGTGAAGCATTTAAAATCTTTGAGAAAAAGTACAATTCGCGTTTTTGACCACCCTGTATTAGCAAAAATTAAAATTCGAAAAAGTAACAAATAAGGTACAAGCTGAGGTATGTAAGTTTTTTTTTTACAAAATTCAGCACTCCAAATTTCAAACTGACGGATTGAGAGGTTGCCGAAGTGGACGGTTTTTGTGGACAAAACACCTTACTTCTCAATAGCTAATTACCAAAACCCCATAGTATGATATATTAATCTTCTTCTTTTTAATTGGTTTATCCAAAAATGCAATAAAATTTGAGGCATTCCATTTGAAAAATCACTACTTTGATATGTAGGTCGAAATTGGGACACCCTGTATAATGGCCAATATTTTAGAAATGTGCCCTCAAACGTCATGTATAACATACCACAAATAGATTTTCCCAAAATGTATTTGTTTATGTGTAATATTCCGTCCACAAATGGATGGGCCATCCTGTATATATATATATATATATATATATATATATATAAAGAGTAAATTATCATGCGGAGAAAGGTATATAACAAAAATAGGAAAATAATGGGCAAAATCCGCAAAAAGTGGATTTGAGCAGAATAGGATAGGTAACCCGAGCGATACGTATTTCTGCTGGTTGGCTTCATCAGGCCCGAAATGAATGCACATATGCAACTACAAAAGTAGAAACACATGCCCATACATCCGGATACGGGTGTAACCTGAGGAAACAAAGATGGAGAGGAAAAAAAAGACATACGAAGTCCACAACAAGAGCCAACCTACACATTGTAGTATCAAATGGCTAGAAGACAGTGGCTAAAACCGGCCGCGTGGTTGTGGTTATTTGTCGCCTTGAAAATTCAAGGTCTTCTAGCCATTTTATACTACAATGTGTAGGTTGGCTCTTGTTGTGGACTTCGTGTGTCTTTTTTTTCCTCTCCAACTTCGTTTCCTCAGGTTACACCCGTATCCGGATGTATGGGCATGTGTTTCTACTTTTGTAGTTGCATATGTGCATTCATTTCGGGCCTGATGAAGCCAACCAGCAGAAATACGTATCGTTCGGGTTACCTATCCTATTTTCTGCTCGAATCCACTTTCCTCCTTTTTGCGGATTTTGCCCATTATTTTCCTATTTTTGTTATATATATATATAATATTTTTATAAATGGTCGAATGTTTGTTTTCACGGAATTCTAGTATAACCTTATACCATAATTTTTTTATTTCAAGACTTTATTGCATAAGCAGCGATTTGTGAACAATTTTTGCATTATTTGTTATTCGTGGGTGCCCAGATAATTCCATAGGTTATGTGGCATTCTGATATAAAATTTTAGAGTTTCATTGAAACTTTGTCTGTAATATCTGAGCTTATATAACAGAGATCTAAGTTTCTCGAAAATACTTCCGATATAGATACTTCTTAGATTTCGCGATATATATGCATTTCATCACTAGATAGTTCAGCCCGCCTTAATAGAATGGAATGGAGTTTTAAATACGAATTTTCCTCCAAGAGACCATTTCTCTTCGATACATGTAAACATGGATATCATATTCAAAAATGCAAAAGGTGTTTCAAAAAAGATCAGTGGCGATGAAAATAATTTTCTGCTTTTATACTTGGCCAATGTTTTCCAATTTCTATACCACTGGAGCAGTCTAAGGCACGAACATTTTTGTATCTACTGCCTGTGTTGTACAAAATTATCAAAATCTTAAACCACTCCAAATATACACTGTTTTCAATTTAGAAATTATAACTTTAACGCCCTTTATCTCGGCCAGATGAAATTTTGGTATTTACTTTTACATGAACCTGTTGTGCCATCAATGACTTGGAATCATAGAGAGACATGTAGGGAGTAAGAAAAAGTCCGAAATATTCTCATCAAATATTTTACTTCATACGTCAATATCACAACTTACACTTTGTATTAGCCAAGGATTCTAGTCTAAGGGATAATTTATATTTGTGGAATATAACATTTAATATAGAATACAAATTAGCCAAAAGTACGGTAGACAAAAATACCTATCGCCAATACAATCTATAACTACACACCTTATTTTATAATTTATACAAGAAATCTGGTATCAAGTATGCCATATCAAAAAGCAAAAATAAACAACTGCATTCAGCGGAAAATTGAGTTTATGAAAAATTTAAACATAATGTGACCATCATCACCTGTCCTAAGTTATCGTTTTTTTTTTAATTGTTAATAGTGAAACGAAATTTTCTACATTTTTCATGTTTTTAAATCAACTTTGAAACAAAATCAACAAATATCACCACTTACTTCAGCATGAAGTAGTCAAATTATTCAAAGTATAGCCCGTTTGACACCAAACCCCTGTATCTCCTGCATTATTTCAAATTTGAGCCTTATAAACAAGACCAACAAATACCATACAACATAAAATAATATAACAACATTTCTGCCCATCATTATTTCGTTAATATCCTAGAACTCTTCAAGATACGAGATGTAATCACAGAACTGATTTTTGCGCTATACGAATGCGAAGCGCCGTAAAAAACTACCCAGCTTTCTACTGAGAAGCATTACATATTTACATTTGCGAGAATTTGGCAAACGTTAGATGTCTTAATATAGATATAGGTAAGATTATTTAATTTGGCATTTTTGCAAAAAATTAGCGAGTCCTTTGAGTATGTTCTTATATTGTTTTGCTTACTGTGCTGAGCTTCTATAAATCTCCATATTTTCCTTAAAACTACTAGACAATTTTCAGAATATAACTAGCAAAAGTTTGGGACATGACACAAATTTTATCAGAATTTTGAACCTTTTTTTGTTATGCACCCAAGCACCACAGCATTTTAAACAAGCTTGTCGAAAATCAAAACTAAATTAGCCCAGCACGTAAGACAAAGTATACTGTCCATTAGGATCTACTATGAGCTTACATGCCAATTTTTATATATCAGAAAGGTAATGCTATCCTACAAAAACAACATCCTAGCGATGCCTGCTATCATTATTACTGGAAAAAGTACTGTTGGCGCATATAACTGACTGATTCAACACCACACTTGGCCCGTGTTCGAACTGTTCGTACTCCGGTAAATATCGAGAGAGTTCGTGAAAGAGTAGTGGAGCGCCCTGAGACGTCTACCAGACATCGTTCTCAAGAACTGGGTATTCGTCGCACGTCATTTTGCACTATTTTAAAAAAAGACAGCCTAGTGACATACATCATGGAATATTGCAGCTTAATACCCAAAATAACGATTTTTAGCGACAACTGATGACCGATGAAGCCCATTTCGATATGAACGGATTTGTTAATAAGCAGAATTGTCGTATCTGGGCATTAAAAGAATCCTCGTGTCATCCAACGACCACGACATTCTCGTCGAGTCACAGTTTCTTGCGATGTTGGGTATGGGGTCTCATTGAACTTTATGTCTTTGAAGATGCTGCAGATAATTCTCTTACAGTGACTGGAGTGCGCTCCCGTGATAAGGTGCAAAGCTTTCTGACTCGTCAAATCCAACAATTTAACCTGGAAAACATGTAGTACCAGCAAAATGGAGCAGGGTCCTCCCTTTCTAATTCGACTAAGATGGCAGTATGCCCCTTGACAGGATTCAAGAAAGCCCAGCTGCCCTGACTCCACAGTCGATGACCAGATCCAACGGTGGGAGATCCAACAGAGCTTCCATTGCACTCAATGGCGTTGTTCGCAGTGCGCTTGTAATGCTAATACAGGCCAAACGCTGAATTTTATTGAGTTTGGCCTTAGTTGTCTCAGTTCTAATGCAAGGCCACCAGACCAGGGAGCCGTCGGCATAGCCTAGGCTTGGATTCAGGTGGATACAACAAACAAAAGCATAGCAACTATCCTCTATCCAAGGTATGAGATCTATCGAAATAAGACAGCTATTTGAGGTATCAAATTTTAGCGGTAAACAGAACCCAAGCGTAATCTGTTATCTACTGCTTTTATTTGTCGCCCCATGTGGTTGAAGCATTTTGAGCTAAAACACACTTAATAGGATTGAAATGATATGCCGACACCTGTAGCATCACATTATCTTTCTGACAATAAATTAATGTTTTCGCATCTCGATTATTTTGACACAGTAACGCGTATACGGTTTTCTTCCGATAAGATTCAACTCTAGGTTGTTTTATATTTGCTAAATATAAATTGATAAAATAATACTCTTTTTATATTATTACGGCTGTAAAAATACAGCCTATAAATCATATAGTCCATGATATACACAAACTTGTGCAACTAGAGGCAAAAAATTGCACTACGTTCTTTGTATGTTAGAAAAATGGAAAAGTTACTCAGGTTCGTCCAGACTTTTAGATCTTTATAAGACACCTGAGCTCACTAACACACTGCATGATTGCAATTTGTCCCAATCTTCCATAACATAGAAAGAAAGTCACGCAATTTTTTGTTGCCCACCTGAACATACAACATCAGTCCTTACATAAAACATCAAGGTTTCAGGAATTCAAGTATTTTCTGTAGGAATTATATAGTACACAATAATAAACTAGCATTTGATGGATAATGGGCCTCTTAGAAGAATACCCGAAGATTATTTCTCAGTCTTAACACCACCAAACACAAGCACGCGTTCATAAAGTAAACACCTGGGTATGTACGTAGTTTGGAATTTTTTCATACGTTATTAACGGTCTATACTATTTTTCAAGATACTTCATCAGGACAAAACGTCTCAACAAATAAGACCTTTTTTCTATACAGGGAAAAGCTTTTATAACCACTCTCAAGCAGGAAAGCTCGGTTTCGGCCTTTCTTGCCCGAGATTCTCCAAAAGCACCCACATTTCGTCGTGGTGGGTAGCGCCGCGTTAAAATTCTGATCAAAGGTATGTATCTCCGCCTGTTTCTGATATGATTATCTAGTGAGATTCAAAACACCCCACATCATCAAGTGACATACAACTTTGCCAGATCTCTGAAAAGGGTTGTATCAAGAGATACTTAGTATATTGTCGAATTCTCCGGTCAGTGAAGGTATTTATATGAAAATGAATTTTTATGGATATTTGGTGCAAATGGTTCTGAATACGCTCCAGATTCATGATTGCTAACAAATCAGACTTAATACAAAGATGTCGGTTGAGCAGCTGCTAATCTCAATAGATACCGAAACGTGATGAAATCTCGTGAAAAATAGTATACAAAAAGGGAGACGTGCTACTGTAAAACTAATTATAGTACGGTTGCCTTTGACTCGACGCGTTTTGGCTGGTCAATAACTAAAATTGAGCATGTTTATATCGAAAAACAATTTTACTGACGCCCAAGCTTAGACAAACACTCTAAAAACCGAGGTTAAAAGAATTTTTTTGTAAATTTTATTGGCCAGTTAATGCGCGTCACAAGCAGTCCAATTTACAAACACAACCATAAAGCACGCCCAAATTGCCCGACACTTCAATTATTATCGATATTAAACGACACGACCACTTGCATACCCAAGCATTTCTTCTCAACGTCACATAGCCACTTTCCCCAACATATACGACACCGTGCGACACTTGGCAACGCTGCAACACTCGCACCGCCCCACCCGCACGTACTGCGCGTGTACGTAACCGAACCGCGGAATCCAAGCGTATTGCTTACAAAGCGGTTTGCATCTCCGCCCTCGACTCACTTGTTGCCTGTTGAGCGGGTTGTTCCGCGACTGCGGTGTTGCCGATGTTCACGTCCTCGCTGATTGTCTTCACGTGGCCGTTGATGTCCAGCGCGGCAATTTTGGCGCGCTGATAAGCGGACAGCGTGTTTTGGCCGAGGAATCTGGTGACAAAAATTATAAATTTAGTTTTACACCTGATAAAAAAGAAGCGAGAGTTTTTGATTTTTGACAAATGACTATTTCAACGAATTTGTACCGCATATTCTATAATTGTGTTGTAAAAAATTGTACAAAGAAATACACTCAGTGAGAGTAGAAAAATAATAATTTCTTCAACTTGATTTTTTGGCAATGTGGTTGTCTCATATCAAGAATGAAACGGTAAAACTCTCACGAAATTTTATCGACGAGTGAAAGGAAAAAATTCACAATGTATTGGGCGAGCCCGCAGCTGTGTACACTCTTGTATACGTCTAGGCATCGACAACATGAAATGATCGATATCTGGTTGTGGCACACATGTTCGATGGGATTTAAATCCGGTGAACGGGGTGGTCACGGCAAAACATTAACGCCTGCTTCTTCAAAAAGTCCGTAATACGATGAGCAATATGGGGACGTGCGTTATCTTACTGAAAAAGGGCGTGTCGACCCTCTAGACCCTAGATACGGCAGTAAAGCGGTCTGTAGGAACAAAGAGAAAAGAACAGCAAATCCAATATCACGCCGTACTCCATGGCGGCGTCTTACCCTTCTACGACCATCGTGCGTACCTAGACAGAATCGCGATTCTACCCCTGTCAAAGTCGCTAACATGGTGATAATTTGGACGTCCTTGAACTCGAGGCATTTTGTTATGCTCAACACTAATAAATGAAAGGGTAATAATTGAAAATATATGTACTACTCAGCTCTCAGAAACTGCTTTCTTCACAGAAATGAAGAGATAACATTTCAACAAAGGTAAACAAAAACAAAGATAAAACGTTGACATTGTTGCCTCTGCATTTAATGTTGAGGAAAATATTTTTTCTGGAAGTAACACTCCTTATATCACTGATTATATATCGACTCTAACAACAGTTACAGTCACGGCTATCAATTGAACACTTTGGTGCAAAAATGTGTTATCTCCATTTTTTCAGACTTTAATATTTGTATTGCAAAAGGTGTTAAAAGGATGATTGTTTTGGAAGTACATCTGTCCGGCCAAAGATGGCTCTAAGTTCTTAGATACAGAGATACATAAAAGTGTTAACTATATCAAAAACTTCAATCTGTAAACTTTAAAAGATGTTTAACATTATAGGTTAAAAGGTGTTAACTAACGAGTTAATTCAGTTTTCGTTCAAAATGTAAAAATGTTTTCGATATAGGATCAAATGGAGAACGAAGAACATTGCAAAGTATAAAAAAGCTTTTGACGTAGAAACATCTGATCGAGGAATAACAAAAACAAACCAAAAAAACATATACCCAACATTTGATTTACAAAAAACGCTTCGCCTGCAGACATTTTTTGACAAGTAAAGCCTTCTACTCGTATTTACGACAAGTATGGCTCTACAATCTAGGAATACATTTGATATCAACACAGGTAAAGGTTTTTCCACGTCTGGACCGAAGACCAAGGAAATTGCGGACCTGAAAAGATTGGCAGCTCACTTATGGGCTTTTTGGAAAATATCAAGAATCAAAGCAAAAAAAATATATCGTCTGTCTATGGCACTACCTAATAATCTCTGAAGTGTCCAAAAAAATTCACCATAAGCTCCCTGAAGTAGGACATACTTTCATGGACTCTGATAGAGATTCTGCAGATGTAGAAAAGTCTATCAGAAAGCACCAACTAATTTATACGGTGGATCAATATATTTCAATCATGGCAGAAGCCAGGAAAAAAACACCTTTTGATATTACAAGAATGGCGGACATATTTGTTGATAATAAAGAAAATCCAAGAAAACTAATGAGAAATTTTCATTCAGAGATGTAAGGTGGATCCAGATTAAAGAATTTGGTGTAACCAAGTACCGATACTCCTTTAATGAAACGGAAAATTGGACTATTGTTGATATAAGAAAACAGCGAAATCTTGATAGAAGAGACTTAGAAAATGACCCATTATTATCGAATATCGATTGAAGCCGAAAAGCCAAAAAGTCTGATAATATTCAAGAACAAATTCCTTTAATAACAGCAAATTTTAGAGGCTTTTATCAAAATTTAAGAAGGGGGGACGATTAGTTACAGTGTGTGGATTATTTGTTATTACTTTTGTGAGTTTGTAATAAGAAAAAAAAAACAATGTTTATTACGAAAACGGTCGAAATATAAAAAATACTTTTCGCAAACTTCGCACTAGTTTTGGCCGACATGGACGCCCTACAGAGCCTGGAATTCGTTGGATTGTTAATCGTTTTGAGGAAACTGGTTCAGCTGAAGGTCGTAGACCATACCAACATGCTCGTCCAGCTCGTACTCGTGAAAACATAGCCGCAGTGAGTGAAAGTGTGCGAGAAGATCCAACCACCTCGACTAGGCACCGTTCACAGCAATTGGGACCACTTTACGCCGGATTTTACAAAAAATACAAAATCCAAAATCCAACAAAATACAAAATCCAACTAACACAAGAATTGAAGCCGGCAGACCATCAACAGCGGCGTGTTTTTGTTAATTGGATGCTGGAAAGAGAAGACGGATTTTCGGCCAAAGTGCTCTTTTCTGATGAGGCTCATTTTCACCTCAATTGGTACGTAAATAATCAAAATTCCAGATTCTGGGGGGCTGAAAATCCACACCAATATCATGAACAACCTCTCCATCTTGAAAAAGTGACTGTTTGGTGCGGATTATGGGCTGGTGGCATCGTTGGACCATTCTTCTTTGAAGATGTCGAAGAAAAGGCCATTACCGTCAACGGGGAACATTGTCGCGGCTGTTAACAGACCTTTTGTGGCCACAATTGGATCGTATTGGTGCCGACTATCTTTGGTTTCATCAAGACGGAGCAACGGCTAACACATCTCGCCCAAACAATCGCCTTATTTCAAGACCGCATAATTTCACAAAATTCAGCTGTCAGTTGGCCCCCGAGATCGTGCGATTTAACACCTCTTGACTATTTTCTTTGGGGATTTTTGAAAGGAAAAGTGTATGCGAATGGTCCCCGGACAATCCAAGACCTAGTAATAATCGGACTGAAATTGCGGCAATAGACCCGATTATTCTGGGAAAAGTCATTGAAAATTTTGATGTTCGGATGTTGGCCTGTTATTTTTCTGATGTTATTTTTCATACATAAACGGCATAAACCCACCTTCATTTATCAATAAAAAAAATCTTTTTCACCTCGTAAACAGCGTGTTGATTTTTCAAATAGAAAAAAAGTAATAGATGACGCAGCATTAACTCTATTCAATAAAAAAATGTCAGGATTTAAACTTTGAGGCCAATTATCTCCAAACTATAAAATCTGAGTTAACACCTTTTTGCACCAAAGGCTTCAATTGAATTTGGTACTGTCGGGTCGACCGTATTCTCGCACTCACCTAATGCAAATGTAGACAACCAACAGCGCGCCGCCAGCGCTAGCCATCCTCGCGTAAGAGTTCTCGTACATCTGTATGACGATCCACGCGCCCGCAACCGCTGAGCACATGCAGGTCGCTACGCATGCTGTGCCCAACCAATGACGGGCCGTGAAGCCGCGTTCCCACTTCAGTTGCGCGCCGGTACGCACGTCGTACGCGCATCGGCAAACGGCGCATCTCAGCTGATCGGTGGAGGAGGTGCTCGCGCTTTCCATCAACCATCTAGAACCAAAAAAAAATAGTACATTACATACCTTGGTGAAGAAGTATGCACACGCTCTGCTAACCGAAGGAGTAGGTCTTTTCTGCATCGCTAAATATGAAAACAAAAAACAGCTACGTAAGTAATAATGTCAGTGATAGTTGTATCCTACTGTCTTCACCGTGTCGGTTTGCAAAATATACTTTATGTACCGGAATACAGTGCAACCCGCTTGTAATGGACTCGGCGGGACTGTGACAAATAGTCTATTATAGGCGGATGACCATCTTAAAAGAAATGCATAAATAACATATTAAGAGCTTAAAATGTGTTTTTAACATGTATTACATAAATAAAGATACATACAAAAAAAGTTATACGTAATTCTGAAATTTGCATTTTTTCAGAATCTGATACACATATTACAGGCATACGTACTGTCTAGGTATGTGTAAAAACCGTAAATTATTTGGTAAAAAACCTAGTAATTTTCATGACAGATTGTTTTTTGTATAATTAATTAGAACTGCAAGTTGAATTTTATTTAATTTGGTAAGTGTGGCTGCACTGTCTTTTTCTTGCTGAAAATAACGTTGCAACTTTTTCACGCAGTCTAATGCCTCCTTAGTTGTATAGTTGATCTTACCTTCTGAGACACTCATGATGAACGCTTGAAACGTCTCCCGTACAATCGCAGGGTTGAATCAGAGGCTCCTTTTTATCATTATCGTAACAAATCCAGCATTCTCTCTTGTCTAAGAATGCTTCATCATCTGTATCAACCTATAATAACCAAAAAGATCCAAGTTATTAGATAACTTGTAAATTTTTTTGGATTCAATTTGCCATAAGTCATTTTCAAGCAAAAGGTATTTAACATAAGTATTGATTCTGTATTTCTATTATTTCAATTATATAAGGCAAAAGATTAGTATACAGTGAAATTCCCCTTCGTAAACACCCCTCTTACACCGACGCGAACACGAAAAAATGTTCTAACCGGGCAAAAAACAAAATAAAAAAAAACCTTGTCTTATTTCTTCATTTGTTGAACGGACACTTTCAGTCGGTCCGTTTCGTATCCGTCCAAAGGAGATTTCACTGTATTTACTAACCAAAAGAATGACCCATTTTTGTTGTTTTGTTGGAAAGATCTTTATATTGGTATTACTCATTTTTAAGATTTTTTTTTTTGATTTTACCTTTGGTAGTGTGGCGCCGTCTACCGTGCACTCTCCCTGGCCCTTGGGTTGGTCTAACTTGGCAAGAAGCTTTCTAGGGTTGAGGATCCATAGCTCAGAGGGTTGCATACAGTTCCACAGCACGGCCGGGAACCACAAAGTTACTCCGATTTCGACCACGCGGAAAATTATGTCGTGCAGATTGCGGGAGTTTATCGGAACCTGAAAAACCAAAATGATCCGGATCATTCAATAATGGCGGCGATTTTGCAGCGCTGGTGTTGTCGGAGGTCAAACTGTCAAAACTAGATGGGAAAAGAATTCACGGTGCATTTGAGGTTAGGAAAATTTTGAAATTCAAACTGGCAACTCTTTTTTCTTCTCAAATACCCAAAAACGAATTCACCATTGGAAACGTTGTAGTAACTGTCAGGTAACCAAATAAGTTCGTGCGGTTTTAGTAGAAAAATATAAATTTTTATTGAGGAACAATAAGACACTATTTATTCGTCGAAGTAATTACCACAATGACCTTTTGCCAACGTGGAACCAATTTTTGTATGCCGGTATTGTAGATCTCGATCGATTTGGAGTCAAAAAATAGGCGGACTGCGTTTATTACACCATCTCGAGTTGTGAACTGTAGGTGCCTCATACAGTTGTCAACAGACAAAAAAAGGTGATAATCACTGGGCGAAATGTCGAGAGAATATGGCGGGTGCGGTAACGATTTCCAGCCGAGTTCAGAAATTTTTTCTCGAGTCATTTTTGCGGTATGAGGCTTGGCGATATCCTGCAAGAATAAGACTTTCTTCCTATTGATCAAAGAAGGCTGTTTCTGGATGAGTGCTGCTTGTACTCGTTGAAGCTGCTCACAATACAAGTTAGCAGTGTTGGTTTGACCTCTTTCCAAAAACTCATAATGGACAATTCCAGTTGCTATCCACCAAACACACAAAATCTTGTATGGGTGCAAAGAAGCCTTGGGCGTGCGTCCACAACCTGTCGAAGATCCTCGTTGTTCTTGATTTTTGGTCTCCCTGAGGGCCGTTCATCGTTCAAACTGAGATCTCCCGAAAAAAAATTTTGAACCACTTCTGTGCTGTTCGATCACTAACGGCATCATCTCCGAATGCGGCACATATCTTTCGCGCCGCCGCTGCAGCTTTTGTACCAAGTTTGTACTCATACAGTAAACAACTTCGAATTACTGTTTTATTCGTCGCATTTTCAAATATCAAAACTAGGTATGTAACAATTTTCAGCAACTTTTTATGTGTGTGAGAAAAGATGGATTCATACTAAAGTGACAACAGATAACAAATAATCGCTATCGATCAACAGCATCCATGGCAACCGCACGAACTTATTTGGTTACCTGATAGTTCTCGGAGGTTGATAATGTAAACTAAGCAGACTTAAGCTTACTAATGAAAACTACCCAACCTCCCTCGAAGTTATTCCTATAATTTCGTATTGTTAAGATTGATGTTGGTCGTCACTTATGTTTATCTGTTAATCAATGGATCAAGTTTAAACAAAAACAATTTTAACTCACCTTGGTCTTCCAGAACTCCGACAGCGTCTCCGAGAACAGGAACCCAGCAATGATGATGAGCATGAACGCCTGGCTGAGCAAGCCGATCCTCGACTGGTGCAACTGAGAGACGTTGATGTAAGCCTTGGGAAAATCGGCAGCCGCGTCCGCCCGCAGAGGCTGTACTTCGTTGATGGTGTTCTCCCCGCCACTACCAACGCCCCCCACTACTCCGCCTGAGGCCAGCTGCAACGGTTTCGTCACGAAACCGCCCCTCACCTTGAAGGAAAATAGCGTTGACTATTACTCTTCGAAAAATGCGTGAAAACAAAGAGAGTGTTTCAAATTCGAGTCTCACAATTGGGATCTCGGAAACGGATGGTTCGAAAATATCATGACATTTATGTAGATATCATTCATTGACTATAGAAAGCTCGAGTCGAAAGTTAAAAGAGTACACTTTGCATCATTTGTCGATTTTTCCCAAAGACGAATTCTTCCACTTAGCTAGTTGTTACAATGGCTACGAACTACGTAAAACTTGATATATATTAAGTGACAATTAAAATGCAACGCCCAGAATTAGAATCTTGCAAAATTCATCGCACTCTCCACAAACATTGGAGTATCTAAGAAATCAAAGACCATAGAAAGTGTTGCCAGCGTTGTCGAACCTACCTAACACCCAGGATTATTTATTGAGTTTTAAACATATAAATATGCTATCATGGAAGTATACGCTGATCAAATGTTGAAGTCATTCCTAGCCTTACTTTTTTTGTAAAGGTTTTTTTTCATATCAGGATCCGAACAATATGAAGATTCAGTGATTCTTCTGTATTGGATCCATTTGTTTAATTGTTGTTTCATCACATTATCATACCCAGAGGACAATACACGACCTCATGTCGCACGTGTTAGCTTAGACCTGATCCACTCAATGCCGCGACTTAACGAATGTGTAGTGAACAGAGGAGCTTCAACAGATTATTAACATCTTAGCGAAATTTCGAGTTAAAATTGTAATCACTTTCTATTTATCAGTAGACCTAAAGCTTGTCAAAGTATGCTCAAAATTACAGCACTCCTAGTCGGCGTTGCATTTTCTATGCCATTTAGTATACATCCTCCAAACCCTGAAAAATGCAAAGTATTTCTTTCCAGTAAGCAGGGATATACAGAGTGTTCCTTAATTATTATATGCGAATATTTAAGGGTGTGAATTTACATGAGAAATTAATGTTAGTTTGCTTGATAAACTATGGTCCAAAAATGTTTCCTTACAAAAACAATTTATTTTGAATTCCCCGTTCAATTTAAAACAAATGATCTTTCTTGGATTGTTTTCCTTTAATGCGCCATTTTTGAGTAAAAAATAAAAAGCGTTCTATTGTCCGAGAAAATTAATGTAATAATTGAAGGGTTTTGACATCTGACAAGTCTGTTATTCAAATCTGTTCGCTGTGACATCTTTTTCATTATTTAGTTTTTACAATCTTGTTAATGGTGAATTATTCAAATGCAGAAATGGCGGAAATGCATTACGTATATGGCTTTGCCGACGGTAATGATGAGCAAGCCAGACGGATTTATCACCAGAGATATCCCGATCGTGCTTTGCCAGAGTCACACCCTTAAATAATCGCATATCATTAAGGAACACCCTGTATGTTTTACATGGGAATAGACAGAGGCAGCTCTAATGCTTCCTACCTTAAAGTATACCTCGACGCCATAGATCAGGAAAAACACGACCACGATAAACATGAGCACTGCATAGCAACCGTTGAACAGGTGATGGTAGAAACTGGGGTCATCAGGCGGTGGACTAGCTAACTGAGTGGTGATGAACTCGGCGAACAGTAGACTGTAACTTATTATGTTGAACGTGATGAAGCCCAGGAACGATTTGGAGAGGAACTGGGGACGTTCCCAACTTATGCCTTGCAAGTGGAACACCTGCAAAACGTCAAACAAATGGCACCTTACTAGTTTTCCTATCAAAGAGAATGGTCGCATACAAATATTTTTGTTAGTCTGAGATTTATTAGCATTAATGCTGCATCTTGGGTATTCGTAAAGTGATTTTTTATTTCCACCTTCAATAAACATTTCACTATTCAATTTATGAAATTCAAATAGTCATTTTTGGAATTTTGGAACACAGATTTGCTAGTTATGCTACTATTACAACTTTGCAGATAAACATCTATTCAGCCTCTAGTTTCGTAGTTATGATAATGACTATAATTTTGTGAAATTTTCTAAATATGGTGTCAATTAATGATATTTTGATATGATATGAAAATGAAAACTAAATTACATAAGAATTTTACATTCAATAACCGCAGTTATTCTAAAAGATTTAATCTTAGCATATTTGTATTTATCTAACATGATTCTCATAGCTCTATTTTGTAGAATTTTCAATTTCGAAAATATGTTTTCATTTACTGCAAACAAAATAATTGAACAGTGTAAAAAATGGAGAAGAGTTATGATGTTTGCATAATTTCTTTTGAAATACTGCATGAGATTATGGCAAACTCTATAGAAGTAATTTATCTTTTTGGGATTTTTTAAATAAAGTATTCATAGTGCTCTTGAAACAGTGGTTTGCTATCCATTTGTCTACCCGGATATCTGAATGACCAAAGTCGGGAAAGTTGTATGGTATCACTGACCTTACTATTCCCTTAAATAAAAACCCAAGTCTTGATATTTGGAGCGACAAAACAACTTAAGTCAAAAGACAACCTCAGTATCTAACTGATAAAATTTCGAAACGTTAATAATTGTCACTCATTATTTTTTATACCACGTAAACAACCGTATAAATCAACGTATTAAACAATCGTACATACCTTTTGTTATTCATCACAAGCCAGAATTTACATACAATATCCAACACTCACAGTTTATAGTAAAACAAACAAACCTGACAACACCTTCAGACTAAGTTGTAAAACAGTTTGTTACCCTATTTTAGGGCAACTGTCTCACATTCATCAAACAACACCTATCCGAAATCCATTCGCACTAACATTCAAACGCCACCTCAATTTGCTTTTGCTCACCCATTAAAAAATGTACATTCAACAAACCGCACTCTGCAAACACAATAGGTCGTAGATGAAGCGTTTATGAGCTGTCAATTATATCCATAACAGTGTTAGTAATGTAAACTGTACACAAAGCATACCCGGCAGTGTGTCGTTAATAACACTAAACTGCCTGAATAAGGAAAGGGTAATTATTTTGATGGCATCTCTTTATGCAATACTAAAGAGAAATAGAACGATTTTTGCCAATGTTATAAGGTTGCATTTGTTATTTATTGCATTCCCAGAACTAACTGGTACTTTAGACAAGTTCCTGGAGAGTTTGATTGCTTTTCTATGTTATATTATACAAAACGCGATTGAAAAAACCCTGTCCCAACCACAACTACATACATAAAACTTGGTGTTGACGGTTTGTCCAGGAGGAACAAATTCATGGTGGCCGATGCCTTTGATGTCAAAAAAGACAATGAGCATCGTTTTCACTTTGGATTTGCTCATTCTTCCCTTTTTTGGGCGAGGAGACGCCGTCGTGTGCCACTCGTAAGATTGCCTCTTTGTCTCGGGATCATACTCAAAGATCCACGACTCGTCACCTGTGATTACGTTATTCAAAAATTGGGGATCACTTTCACACATGTTCAAATTTTCTTGGCACACTTCCACTCGCCGCAATTTCTGGTCGTCAATGAGCACTTTTGGGACCATCTTCGCGCACACCTTGCGCATGTTCAAATGCTGTGTCACAATGTCATGAACCACAGATTTTGGTAAATTTAACATCTGGGCAATTAAATGAATACTTAGTCGACGGTCTTCATCAGCGACCTCTTCCCGGCCCTCCAAAAAGGCCTGGTGCCACCGAAACACACCACTTCTTGCTAAAGCAACACCTGGGTAAGCCTGCTTGATCATATTAAACGTCTCTGTCGCAGATTTACCGCGTTTCACACAGAATTTAATCGCGTACCTCTGCTCTAACGAACGCTGCATTTTCGGCTTGCACCACTCACCGTAACACGTCGCGCGAAAATGCCTGTGCTGACTCTCCAAGGGCTCGGAGACAACTGACCAGCCGCTCATTCGTTAGCTAGGAACCCTGTATATACAAAAACTAGTACCAAATATACAATATCCTGATAAGGCATGACTATATGAATGTAAAACGGTCTAACTCTGGCTGTCAGATAAGGCAGTTTGCATCAAATACAGCAGTGACTTAAACCCAACTAATGAAAATTTATCGACATATTTACAATCTTTGCTACACCTGCTGCATCAGCACGACTGCATTATTTACTGTACATATTTTTATTCGCCGTAACAGATTTTGAACATATAACCTTCCACTCGATACACAAATCAAAGAATTGATCTTTTTTGTAAGGATTTGGGTGAAACCTACTTACCTCAGCCCAAAAACAGACAATCAGTGATGCACTGGACATCAGCAATGGATAATAAGCAGATAGTAAGCTACTCGACCAACCTCTTTCAAATGATTCCTGGAAAAATATTTTTCATTGCATTTTTTCGTATATTTTCCAATCTAGCATGTGTCAAATTCATTATCCCTCGTATTTTTACAAATCCAGGCTATAATAACTCGTTAAAAAAATATTTTCGAATTTGCATCAAGAAAATCAATATAATTTGTTTCCGTCAATCTGTCTGCCACCTGGAGTGTTTTACAGCGGCTCGAAAATTTCCTTAATTTGGCATAAGTCGTGCAAAAAAACTTACAACCGACACCTGTTCAAACGCACAGTAGTTGCCATTATATACAGGGTGTTTGGTGTATCGTTTGCGAAAATTGAAATGTCGGACAGGGGAGGTGTTGTTCTATCACCCCAGGTCCCTCAAACAGTTTTACATTAATTATGTAGATTTTTTAATTTGTTTTAGTAAAAACTCCAAAATGTAATACACACAGTCAAATAAAAAAAAATATGTCCACCTAATGATTAATGTATCTTAATGGGTGATGTACCAATCTTACAAAATCAACATTACTTGCCAACAGCATGTAGTTTTTTATTTATAATATATATACAAAGGGTTACAAAAGAAGAACAAAAAATGTAACTCTCAATTTTGAATTTATTTCTGTAAAAAAAAAAACTAAAAGCAGTCACGTTCTTAGAATTCTTTTAAAAACACTCTAGTTTATCGCGATTCTAACGGTATGACACAAGTCACAAAAAAGTTTAACTAACTTATTGAATTTGCAAATTTTGTGTACAGGGGAAGGAAAATAAAAAAAAAAACGTGTAAAATCAAATTTCAATCATCTATTATTTTTTCTGTTTCACAAATCTTGTTCGAATTGTTATCTCGACGGTTGTCGTATGTAGGAGAATTTCTTGTCGAATCGTCGAAACGCCTCTTCTATTCTTCGGATCAACTCCTCCCTTGTCCCAACTTCTGTCGCGTAGACGAGTGCTTTTGCACGTCCCCAGATGTAAAAATCCAATGGAGTTAGGTCTGGGGAGCGTGCAGGCCATGGAATAGGACCATCTCGTCCAATCCACGCATTCGGAAAGCATCATTTAGATGTTCCCGCACAATTAGCCTCCAGGGTGCAGGACAGCCATCATGTTGGAACACAATCCGTTTTTTTTTATTTCACTTTGTGTATTACATTTTGCAGTTTGTACAAAAAAAAATTAAAAATCTACATAATTAATTCCGTTGGGCTAAAAACTGTTTGAGGGACCTGGGGGATAGAAAAAGAGCTCCTCTGCATGCACCAAACACCCTTGTATATTAGAAATTAAAAGAAACTATTTTTTTATTCCCCGTAATTTGAAAATACCTTTGTATTAATACGATCCAGCAGAGTCAATCTACTTGACTCTCATTTTTAGCAAATTATTACAAAATTACGCAACGCAACTTACACCTCCCGAAATATTTAAAAAATATGGATGCATCTAGGTCATAGAATCTTCTGTTTTTTGTTGGAAAATATTTGCTGGGCACGCGATGACAGCGCCCCCGAGCGGATGTCAAACAGAAATGTTTATACCTGACACGGGCAATAGAAAAATAATGTTATTTGAGGTGGGTAACTTCAAATTTCAAACTGAAGATTCTCTTTTGATTATTACTGATTCTAGTATATCACAAATTATTTTTTTAAATGAAGTTATTTGAAAATAATTTTTGCCAGTTTAATTCCGGCGATTTCATGACGCAGTTTGCCGCATCCAAAACACAATAACAAACATATCCTGACCTCAGTCTTCACTCAATCTTTTTCGCTATCTATATCTGATAACATGTGCCTTACCAATCTATCAACAACACTTCAGAAAATGTGAATATTGCCAGTGAAAAGACGCTAGATATCAATACACTCCTTACAACAACACTTTTTATGAATAAAAATCGTCAACGTATATTTTCATGAAAATCATAATTTGAAAGGTCATTTCACCTACTTAGAATTAGTGAATGTTTAATAGAAAAAACACTAATCAAGATAACGAGGATATATATGTTATCAAGGTCACAACTTATTACATTAGATACAATATTATTGCTGTCTTAATTCGTGTACTAACGATTATGGTTGTTAGTGAATATTTGGTAGTTGAATCAGTACCGCGCACTAACAAAAAAAATGACGTTAAGTAGACTGATTCCGTACTTCCCACGAATGTAGGCTTGAGTGACAATATATTGTCACTGTCACTTTTTTTATCAGTTGGCCGATACTTTATTAAAAACTCAAGCCGACATATGAACTGCTTTCCAGTGACACTGTCGAGTTACTCTAAATAACTCGGAGTTGCATCAAAATCTCGTCCAAATGCAAGTGCTAGCTATAGAGAGGTCAAAGATTAGGGGACAGATACACAGATCGACGGAAATTATTGGCATTCTTCTTGTATTGATATTTAAATGATTTTAGACGAAAACAGAAGCCTCACACCAAAATGCCTGAATATTAAATAAATTCTACGGCATATACACGCATTCCTGAAATCAATTTTCGAATTTGTATGCATCAATTATATCAATGTACTCAAGTATTTCTGTTTATAAGATTATGATAAAGAGTTCTTTGTCCAATCGAATTCAATTAATCACGGCTTATTTGCTTATTCATTCTGATATTAATCCATCTCCTGCTTGCAAGTACATAAGTAAATATAGACACGGCTATCATTTTTATTAGCATTACTTTACTTAGAGTATATTTATCTTCGATTTGTTTGTCAAGAGAGTGGGCTAATGGCAAATTATAAATTGATAAGGCAGGTTGTATAGTGGACTTTGAATATATGTATCTTATAAGATCTATTTACATTACACAAAATGCGTCTTGAAATATACATTTACGCCTTGGACACAATTTTTTATATGGGTTCAACAAAAGTACCGGCGCTGTATTTTCTAGATAAGGTTTGAACAAGGAATTTCATGGTCTTTAAAGGTCAAATGTGCGAGGCTACGGAAAATTCCTAGACAAGGACGGATGTTTATTAACCTTTAACCAGGATTTTAATGGTGACCTTGCATTCAACCTTGAATCTCGCCTTCACAGTTATTTTCAAAGTCAATTGACATTTTTATGTTCCAATACATGCTCATGTACAATTGTGACCTTGAAGGTGATGCTCAAGGTCAATATTGAAATGCTTGTTATAACTTACTGATGATCTGACCTTCATTTATTTCATGAATAATCCGGTTAAGCTTGTCGGTTTTCTAGGACTCTAGTCTCAAACATTTGACCTCCAAATGGAGATGACCTTGAAGTTGGATTTGAATACACATTCGCACGTAAAATTCGGTAAATTTATACAGATACGTATGGTTAGATACTTACAGGAAAAATGAAGTAAGCACCTCTCAACAAACTTGCAATGCACATGACAAAGTAGATCAGCTTCTGAGTGGTGACTTTGCAAGCTTTCAGCCAAGTGGGAGCTTTAAGCCTTGTGTACTCAGAGACTATGCACATCACTAGTTGTACAGCGCAGACAAGGCCTGGAACAACAAAAAAAATATATAATTTTCAGATGCTAAAAGTAGAACAATTGGTAACACACGCCCGCAAAATAAATAAATGGTTTATGCCACGCTGAACACGAATCTGAATTCAAAATTGGGGAGTAGATGGACAACTAAGAAAGTAATTGAAGCATTAAGGTCACACATTTTGGCATTTGCTACATGTTTATTATTTTAATGCTGTGTATTTTTATTGATTGATTAGGATTATCCTATTTCTAACTAAATAAATACTACTAAAAAAACTAGTTATTACTCCACATCGTTCCTAAAAATTTAGATACACACAGTGCTTATATCAGAAATACCTACCAATGACACAGAAAACACCGCCGATGCCCGCATGATAAGGCAGGTTAGGCCCGTCGCACAACTCGCCCGTGAACCGGATGTCGCACATGCACGTGCCGTTGTGGCACTCGCCGCGTCCGGAACAGTCGAGCGTGCAACTTCCGGTGCCGACGCCGGTGCCGCCTGTGCCCAGACGCGACATCACCAGCAGATGGCGCAGCTGAAGCATCACTACGGCCGTTCTGAAAAGAGAAATTCAAGAATGGATGGAATGTTATCAGCAACATACTAGCCTATATCGTAGAATTAGGGTGGAGATAATTCGTAACAAAGGAATAAATATAGAAAATGCAAACAATTACAATGATTACCATATAATGATAAAAATTGTATAGTTTTGAATGTGCTGTGACAACAATCTGTCTGTCGTCAATATCGTCAATTTATGCCTACAATAAGTAGAGTTAGGTGATTACCACTAGGTTATTCCTGCGAAAGTTTTAAATGTTGAAAAAATGACGTCAAGTGGTTTGACTCTATACTTTCCACATCTTTGTAGTGGCTTTCAAATTTAAACACGTGTGTAGAGGCATGGCATTCAGTACCTTCTTGGCAATAGGATGTGTTTCATTGATACCAAAGATGTCATATTTACAACAACCATTTTTTCTTTGAAATGGCAAGGAAGCTTCTTTGATTTTTAATTTTTTGTGCTTCCTTGACAAAATCTCAATAAAACATGAGAAATACTTTCCATGGATCAAGGATTATTGGGCAGAAAAAATATTAACATAGTTGATTATGGTGGACATGTAACATACAAAAATCACCTCATTTTCAAAAAAAATTTGCAAGATTTTTTAATAGATTAAACAAATATCAAATAGTGCCAATTTCAATATTGTTCAAATTTATTAAGCATAACTGAGGCATAGTCAAAAAAATCATTTTAGGGTAAAACTTTTCCAAGTTGAGGATTCATTATTATTTTAAGGATGTCCAAAAAATTCAGGAGATACTAAAAACTCTATAACTTACAAATAACATTCATGAAAAATAAAAATAGTGCAATAGCAACTTTTGTTTTTTAGATAACAAATAAGGACAAATTGATGTCTTAAAATGACTCTAATAAGAACCTTAAAAAATATGATTTTTGAAAATATCTGTTCTGCTAAGTCAGTATATAAGTTCAAAATATTTCAAGGTGTGTATTTTGTGTAAGAACTCTAACACCCTTAAATAATGTAATTCTTCCTTATTTTTTATATTCAGCTCTAAATCTACTAAAATCAAAACTTTAGGATGATTATAAATAAAGACACCATTTTTTTTGAACACAACCTCTACTCAAGATCAGGCACAACACAACACATTTTTTTATTTAATATCTACTAATAAATAATGAGTATAAACAAAAATTGTTTAAATTAAAGTATGCAAATCTAATGAAACAGTAGCCTTTTTTATTTATCTTCTGGATAATATTTTCGTCATCCCAACAAAAATAACCTTTTGCAGTAGTGAACATATGTACTTTTTAAACTTCTGAACACATTACGTTATTCTCAAAGCTTATATACATGCCAACCAATACAATTGTGTTTGAATTTATTTCTTCCTACAAATGAAAAACCTGGCTACCACATAGATCCCGCACTGAGTGTACATACAATACAAGCACCTTACAAGAGTATTACTCACAAGCAGAGATAAGCAGCAAGTCTAAAATATTACCGAACCATATAACTATACCTAATTTCAATGGTATGTACTATTTTGTGCTACAATAGACTTTATTGGTATATGTATAATTGCATTACCTTATTTCTTAAACACGTTTCTGTTCTCACTTAGCTCTGACAATCTCTAGCAGCTTATTATGATTATTTGTCATATTTATATTTGTAAAGCAATTAGTTACTTCCCACAACTGCTGATCCAATTTAATTCCTCATACTTGATGCTCATGTATCTACATACGTCTGCACGTAAACTGTTTTCCAGAATTGCATACAATGGGTATGAACAACGTTTATCAATAATTATGCGTTTGAATTTAAATCCTCCTCAAGTAGTATTTTTAACAAAGGAGTGATAAGATGACCTTATTTTAGATTAATTTTAATTACCTGATGTACAGCCACAACTATCTAATCTTACAGAACTGGCAAATTCTGCTTTCGGAATGTAATTTCTCGATAATCTTGGCGAATGACCAAAAAAGAAAACACACAATAACATCATTCAATAATCACAACATTCACACATGACATAATTCGCCATATTTGATTTCGCAACTTAGGTCTGTTTGAAGTACTGTTCAGTGCATAATAGTGTAAGATTACTTCAGCGTGAAGTTAGCTGCGAATATAAGTTGTCTTGCAACGTTGCCAGATTAATTATATCAAAATACATGAGTGGAAAATCTCGGCAAAACGTCCTGTAAATGCTGTGAAGACGGACAGTACCGCATATAACATGTCAACATATTTTTTAATACTTTGTGTAATTAGTATCAGTGCATACTATATACACTATAGACACCAAGGGCTGTGATCGATGATATACACATTTTACTGTGGTTGTGTAACGTGTAAGCATCTCTATCTTCAACGATACCATCCAAGCTTTATAATCACAAAATTGTTGTGAGAGAAGGAACATGAGAGTGAGGAGTGTGAGAGAATTTCCAAAAACAAAAAAAAGGTGAGGCAAATATAGAACTTTTCAAATCATAAGTACTTAGGAAAAATATCACACTTTGACAACGGCGCAGTACAGGATGGGTGAATTGATATAAATAAGATTTACATTAGGGATATAAAAACCAATTTTCAAATAATTATAGATATATTTGAAATTTATTTAAAAGGAAATATATAACAAATCGCAAAAACGATACATATTTGAGGAAAATTCTTTTAATATCTAGAAAAATCCATCATAAAAAGTGCACCGAGTTCATATCGGAACAAACCATACACAGGTTATGCAACCACACAAAATAATATTCATATTCCATCTTCTCAATTTCTTCGTTTTTTCTTGTTGTATAGTGTTTTTCACGTGAACATATTTTCCAATTTTATGTTTTGATTTCTATTCATCACAAATGCTGCTAAATTGAATTTTCCTGACCATAAACCAGAGAAAATATTTTTTTCATATTCGGCTTTTAGGGACTTTTGCTACTATGACGTGACCACTAAAACGGCTAACTTCACTTAATCAATCCGCTTGCCGTTTGGTGTCATTTCATGTGTTCTGTTGTTGTGAGCGTCCCTGTTTACCAAAAAAATGCTATAAAACTGCTAATTTCGCCAAGGAGATCTGCAAAAAATGTCACGTTAAACCAGAAATGATACATTTGTAATGTTTATGTTTTCATTTCATAAGTATTCTTTACATATTTGTTGAACAGACTGATCTACCCCAACATCATATAGTCGGTAGTTACATTTTCACTTCACAGGTAAGCAAATGTACTTCAATACTAAAGTTTAGTGCAATACTCAAGAATCCATTTTTTAGGAAACATTGCGTTTTTGCTAGTCTCTAGGGATGGATGATTATGAGCTCCTATAGTGATGCATCTGTTTATGATTTCAACAGTTGTTTGGCGTATTTTTGCGATTCCGCCAAAAAATGTATTTCCAAACGCCTCTACTGTTTACCTATTGAATATTTTTTAGAAACCGTTTCTATGGAACTAGTATTTACGGTGGGAAATTCATCTTGAGATTTCTTCAAGTCTAGATAGAATGAATCTTGTCTGTAAATGCTTGGATATCCTCAGATGCATTTATCAAAACCAGCTTAGTTTAACTTTATTCAGCTTCTACAGGGCACTGTCCCCAGACACAGTTCAGCTTTTGACATTAGATCATAAGTGGCTTTGAATTCAGAACCGATGCTGCAGGGTTAGAATGGTTCTGGTACAGTTCTTTTTAGGATCTGAATAAGGCTGGTAGTATTTAAAATAAAATTTATTGTAACAGAGCCTGTACAAATATTCGGAATTTGATGTTGTTTCTAGTTGATTTCTATCTCTTAAAATATACTAATTCTGAGCACAGAATGTCAAGTGATTATGAGCCAGAGGACATAAGGGTGTCTCTGTCATTTTCATTGTATTGGTCGATGATGAAAGCCAGTTTGGCAAACCAATGATAGGTGGCAATCATTAGATTCCCTATGTACTTGTGCACACAAATTTTCTTCGACTAACACTGTTCTGAGGTGGGATTACCTCCCTAATATACTGTCAAGAATTTTCAATATTAAACTTCACTAACTCCAGTACATTTTCAAAGTAGAACAGATTTAATTTGTTAAATGGTTTCCAGATATATCAATCAACCTTCTCCACAATTGTATTGACTCTGCTGTCAAAATTTCTGTTTATACCCTTTTCACTTTGAGAATATAATTTTTTCATGATCTTGAAATAATCATTTCAACAGCTTGTATGTCAGTTATGGAGGGAATACTTATTAATGTGTTGATAGAAACTTTAGATGTAATTTTTGGTCATACTTTTCAACTCTAGAAATATCACCATTGTCTTATGTATCACCTTCTACTCGGTTATTGTTGGATTTGAACATTAGTGAAGGATTTAGAAGTTAAATTGTAGTGATAATACAGGGGTATTCAAAATTTGACTGCCAAATAGATGTACGTAGAAAATAGCATGCTAAACAATAAAAAAACTTTTAAGTGCAAAAATTGCTTACTTAAATATTCTCTCTTTGTGCATAAGAATGTTGACATATTTATCTCAGGTTTTGCCTAGAAACACACTTACATAGACTTTACATCATATCAAGTCATTCACTCGAAAATAATATACAAAAATTGTATTGTAAATTCTCATATATGAATTAATTTAGAAGTTGTATATTACAAGTTTGTTTTATATGTTATACTTAAGACAGAGTTACAAAATATAGAATTCCTCATGATACATTTTTATCTGGGATTGCCACACACAACATTTTTTTCTGTGTCACTTATTTGTCATTGATACTCCCTTGTGGCAACAGTCCTTGAAATTTGTATTTTTCTAATTGTATTTGGTAAATATATTATTATTGTATTGTAAAAATGTATGATGAAAATTGCATTAGTATTGAAAAGAGTCAGTTAAAATTCAATTTTTAAAAGATCCAAATAAACGTTTCTGATTTCAAGGGTTAAAATAAGTGTTAATGGAAATTTTGAGAGCTTTGTTGGTGATCCAATTTAAAAAACCTAGCATACTTTAATTGGAAGCAAATACCATAACATGCCATCAATCGGAAGTTAACTGTTTCAACCATCAGTGATCAGCTTGATAATACAATTGACTTATCCATCATCAGTACCCTGAAAAAACCAAATACACACCAATTTTCCAGATTATCTCATAATGTTGAATTTTCTTTCAACATTCCATCTAAACAAAATATACTTACATATTTTATGAGAGGCGTAGCAAAATAAATTAACAGATTTTCTTCAAAGTCTGATCTGATAAGAAATAGGCCAGAGAAATAGAAACACCTTGAATCAAAAGGAACATATTTGTAGTACTAAGTACATGATTTTACTTTACTTGTTTCTAGGCGGACTGAACTGTGAGTGTCAGAATGTCCGAGATAATCTACCCATCAGGATGTCGCCCAATCAGCGACGACCTAAACACAGATGAGCTCATTAGACGTCTAAAGACCCTGGCACACACCCTCCAAGCTATGGGACAAGATGATGGCGCTTATAAACAGTACATACCATTGTCTTTGCATCTGGTTGAAGAACAGTTCTTAAATTATCCCTCAAGAGATGTACAGTTGCTTATTGCCTGCTGTATTGCTGACGTGCTTAGGGTGTATGCACCTGATGCACCATACAAGGATCCAGAACAGGTAGGTTTTCCAAGGGTTTATTCAGAGAGAGGGATTTTGAGGTTCAAGCTTCGCTTGGAGAAACTTATAAATATTTTAATGTAATATCTGAAACTTGTCCTGTGTTTTTCTTTATTATATATGTATGTTTCCCTGTGGTGACCTTCTCGAACTACAATTGTTACTTTTTGACAAAAATTTTAAACACTACTGGTTTGACTGGTCAGACTAACATGGGGGACTAAAAGATGTTTTTCCCGAATTTCATTTTTTTTTTATTTAGATAATTGATTTTTGCAGGTGAAGACAATTTTTCTCTTCCTGATCACGCAACTTTCTGGCCTTAAAGACCCAAAAGACGCCGCCTTCAAAAGATACTTCTATCTCCTAGAAAACTTGGCGTATGTGAAATCATTCAACATGTGCTTTGAACTGCAAGACTGTCAGGAGATTTTCTGTGCATTGTTTCATCTTATGTTTAATGTAAGTATTCTTTATAAATCCCATGTGATAATAAATTGTCGTGAATTTTTTAGGCATATTTTAATCTTAGTGACAGAGATTTCTAAATTCTCAGTTAAGGTTAAGTCTCTGAATAGCTCATAGTATTTTCTATGTAAAACATTCAAGTATTTTGTTCATAATTCGTTCATTTTTTTCTTACACACGAGAAGTTTTGGGCCCTTTTAAAGTAGTACAGAGTTCAATTTTTTGATAATTGTTTTCAACATCTGTTTATTTATAATGTTTGTTGTTTGAAGCTTTACATAATTTTGTCTTGGCCGCTGTATATGAACTTTTAATGTGGATGTATTTTTGAACCTGCTGATTTGTGAAATTTAATTGCAGATAGTAAATGACGAACATTCTGGCCGAGTGAAAAGTTTCATGCTAGACGTTTTGAGTCCATTGATCTCTGAGAGTGACATTGTCAGCAATGACTTGTTGGACATTATCTTGATAAATATTGTGGAACCAAACAAGACTCAACGTAAAAATGCTTATTTTTTAGCTAGGGAACTGATCATTAAGACATCCGAAACCCTTGAGCCGTATATACAAGCCTTCTTCAATCAAGTGCTTATACTGGGAAAAGGTATTTTTTATTTTGGATTCTTTCAACATGAAAAAAGTATATTATGTTGTTGAGTCAGTCGAATAAAAAGTAGTAGTAGTAAGATTTATGTAGCATGTTTGGCTGGGTAGATAGAAAGATTATAAACAACTTGAACATTTGTTCTTTTTTTTTTCAACAACATAGCTTTTGTTTTACGTGTATTTTAGTTTGTTAGATGTGAACCATTTAGAAACCAGTTTCAAGAGATACCAGACTGAACATTTTGAGTACTTATAAAAATTAAAGTGTGTCATCGGCAAACATTTTATTTTCATTTTTTTACTATGACAGATAAATTGTTTATTTATAAAATGAAAGTAAGTGGTTCCAGGATATTGTCCTGTGGAACACCCGATGTATGTTCACTTTTGCAACTTGCATCCTTTTAGATAAATAATTTTTAAACCAGTGCTTTCATATTTAATTTATTTGATGAATTATTTAAATATGTTTCAAACTGATTGAGTGACGTTCCAGCACAACCATATTTGTTTCATTTTTTCAATGGTATATCATGATGTACACAATCAAAAGCTTTGGAAAAGATATAAAAAAGAGCAAATGAAATCTCAATTCTTAAATTTGAGTTTAACTTTTGTAATGCGAAAATAGCGTCAATTGTATTTTTTGTTTCTGAACGCTATATTGGTTGGAACTTATAATTTGTTGATTTTTGTAGTCTCTTAATCTAGTTTGAACAATTTTTTTTAATTATTTTTACTATAACCTTGATTGAACTTATGGGTCTATAATTTTATGGCTCATGAAAGTAAAAATATTCGCTTCTTTTGATTCAACTGACCCATTATTATGTAATTATAATTGCAGTTCTTGAAATTTTCATATATTATATGAACGCTGAAGCTTCCGTTTTGATACCATTCTTGTTTCTTGTAGAGGATAAAAACCTCCAGATCTGCGGCAAAGTATACGACCTCATCTACGAACTAAACCACATCCGTCCTCAAATCCTGATCGCAGTTCTGCCTCAATTAGAGTGCAAATTGAAGAGCCCCATGGAAAAAGACAGGCTAGCTGCTGTGGCTCTCTTGGCCAAAATGTTCAGCGAAAAGGACTCTGAACTTCCCAAGCGACATCCAGCTCTGTGGAGGGCGTTTCTGGGCAGATTCAACGATATCAGCATAGAGATAAGGACGAAATGCGTGCAGTACTCGATGCATTTTCTGCTGAATCATCCGGATTTGAGGAAAGATATCACGGAAACGCTCAAAATGAGGCAGCACGACTCGGAAGAGAACGTTCGATATCAGGTAAGCGTTTTTTATTTTTCTTGTAATTAGTCGGATTTGCGGTCTACAGAAACACAGTTTTGTTATAAAGTTGCAGATGTATCAGAAGAATGTTTTCCTTCTTCAGGGCTCTACAAACCCATTACGTACAGGGTGATTCATAAGTCGTGACGAAAAATGAAACATCATACACATGACCGCATTTTCAGGGGGGGGGGGTCATCTTTGTAACATTTTTTCCTCGAGGGCCTCGTTAATTAATATACGGGGTATTTTTTTTTCAATATCTTCAAAACCGTCAACCAGAATAAAGTAAAAGTTGCTATGTGGATTTTTGGTCACGACTTGTGAATCACCCTGTATAGATGAATAAGCTAAAATTAAATTTCAGTCAAAATTTGGTGTAAATAGTTATGCTAGATCCAGAATATTGAACAAGTTTCCCAAAATAAAATATTAAGAATTTCGTTCAAGTATGAATTTTGTTCAAGTATGAATTTCGTTCAAGTATGACCGACTTGCCAACACCGATAATATGTACCTACACTGAATTGAATGTTTGTAAACTAGATAAGCTGTGGAATTAGAACAATTTAAAATGATTTTCATAATTTGGAATAACCAACAAAAGTGTAATACAATCATTCTGACCACACATGATGTGCATGGCCATGAAACAAGATCATATAATTTGTACCAGATTCCTACTAGAAACAACATAAGATTAAATAACCCCGTCACTGATGCAGTAAAAATTATAATAACCTACCAAATAACGTTAAAAATGTACATGTAGTCGGAAATTCTGTAGACACTCAAAATATTCGCCCTCTAAATATTGTTGTTCTCAAGAACAGTGTTTTAAACACAGATTAGAGAACTTTGTTTTCTATAAAATGACTATTGAATAAAGATTTGTTAAAAAAAAATTATTAAAAACCGAACGACTTACTATTGCAAACAATACAAAATTAACACAAATGATCGCTTAAACAAACGACAGGATTGAGTTGAACTACTGTTGTAAGCAGTTTGTTATGGCAGTCACAAATATAGCATTAGTAAACGTTAGCTTTATTTGATATTCATTGATTTAAGCATCAAATAAGGTTTATGTAAGCCTCTACTATCTACAAGTTGCTCCATTTATTTTTTACAACCTCAATAAAGTCTAAACAAATGAATTCAGAACTTACCAAACCCTAAGCAACCCTTGTCGTGTCTCCAAATCTGTCCAATAGGTAACATAACACCACAGAATCACTGCAAATCTGCACACTACACGATGCAACAATCTAACATCACATTCGATCACGCAGGTGTTTCTTTGTTTATACACGACGTGTTACCTCGGCGAGATCCAAAGATCGACTGAACATCAGCTGTCCGTTGTGCGCCAGCCGTACCGAAACGCTCTTGATTACGTCAGTCACATGTCTGTTTCTCTCTGCCAATCGCATCTTAGGCTGAAAGTGGGGTGCGGCGTGGGCGGAGCCACGCCACCGCTGGCTTCAAGATTGACGCGGTTCAACGGACATGTGACTGTGACGTAATCGAGAGCGTTCCCGTACGGACGGCCGGCGCACAGCGCGCTGCTGCTGTTCAGTCGATCTTTGGATCTCGCCGAGGCAACACGTCGCGCGCGTCGTGTATAAACAAAGAAACATCTGCGTGATCGAATTTGATGTTAGATTGTTTCATCGTGTGCCTATTTGCAGTGATTCTGTGGTGTTGTGTTACCTATTGGATACATTTGGAGACACGACAAGGCTTGCTTAGGGTTTGGTAAGTTCTGAACTCGTTTGTTTACACTTTATTGAGGTTGTAAAAAATAATTGGAACAACGTTAACCTTATATGATGCTTAAGTCAATGAATATCAAATAAAGCTCACGTTTGCCTATGCTATAACAAACTGCTTACAACCATACTTCAACTCAATCTTGACGTTTATTTAAGCGGTCCTTTGTGTTAATTTGACTTCACCTTCACTGTAAACTCTATAGCATCTAACTACCTAAATGTCTTTAAATGTATTGATATAAATAAATTGAAGCACTACAGTTTGGGTTTTGATCAAGCAGAAGAAGCAACCAATACAAAATTAAGTAATATTATAGAAAAGTCATAATATGTTAAACATCCTGAATAATTATAAAAAGCTTAAACCGTGGATTACAAATGCAATAATTAAATCTATGAAAAACCGAGATAAGCTTAAAAGAGCCCTTAAGCTAAACCCGTCTCCAGCAGAGATATCGGAATACAAAGAATATAGAAACTCTGAATTTAAAAAAACTCATTACATTGCCTTCTCTATAACCATGGCTAATAGACCAGCATTTAATCAAATTAAGCTTGATAATATAGATGAGCCTTTGAAAGAAGTAAACGAAGTTAAATATTTGGGGGTTTTCTTTCATTTTGTCTATACTGTGTTTTTTGTGATTGTTAAATAATGTTATACAAAAATATATATTGTACGATGTTAATGTATTGGATTGTTTTTGCGCATACAAGTTTTTAAACTTAGGCTATCATATAGAGAAACCTTGCTTTTTTTGGTATATATGTGTGTGTGTGTATATATATATTATTTCTTCTATTTGTAAAATTGAATAAATGTGGTAGAGTCCAGGGCGTACTGTTCTCTCCAATAACAACAAATTTTGTATTGTTTGCAATAGTAGGTCGTTCTGTTTTTATTTTTTTTTAACAAATCGTCCCTTCTTGAGAACAACAATATTTAAAGGGCGAATATTTACTACAATAAATTCAACAATTCAAGTGTCTACAGAATTTCTGAATACATGTACGTTTAACAGTGACAGGGTTATTTAATCATATATTGATTCTAGTAGGAATCTGGTACAAATTGTTGTATGATCTTGTTTTATGGTCATGCACATCATGTGTGGTCAGAATTCCATTGCAGAATCCATACACAAAAATAATATCGGCGTACTCATCATTACTAAATTCCATTCCACAACACCCAAAAATGGAAAAAAGAAACTTTTGACTTGACTTTTACAAAAAAAATGGTATTAGTGACGATAACAACCGTATAACTTTGACAAACTATCTCCCAAGAAACATCGAGTTGGTAGCACGGTCTCCTATTTTATTTTGAAACTAATTGTATCTCAGCTTTTGGACATATTTAAACTACAATACCCCTTATCTTTTTCTTGAAGCCCTCAAGGAAAAAATGTTACATACAGGACCCCCCTTTGAATGCGATCCTGTGTATGTTGTTTCATTCTTGGTCACGACTTGTGAATCGCCCTGTATATCTTAATTTTCTTAATAGGTGGTCATGTCCATTGTAACTACTGCTAAGAACGACTTCCAAGTGGTTTCTGATTCTGACGATTTGCTAGAATTCGTAAAAGAGCGGACATTGGATAAAAAATTCAAAATTAGAAAAGAAGCTATGTCCGGCCTAGCGCTCATATACAAGAAACATCTCAGCGATCCTGACGTGCCGAACGCCACAAAGAAAGCAGTTACATGGATCAAAGACAAAATACTGAATGGGTATTACATGTCAGGGATGGAAGACAGGTGAGTTTTTTTAGTTTTCCTTCCCATTCGTGATATCTCATCTTGATTGACTATGTCAGTAAACATTTATCCTTAAAATGGAAAAACAATTGATCCATTGTTGCGAAAATCACGTTTTTTTTATAAATCACATTTTTTGTCATTGATCATATTTGATCAAATTTTACTAATTAACAGATTATTGGTGGAACGTCTTTTGAACACGTGCTTAGTACCATATCAACTACCGGCGGCGGAACGGATGAAGAAATTGTACCACCTTCTGGGTACTGTCGACGAACATGCGACCAAGGCCTTTATGGAGCTGCAAAAAAACCAGTTGTGTGTTAGAAAATTGATGTTGGAATTTCTGGAGTTACATAGGAGACCTGTCCAAACGGTTGAGGTTGCTAAGGAGTTGGCCGCAAAGATACAAGCATTGTCAAGGTAAATAGAGAAAAACGAATTTCCAAAAACTACTTGAAAAATAGGGAAGATGGAGAAAGAAAATGTGGACCAGTGGTCGTAAGGAATTGTCAATAAAAATCATGAGTTCTACCAAGTTTGTTCGAGAAGAAATTTTGTCCCAGCTAGTGATACAAAGTACAGTAGCGGACAAAAGTTTAGCATACTTTTTAAAAATTACTAAGAATGTTTCCAAACTTTTGTCCTTTAGTATCAAGGACTATTTTTTTCTCATATAGTTTGCTTATAGTCTTGAGGGTACAAATGGCAATTTGCTGTGGTACTACAGACTAGCATTAAAATACCTTCATATTATTTTATGACCGAAAATGAGACGACAAAAGTATGTAACATATTTCTTATTACAAAATTAAATATAATAACTCTGCAAAAAGATTTAAAAAATACTGTTTAGCCAATATTTAGTAGCATAGCCTTTAGCATTCAACACTGTCTGACATCTGTGGCTCATAGAAGACACCAATTTTTTTACAGACGACTGTTGGGATATTTTGCCAAATATTTTTTACATAATCAAATGAATCGTTCCTATTTTTTTAAGTTTTTTTGTCAGTTGTCTTTCAACATGCTCCCAGAGATGTTGTATAGGGTTTAGGTCCGGGGATTGAGAAGGCCAAGTATGAACATTAATATTTTCTAGTCTTGACCAGTCCCTTACGAATTTTGACGTATGCTTGGGGTCACTATCTTGCTGGAATGTCCGTCGTAAAGGCATTTCTTCTTCAGCTTTTGTTCACTAAGAATATCTTTGTAAAGTTTTTGATCGATTTTCCCAACAATTTTGACAATTTGAACCCATTCACAATTTTAATTTAGGTATATGAAGTAGTTCATAATAATGTTAATATTTGTTTCCAAACTTTTGTCCGATACTGTATGTAATTTTTTCGAAATGTTATTTTCTGAGCTCCAGGACCCAGATTCGAAATAGCGATTTATTGGTGCAAATTTTAAATTTTCTGCACTGCATACGAGGCAAAATAGATGCAAAGAATCTGAAACACAGCAGCCCCACCTTGCAGACCAGTTTTGCTGCAGAATTTTATGCTAAACAAGGCTTATGAATGGGCATCTTCTTGGAGACTAGGGTAATCAACGATACTACTTGCTTGATTATTTTCTTAAAGGTGCCTACCAGAACCAGTGAAGGCCCACGAGTACCTGAGCAAATTCAGCACGCATCTGAAACGCGATCATGTCCTCCTGGAACAGATCGAGACGATTTCCAGACCGTCGGTCAGCTGTAAAGAATGCAGTGAGGCTACGGCAGCAGTGCTGCGAAAACTCGGATCTCCAGTTATGACAAATCTTTACTACAACATTGTCAAGTTGCTTTTGGAACGGATCAGCTCAGTGATGGTCGACCATGAAGCTATCAAGATACTTATAGGTATGCATTTTTATGGAGATGTGGACTAGTTTTTCAAAATCGGGTGTTATGTCATGGGCCCAGGTATCAATCATGATGACAATATAAAATTGCAATTATATTTGAATGAAACTTTGATTTATCGTTTATTATATTAATGGCTTTTTTTCAGGTTATGTTGAAGATTGCCTGCGTGGCGGCAACACGATAGAAGAGATAGGCCTGCATCCAGCAACTGCGGGCGATCGAGGCCTTCGATTATTGGTCATGCTTAGCGTTGTCTTTCCTTCTCATTTCCAACATGAAGACGTGCTGGAACACTTGCTGGATCTCCTGAAGTTGGACGATGAAGCTGTCGCTCCTTTGGTTCTGACCATATTCACTTTTCAAGGGAAATACAGATGCTTGAGTAAGTATGCAATGTCAGAAATTCACCTAAGCTAAATTGTATATTTTTCAATTTTTTCTAAACCTATAATTTGAAAAGTACACGATTCAGTTTTTTTATATTTTTTTGATAACTACGAGCCCCTTCCACCTTCAGTTGGCCCACTTCAAGATTTGTACCAAAATATGCCTTTATAAACTAAACATGACGAATCTATTTATTTTCTCAAAAACATTTTAGATACACTCTAGTCGTAAAAAATACATATTTGAAATCACTTAGACCTAGAACTAATAGAACATCTGAACAAATAAACAATGCGCGTAGTTAACAAAGCAACAATTGAAAGATTACCATTGGGTAACATCACCAGTATTTTTTATTACGACTTAAATTCTTTGAGGAATAGTGTTAACCAAGTTTTGGCAAAAATTTGGTGTAAAACAATCCCATATTTCTTGAAGCTTTTGTCTCGATTCGGTGATTGTACGAGCAGGATGTTGTCGTAGAACCTTTTTATTTCGTGCCACAAAGTTTCAATAGGTGACAGATCTGGACTGCTAGAAACCCATTTCAAAAGTGATACATTATTTTCTTCCATCCATTTTATAGTCTTTTTTGAGGTATGGCACGCTGCACCATCTTGCTGAAACACAAAATCTTGGCCGGATGTCAAACATTCTTCCATCACTGGTAGAAGCATTTCTTCTAAAATTGCCAAATATTTGTTTGTATCCACATTTCCATCAATAAATGAAGTTTTACTACTTCTTTCGATGGCATACTGGCCCAGACCATAATGGATGCTGGAAATTTCACTTTTCTCTTCAGACAGTCAACATGGAATGCTTCATTTTTTTTGCGAATAACTCTACTGCGACTGTCACCAACACAAACTTCGAATCAGGCCTCACCACTCCATTGTATTGCACACCATTGTTGAGGTGTCCATTGTCTATGTTCTTTAGCCCATCTAAGCCGATTTTTCTTTTGCAGTGGAGTTAATAGTGGCTTTTCTTTGGCCTATAAACAAGTTGTGCAACTTTAGGGTTTTCACTTCACTTTTTTTATAAGAAAACTTACCTTGCAAGTGCTAAATCCCTGTTTGTGGGCCTCGCTATGAGTTGTGGACCTCGAAATTCTCCTTCCAACAGCGTCACTCCACAGAGCACTTAATTGTAAATAATTGGCACGCCTGTTTTTCACGATTATTCTTCTTAATGCTCTTCGGTTGGCATTTGTGATATTACTTTTTTTCACATATCGTGGCTTAATATTAACTGAACCAGTTACGTTATATCTTCTAACAATATTTCTCACACTGTACCGCGATAAGTCTAACAAAGTTGCAATTTGTGAGTTTGATTTCCTAGAATTAAAAAATTTAATTATCAGTATTATAAATAAATGTTAGTGTAAAATACATCATTTAAAATATAAATAACAAAAACCGAACGACCTAATGTATTTGTTATTTCTCCTTTTCATAGGTGAGCAATTCCCCGAGTTGATGGAACAATTAGCGCCGATTTGCGTGGAATTTGCTCAAACGGGCACGCCGAAACAAGCTAAAGGCGCGATACACTGCATCTACAGGAACATGCCCAACGTGCACGACCAACTGTTCCCCGCCATTTTGGAAACGGTGAAGAACAATCTGACGCCCGATTCGCCGCATTACAGGACGGCCATCGTTACGTTGGGACATATCGCGTTCAATGTGCCCGATAAGTACAAGGTGCAAATTAAGAACATTGTATCCAGGAAGGTGAGTTGTTTGCGTGACATCATTTGTGCGGAGTTTGATATTTCCATCCACCAAGACGATGTTCTTTTTCGTTTTGACTTCCAGATAGTAAAAGAGCTCCTGGTAAAAGAAACGCGAGAATCATCCGCGGAAGCCCCAGACCACGCTGGTTCGTGGTGCACCGAAGAGGAGCTGCCTGAAGAGACCCGGTGTAAGATCGAGGGATTGAAAACAATGGCTCGGTGGCTGTTGGGGTTGAAACAAGACGCGACGTCGGCCCAGAAGACGTTCAGGATGTTGAACGCATTTATATTGCATAAAGGGGATCTGTTGCAGACGGGCAGGTTGAGCAGGGCGGAGATGTCGTGGCTCAGGTAAGGATGAGATGAGATCGAAACTAACAATTATCACTCCTATTAGGGTTATGCAGTATTTCTTACACAGCATTGTATGTTGCAAGAGATTTGTCAAGACTTTCTAGTAAAGGCTACAGAGAAAAAATAGGTATTTCGTGTAAAAAAGATATTTGAAAGTTTTAAATGGTTAAAACTATAAAAATGGCTATTCTCTTAAGAACAATTTTCGAATAAATAATTAATTTTTTGCATAAATTCTTGAATTTGAAACCTTCAAGAATCCATTTCATTTTTGTAAAATGTTCTAGGACCATCTCTTCTGCAAGAACAGTTGTTTAAATAATTCGTCTCTGGAAAAAACAATTAGCTTACATAAAATATCAAACCGATTCTGCTGAAATTTAGCACACTTATTAACACCAGTGTTATTCTCATAAATTTTTAGCCGTTTACAATTGTTATTGCAACAGTTATAAACATTTACTCAATATTGCTAAAAATCGCCGTATTTCGCGTAATTGTTTATCGATTTTAATTCTTAAAATACAGAATTGAAGGTCTTTTTTTTTTTTTTTTATTTACATAAGCTGCATCAGCTAATTAGCTATTAGCAGCGGATTTAATGTGTACATGAATCAAATTTTATGTATTAAATTACAATGGCTCAAGAACAACATTAGATTTCGGACATTGCAGGTGGCTCCAATTATGTCTTTTAGAGTTTTACCACAGAGATTAAACTGATGTCTTTGTTGTTCGAACATTGGACACTCCACTAGAATGTGTTTTACCGATAAAACGCTTTCACACATAAAACACATTGGTTCAGGGTCACGGGTGATGAGGTAGCTGTGGGTGATTCTTGTGTGGCCCAGTCGGAGGCGGGTTATTATCACTTGCAGTCTCCTTTTTTCTGTTACTGTTTGCAATTCGTTGAGCTTGGGTTTCACTTCTTGTAGCTTGGAAGGCTTGTTCCTCCACACACTATTCCACTGGTCTATTGTTTTGCCTTTTACATATACCTTCATATCTGATGCTGGAACTGGGAGGTTGCAGATGCTGTTGTTCGTTGCCGCTCTTTTAGCGTTTGTATCCGCTGTTTCATTCCCTGCTATTCCTTTGTGAGATGGAGCCCACATAAGTACTATAATCTGGTTATTGTTGGTGAGTTGAGTAATTGTTTCTTGTATTATCTTGGCTATCGGGTTTTTTGTATATAACTTATTGATGGAGTATATTGAGCTAAGTGAGTCTGTAATGATTATCCATTTTTGGTCAACGGTGCTTTCTATATATTTTAATGCTTCCAGAATCGCGTAAAGCTCTCCTGTCAGAGTAGTGGCTGAGTCCGGAATCTTCAAGGTCTTGATGGTTGTTGGTGTAACTATTGCTGCTCCGCAGTTTGATCCTTGTTTCGATGCGTCGGTAAATATTAGCTTGTGGTCAAGATATTTACCAACGATTTCGTAGAAATTCCTCTGTATTATTTCGTTAGGGGTGCTATGCTTGTCTAGTTCTGTTAGCTGGGTATTTACACGAGGAAGCTGGACAGCCCAAGGTGGTGCGTTTGAGACTTTGACTGGATATAATTGAGGCATTTGGCTTATATTCAACTGTATTAGGTGAGATCTAACTCTTCTGTGTAGTGGTGGAATGTGCAATGGATTTCTGTCGTATTCTATGAGGGTGCGTAGGTTTTTAGAAGTGGGAGCATCTGGGTTTGATGCTGTGTTAATGATATATGATGAACTGAGAATGTCTCGTCGCAGTTGCAGTGGGGGTTCTCCTGCTTCGCAGTATAAGCTTTCCAGCGGTGTTGTTCGATAGGCTCCTAGTATGATACGTAAAGCTGTATTATGTACCACATCTAGATGCTTTAATATGGTTTTTTTGGCAGATGCATACACGATACACCCGTAGTCTATTTTTGATCGTATTAGCAGTCTGTAAATGGTTAAAAGTGTTTTGCTTTCTGCTCCCCAGTGCTTATGTGCTAGACATTTTAACACATTAATTCTCCTTTGGCAAGACTGAATAAGCTGAGTGATATGTTTTCTCCATGTTAGACGTCTGTCAAATGTTATTCCTAGAAACCTGATTTCATCCGTGTACTCTAGCGATGTGTCATGTATTTGTAGTGATGGATTATTCTGTTCACATTTTTTGCTGAAGATGATGCATTTTGTTTTGCTGGGAGAAAACGAAAAGCCTGTCTGATTGGACCAATGTTCTAATTTCGATAACTGCGCTTTTAAGAGTTGGGCACTGGTTTCAATATTTTTGCCTCTTACGTAAATTATCATGTCGTCTGCGTAGAGTCTGGCTTGGACAGGTTTCTCCATATTATCCAAGATGTCATTGATTGTAATTAGAAAAAGTGTCGGACTGATAATTGATCCCTGTGGTACACCGTTCTCTTGTGTTTTCAATTTGGACAGTGATCCATTCACTCGAACCTGGAAGTTTCTTTCACCCAAAAAGTTGGCAATGAAAGCTAATATATGTCCATTGTAGCCGCAGTCTTTAAGCTTCTCGATTATTTTATATCTCCACGCCGTATCGAAGGCTTTATTAATGTCAAAGTAAATGGCAAAACAGTGTTGCTGGTTTTCAAATGCCTCCTGAATATAATTGTTCAAATCGACTATATTATCCATAGTCGATCTGTTCGGCCTGAAACCTGCTTGTTCCTGTATCAGTACGTGTTTTTGTTCTAGGCTCCAGACCAGGCGCTTGTTTATAATTTTCTCAAGCAATTTACATGGTACACATGTTAAGGAAATTAGTCTGTATGACTCTGGATCTAGCTGTTGTTTACCTGGCTTAACTATGGGAATGGCAATTGCTTGATTCCAGCTATTCGGAAACTCATGTTTTGACCATATTATATTGTAAATGTCCAATAAACATTTCCTACCGGATAGAGGCAGGTTCTTGAGGAAGACGGTTGGAATATCGTCTGGCCCTGGTGATGTGTTTTTCATATCTTGAATGGCATCGAGCAGTTCGTTAATGGTTAGGGGAGTGTTGATGGTGTCTTCATTATTCTCAACTGTTATTGGAATTGTTTCGTGTTGTGTTTTGTGAGCTATGAACTCTTGAGAGTAGTTATCATTGCTGGAGTGCTTATAGTATGTTTTCGATAGTATTTCAGCAATTTCATCGCTGTTAGTGTGAATTATCGATTCATCTTTTATTGCTTTAATTTTTTGAAAACTATTTGCGCCTGAGATACTTTTTATCTTTTTCCAAATTGTTGATATTGGTGTTCTTGTATTCATTCCTTCAACAAAATTTTGCCACGACTTTTTCTGATTTCTGTTTGTTGTAAGTCTTGCTCTGGCCTGCTTCTGTCTTAAGTCACGTAGGTTTTCAGTCGTTTTGTGTCTTTTGTACTTATTTAGAGCTGATTTACTTTCTTTGAGTGCTGTCTCGCATTCTTGGTTCCACCAAGGAACTGGATTTTTCTTTTTGACGGTTTTTGTTTTCCCAATGTGTTGTTGTGCTGCTTTGGTGATTAAGGTATTAAACTTTTCTATTATTATGTTTATATTTTCGGTTAAATCGATGTTGTTAATATTGTTGTCTATATATTGCGAGTAATCAGTCCAGTTGGCCTCTTTTAATCTCCATTTATTTGGTGGTATCGTATCACTTCTATCATTTCTTGAATCTGAGATGACAATAGGAAAATGATCGCTATTATATAAGTCATCAGCAGTGGTCCAATTCAGATGCGTCAGAAGGCTCGGCGAGCATGCGCTTAAGTCGATGGTAGAAAATCTCCCTGAAGCAGCATCAAACCTTGTGCTGCTTCCATCGTTAAGTAAGGCTAGGTTGTTCGTCTCAAGTGCTTCCTTGAATAATTCTCCCCTAGGATCATTTTTAAAAGAGCCCCACGAGATGCTGTGGGCGTTGAAGTCTCCTAATATTATTCTAGGGCTGGGTATTTGTTCTAACAGAGCTTGGAATTCGGCAGGTTCCAAATGGTAGTCTGGTGGGATGTAAATGTTACATATGTTGAGTACATCTTTGAGGTCTATAGATATAGCTATAGCTTCTAGGTTTGTATTCAATGGAATTGGTCGGACAGGTATCTCCCTTTTGACGTATATTGAGACTCCACCGCTTGCTGTGGGTCTTTGCCTGTTTTTGAAAAATCCTGCATAGTTTTTGGGTGAGTGTGATTTTGTGTCGTGGAAATGCGTTTCCTGGAGGCAAACGACATCTGGTGTATAATCAGCTATCAGTTTTTTTAACATGTTTAAATGGACATAGTATCCATTTAAGTTCCATTGCAATATTGACATGATTCTTATTTTAGTAAAAAGATGTGTCTATTGAGGAAGTATCGCTAAGAGAGTCATTGAGACTTTTGTCGATGATGCGTTCCAGTTTCTTCCGAAGTCTGGTGCAGCGGTTTTTTAGCGTTCTGTCATCTATATGAGAATATATTAGTAGTAACATTTCTGTAAGTCCCTTGATATCATCTGTAAAGTCGTTTATGATATGTGTTATGTCTTGTACCCCATGTGTGTTTTCCAGTAAACTCTTGAGCTGGTCACAATTTAACGCGAGTGGTGGGGTATGGCTTTCTATAAATGCTTTAACTGGAGATAAAGCATCGTCTTGGATGATCGACGGTCCAGTTTCCGACTTATGCTTTTTGGTGTTAATGTTTCTTGGAATAGTGAACGTAGGACTGTTGGGTGTATTTGCTGCTGGAGGTGTTAAAATATTTGAAATGGGTCTTTTGTTGGGTGCTTTATCTATTATATTTGTCTGGCTGCTACTGAATGTTACGCTTCGTGGTTCATGTGAGGTGTTGGATGTCTGTACTGGTATTTCCTTGTTGCTTGGTTGAGATGAAGGGAGAAAAACTGTTGTTTTGCTATGATTCTGTTCTATCCTTTGAGTGGTTTCGGTGGCTGAAATTTCTGGCTGACTATATTGTGTGTTGCTGTTATTTGTCAGTGGTGTGTTGTTTACAGAAGGACAGTGTGAAGCAATATGACCAGAAAGTTTACATTTAAAACATTTCTGACTGTCTAGCGATAAGAAGATGCGATATGATAGACTATCGTGAGTGATTTCGATGGACTCAGGTATTTGGTTAGATTCTAGAGGTGTAATATATACCTGCCTCCTGAAACTTAATATGTGATTGTATTCTGGTACTGTTGCTCCGATTCTCAAAAATGTTATGGAAGATATTAATTTCAAGCCTAGATCTTGTAGTTTTTCCTTTAAAACTGCGTGTGGTATTGTTGGGCAAACGTTCGATAGCACTAACCTGTCCGATGGTGAAATTAATTTACGGGCCTTAATTTTTTCTCCTTGTATTACAATTTCCCCTGGGTTCTCTACGAATTTATTTACTAATTCCTTGCTGGAGAGGTATATGCAAATTCTGTTATTGGAAATTCTAGAGCAAAACAAAATGTTCTTCGGGTCAATCATTGGTCCTAATTGGAGCAAGTAATCTTGTATTCTTGCTCCGTCTATGGAATTGAAAACTATAGCTTGTTCTTGAGTTGGATGTTTATATGTAGTTAGAATTGTGGAATAGTGTGTGGGTTGGTTAATCGGTGTTGATGTCATTGTTGCTAAGGTTTTATATCAGTATGGAAAAATATCATTTCTGAATACGGACCTGTTCTTTCGAGGTCCAAATTGTGGACGCGTTTTTCCCGAACGCTTGAGATTGGAATGTTGAGTATTTGATCCACTGATTTACTATGTTCTCGGTATATAGCACAATATTTCCTACTCACAATGCGTCCTGGTTCGTGATTTGCACTATATGGTAGCAAGTCGAAAATTGTTTGTGTTATGGTTCACTTTTAATACGGTAAATTCACGAGCTCACTATCAGATAGACTAACTGACTCGGTTGCAGGACCGAACTCCGAATTGAAGGTCTTTTTATGCTCTAAAATCTCCAGTTTACCGATTATTTATAAAATCTTAATTATACAAGTAAAATACTGAATTTTATGCTCTTCGCATTGTTTAGAAAAAAAACAACGCATATCTGTCTGTATCTTTTTATGTATTTGCCTTTCAGATATCTGCTGGACTTTTTTCACCTTTTTTTTTTTTATCTAGCCTGGACTATTCTTAGAACAGATATACAAGTGGAATAGGCACACCTAATAGGATTCGTCAGTCATTTAAGAGGTTGCAGGGTCAACATATAACTGACTTAAATTGTGCGCCATTTTTGATACACGCATTTCAGTAGGTGGCGACGTAGTAGCTTTTTAACAACGTCCGTATTGTTAAAACGTTTTACTTAAATAATGAGTCATTTGATGCAACGATTCGGAAGCTAAAACAGGTGATTTAAAGACTTTCCAAGGTCAGTCCGTGTTCTAACTGTTCGTACTCCGTAAAATGTCGAGAGAGTTCGTGAAAGTGTAGTGGAGCGCCCTGAGACGTCTACCAAACACCGTTCTCAAGAATTGGGTATGCGTCGCACGTCATTATGCGCTACTTTAAAAAAAGACTTGCATTTGCGGCCATAGAAAATTCTGTTAACCCAAGAACTTCAGCCTAGGGACCATGAAAATCGCCGACTATACAGTCATGCAATATTGCAGCTTGATACCCAAAAAAACGATTTTTACCGATAACTGATAATGAGCGATGAAGCCGACTTAGATATGAATGGATTTAATCTGCAAAACATGTGGTTCCAGCAGGACGGAGCAACTTATCACACAGCTAAAGAAACAATGAATCTTTTGTGAACAGTGTTTCCAGGATGTTCAATTTTTCGATTTAGTGATGTCAACTGGCCTTCAAGGTCACCGGATTTAACGGCTCCTGACTTTTTTATGGGGATTTTTGGAAAATAGGGTTTATGCCAAAAAACCAAATACTGTAACGCAGCTGAAGAACAATATTACAGAAGCGACTGAAAATATTCCTCCCGAAACCTACCAACAAGTGATGGAAAATGTAATCAAAAGGGCTCAGGTTTACGCAGCTTCTAGAGGCGGACATTTGTAATATACTATTTTTTAATAAATAATTTCTAAGTTTCAATAAAAGATTAAGATGAAAAAATGGACGTATTTTATTTCATTTCACAAATTAATATTCAAGATACAAACCAGTCAGTTACATATCGGCCACCCTGTACAACAAAAGTGTAAAAACTCTTGCATCCGCTAAAGAACATTATAGTGCAAGAATAATAGGAATTATAGATTGATTTTAAATATACTTTTTTATTTTTTTTCCAACGATTTTTTTTATTTCAGATTGGCTGCTGGTTGTGCGATGTTGAAAGTATGTGAGCAGAAAGGTGTCGGCGACCAGTACACTGCCGAGCAGTTCTACAATTTGTCGACGCTGATGATGGACGAAGTGAAACAAGTTAGGGAAATTTTCGCTAGTAAACTACACAAAGGCCTGAATAGGGGCTTACTCAGCAAGTGCCTGCCACTAGATTTTATGGGGTATTACGGATTAGCTGGTAAGTCGAAAAATATTGAAGGCCAACTCCGCTATCGCAAAAGAAACCTGAAGACATATTCGAAATGTATAGCTTCGCCTTTTTAGTAATGTCAGATGAAATTCTATTGATTTTTAAGCCGCCAAGGCCAATCAAAACTACACTTTTCGATCAATATAAAAATTTGTATACACTGCTTTGCAACATGGAACATTTCATCCAAATTCAAATCTCGGTAAAGAGGTATCAAGTTGCGGTGTTTGGCAGATCTTGACGAACTCTTTGAGAACACATACATGGTTTGGCCGGTATATTTTTTTTATTTATCCATTTAGACAGTGTGTCAAAGAAGTAAGGTTTTTTAGCAAAGTTTGGGGCTATTTCAGATTCTCAATTTTTGATCTTGGAAATTTTTCTATGCATCGTTTTCCTCAAAGAGTTGATCAAGAACCTCCCGAATATCGAGATTTGAATTTGGCTAAAATTTTGCACGTTGCAAAGCAGCTGTCCGCCAGTTTAGTTGGATTTCAAATTTTCTAAAAAATAAAAAACCGCTGCCACATCCACAAAGCGCCATCTAGCGGCCACGAACTGAACTGATCTGATGAGAATAAACATTCATTAGGAGCGCAGGTGAATACTCTTTCACTCTTTTCTGGAAGGACATTCCCACTCGGTACATTAAAAATACATATTCGGCTTTGGCGCTTCTTCTAAATTTGGCAGATATTGACCTGTGCGAAACCTTTGTCAAAAATAGTGTGTAACGATCCGGTAGGCTTCTGTTCCCGCGCCCCTTTTATTAGACGAAAATACCCCTAGTTTGCGAAATAATTGTAAATTCTGGTTTTATTGATGCAATTTGTTTAAGGGGGGATTAAAATCACGGACGCATAAAATGGGTATACTAATTTTTGTGGGAAAACTTTTTCTTCGACAACATAGACTGAGAAAACGTGTTTTTTGGGATGCAATCGAAAGTGTTGGTAGGAACAAAAACACTCTTCAAGTAATATTTTTAGGTAATCATGAGACCCACAGAATGAGACCACACATAAGAAGATCCGACTAATAGTAAAAAAGTTATGGCCGAAAACCGAGGCAAGATGCAGGTTTCAGCACTTGTTGGTAATGCGACGATAGTTTCACGCAGATATTTGAAATTCTTCAAATTCGCAGGCTTCATACTTAAATAACGGCAACAAAATTGGAGTCGATTGGTCAAGTAGTTTTTGAGTCCTTTGAACGAACCCTGTATATTGCATAGTAAACTAGTAGTGATGGCCGGAAAACAGGTGTTTTTGGGAAAAACAATTAGACATTCTCAAAAAACTACTTGGCGAATCGACTCCAATTTTGTTGTGGTCATTTAGAAGTATGCAGCCTACGTATTTGAAGAATTTCAAGTAGCTGCGTGAATTTATCGAACAAATTTCCGTTAATTATCATGGCCAAAAGACCAAAATCGATAGAGTTAATACTTTGAAATATCTTGGAATATTTATAGACTCACGTCTAAGGTGGGATAACCATATTAAATATGTTATCAAAAAAATTAGAAATGTTGCCTATAAACTCAAAATGCTTGCTAACATTCTTACAGAAAGTTATCTGCGAATCCTATACCATGCCTTAGTTGAAACCCATATAATATGCGGCATCGCAGCCTGGGGTGCCGCCTGCAAGACATATATTTCTGACCTGAATATAGCACAAAAAACTGTTTTGAAAGCCATTTTCCATAAGCCAAGATTATATCCAACAAACAACTTATATCAAGAGAGATACAGGACAACTTTATTTCTTACATGCCACCCCTTATACCATAAGTATTGTAATAAAAAGAAAAAATCCTATAAACACGAGCATAACACACGATTTCGAATAGGCTCATCTAATATCCAAAGACCACAAAACATTATTCAAAAAATGATTTATGATTTAACAATAATTGTTATACACATATATGATTGATTGTTAGTTATTAAGATATAAACCACACACAGGCGATGCCTTCTGTGGTTTTTTCATATTTATTTGCCCATTTTTTATATTTTGGCGAATAAATATTATTATTATTATTATTATATTATTAGCAACAAGAGCCATAATCTGCATTTTGCTGTAACTTTTTTACTATTAGTCGGATATTTTTATGCGTGGTCTCATTCTGTAGGTCTCATATATACCTAAAAATCTTTGAAGAGTTTTTTGGTTCCTGACAACACTGTCGATTGAATCTCAAAAAACACGTTTTCTCATTCTTTGTTGTCGAATAAAAAGTTTTCCCACAAAAATTGCTGTACCCATTTTATGAGTCCATGATTTAAATACCCCCTTGAACAACTAGCACCAATAAAACCAGACTTTACAATTATTTCGGGTAAATTTGCTGATATGATTAGACTATATTGCGACGTCGGAAAAATAAATTCGCTCGTTATTTTTCCAATTTTGCTTAGGCAAGGAACCAGAAAACCGGCTCAGAGCTACGATCCGCAACTACATGATAGCGGATATCAACAGGCGGCGGGACTACGTCAAAACATTGATGATGAATTCTTCGCAAGCCGAAAAAAGTTTCAGTCAGATGCCGCATATACTGCCAGACTACATGTTAGCCTTTGTGATACCAGTGCTAGCACACGATCCACAACTCACCAGGTTAGTGATAAAAATCAAATCACAGAATTAGTTAACCAGTGTACCAGGTATAGAGGACTGTTTTAGAGGACATTAACTTTTGTAAAATTGTACTTTGCATTGTTTGTTTCACATTTATTCAGCATTAATGCTACAATATCCATATTACACTGTATATCACAAAATATATTATGTCTTCTACATATTTTCATACAAAATTTCACTACTATGAATTCTTGTATTCCATGAGATATTTTTTCAATAATTTCCCTTTGAACATTTTCAAACTGACACACATTTTGACATCATTATTTAATTTATTAAATTCGTACAATCCCTTTTGAAATATTGACTTGCTCGTTATATTGCTACTGCAGTTTTGTAAATGAAAGTCTATACTTCCTCTAGTAGAATAATTGTGGCGCTCATTGCTCAATAGAACAAAATTTTCTAAGTGAATTGGTAGAAGATGATTTTTTAACTTGAATATGAAAATGAAATTTTTTTTAGAATAAACGCTTAAGCTATGCGAAATTCTATAAAAGTAATTTATTTTCTTGGATATTTTTGAAATAATATAGTTATAGTGCCCTTCAAATTTTAATTTACTGTCTACGTATATGCCCAAATATTTAAATGATTCGATTCACACAATTTTTTCATGATTAATTGTAAGATTTGTCGTATTTTGATGTAAAGATTTTCCGATAAGCATATATTTTGTTTTGTTTAGTTTAAGTTTATTTACATTTAACCAATTTATTACGTTTTTCATATCATTATTTATCAGCCCTATTGAAGTTTCAATGTCTTCATTTGATATATATCATCAGCAAATAGTTGAATATAAATACAGTGAAAGCTCTCCTTGCGGACAGCTCCTATAAGCGGACATCTCTTTTAACCGGACAAAGTTCCTGGAACCGAATTTCAGCCATCAATTTTCAATGTTAAAAGCATTCCGATAAACGGACGCTCTTATAAACGGACGCGGACACTAGATTTTCCTGTATGTGATCAAAAAATCTCCCATAAGCGGACGCGAAACTCTAATACCCGGACGATTTTTTAGTTCCGCTTATTGCAATGCACATATCTACATACATAAAATTCGGTAATACCCGATTTATATCAGGTGATTCCCCATTTACGCATTTCGTTGGGTAGCCTGTATGTAATCTTGTGGCTTGTCTTCAGTTCAGGCAAATTCGTAGTTGATTGAGTTACGTATTTTATTATTGTAACTGTAAAATGGCACAAAAAAAAAGGATGCTCTCGTTAAAGGAAAAGATGTAAGTTGTTAACGTATTAGACAGAGAAAGTGTTTCAGTTCGTCATTTGGCAAAGAGGTTTAATATTGGGAAAATGCAAGCAGCTGAAATTGCCAAAAATAAGGAAGATATCAGGAGTAAATGGCAATCAGGAACTAATATAAATCAAAAGAAGGATTTTTTAAAAAAGGAAGGTTTTGCTATAGACAAAACATGTTTTGAGTGGTTTGTGAAAGCTAGAAGTCAGAACATTCCAATCTCAGGGCCTTTAGTGAAAATGAAAGCTAAAGAAATCGCCACTACTTTGGGCTATAATAATTTCAGTGCGTCCGACGGGTGGCTGCAAAAGTGGCCCAAGAGACATAGTGTGAGTTTCAAATGCATATCTGGTGAAGCTGCTGCAGTAGATCAAGTTGATGTGTCACAATTTTTGAAGAAACTTCCGTCCATGTTGCTTGGCTACAAACCAGAAGATGTGTACAACGCAGATGAGAGTGGACTTTTTTTTCACGCATTGCCCGACAAAACTCTGTCCTTTAAAGGAGAAACATGTGTGGGTGGAAAGTTGTTTAAAGATAGACTAACCATTTTATTCTGTGCAAATATGGCCGGTGAAAAATGCGATTTGATTGTGATCGGGAAAGCGGCTCGTCCCCGTGCTTTAAAAAAGTCGCTATTAAGGATCTACCAGCGACTTGGAAATCCAACAAAAAGGCATGGATGACCCGAGAAATCATGTCTGAGTGGTTAGTCGAATTCGACCGGAAAATGAGAATCCAAAAAAGGCAAGTTCTTTTATTTTTAGACAATGCATGCTCTCATCGTCGTGATATGAAAATGAAAAATGTGAAAATTATATTTTTACCGCCAAACACAACTTCTGTTTGTCAGCCCATGGATCAAGGTGTCATACAGAACTTTAAATTTTATTATCGGCACTTGATTTTAAAACATATTTTAACAAAAATTGACGATGGTCAAAGCTTATCTGAGCTTACAAAGTCTATCAATGTGTTAGAAGCTTTGTATTTTATAAAAACAGCATGGAATAAAGTAAATTCCTCTACAATTAAAAACTGTTTTGGCAAAGCTGGATTCAGAAAAAGTGAATGTAGCTCAGAATTTGCTGAGCAAAATTATTGCGATGCTGAAGACGATCTGCCCTTAGCGACACTTGCTCAGTTACTGCGACATGCCAAACATTTAGGAGTAGCAGATCCCCAGAAAGTAGATGATTTCCTGGCCATAGACAATAACATAACAACAGAAGAAAATGCCATTGGCAACTTTTCGAATTTGGATGTAGAAAGCCCAGGCCAACTTGAATATGGTAGTCCAAACGACTCAGAAGAAGAAGTGGAACTGGTGGACTCACTAAGCGGTTCAAAAACGACAAATTCATATGGGGAAGCTCTAAATCATATTTCTATATTGAAAAAATTTGCTAAAGATGATTTCACTGCATTTCAACATTTGAAAAATTTAGAAAGTTATTACGAAAATTGTCTCCTTCAGCAAAAGATGGTGAAATTTCGTCAGACAAACATTTTAAACTTTTTTCAACAAGCTAAAGAATAATGTTTTTTTTTAATTCTCGTACCATGTATTGAAGCATTTATGTTTTTGTATGCGTATATGTACATATATTATATAGTATAGCATAAATACATACTTTAAAAATGTGGCGAGTTTCTGTTTCATTTTTCGCATGATTATAATACCTCATTTCCTCATGATTATATACCCCGTTATTTATACTCTATACTTACATACTCTCTTTTAAACGGACACCTCCCATAAGCGGACAAAAGTTACGGAACCGTGAGTGTCCGCTTATGGGAGCTTTCACTGTATATAAAATAAATAGTAATGGACCTGATTTGCTACCCTGTGGCGCACATACCGAAATGTTTTTAATGTTGGAATTCTCTTATTCCTATTGGTTCTTTTTGACAGTTGGGACGATGTGGCTGCCTTGACGCGAGCCAAACAGTGTTTGTGGTTTGTGTTGGAACCTTCAGTTACGAAAAATGACTACTTCAGCTATGGATTCTACAAAAACCTCATCGAGAGAATGAAAAATCATAAGGACGCTGTACGACCAGAGGACGATTCTATGAACTATGTAAGTAACGTGATATAACTTCTGAATTGTGTGGTTGTAAGTAATTTTAAGATCAAAGATTATCGAGAAGGTAAGAGCAAGAATATGGTTCCAGTATGGTCTTTATCAGCAAAAATCTGCTATCACTACTCATGATGCTTGATGCTTCGACATTAAAACGCAGATTTACTTTGACGAAAGATTAAGGCATCAATAAAAAAACAGTTGTTTAGCTCAGACAATTTAAGAGTTTGTTAGTGTGCAAGGGTGGATCAAATATAAACGGGAATTCTTTTTTAATATTTATTTATTTATAAAACAATACAACAATGCAACATCATTTTTCTCTGTAATCTCCTCCACGCTCTACACATTTTTCCTATCGATTTGGAAGCTTACAGATTCCGTACCTAATAGAATCGATGTCAAGGTCATCAGAAATTAAATCTTATAGGAATCTTAATGTTATAAACTAGTTAAACAAAAAGACAATAATACTTTGGTTATCTTCACAGAAACTGTGGGCGCTGTGCGACCTAGCCTCCGGCCTCCTAGTAACCCGCGCTACCAACTACGACCTGAAGGATTTCCCTGGGGAGACGCGAGTACCAACGATGTACTTCGCCCCCCAGCCTTTGGACTTTGTCAACACCCGAGTGTTCCTGCCGCCGAAACTTCAATACCAGCCCAACGTGAAGCCCATCACGTTGTCAATGTTGAATTGCCAACAGGACAATAGGAAAAAGTCGCAGAGGATCAAGAGAACGGAACCATGCGGGGAGGACGGGACTGATGTTCAGGTGAGTGTCTTTGGAAATGTAGACTTTTTTGATGAGGTCTGAGAGTAAATTATTCTTGGAAACAAAAAGCGGATGAATAAGAGTGTATTAAAAAGCAAATATTATTTCAAAGTGTGATAGAACATGGCGATGGTTTGAAATATTTATAAAATTATCGTATGAGTATACCGGGTGATTCTGAAAACATGTGCAGTATTTCTAGGACCGAGTGTACGTTTGAAGAAGTGATTATGAAAACTAGAGCTGAGGCAGTTCAGAATATTAAGAGATCATTGCGGAAAACGTATCGACTTGAAATTTTATGCCTGTAGTACTCGCAATATAACCAACGCATACTTCAAATCTGGGTTCACTCAACTTAAGTTGTCTCCATCATGTATTTTGCTAGAAACACATATTTTAACTTTTTCGAAATAAAAACGCTTTAAAAAAAGCCGCGTCGGTTTTGTTATCTTTCCATGAACATTCAAAGAAACCAAAAACATTATATTCAAAATAAAATTTTAATTAGCCCTCAAATAAATTCACAAATATGTTATGGGGCGTTGGCCAACTTCACTCAGGGCTCGTATATTTTTCCTTTTCCATTAAAAAAAAAACTTTATATGATAGCACTTTTTTGAGACACAAAAAAATTTTATATGAAAAACTTCATATTAGACCCTATAAATTTTATATAAAACTTTTTTTTGAAGGTTATATGAAATAGTTAAACGTCCCCCTCCCTCCCGGGCTACCGGTATACTTCCCGCTCTAGAAATATTGCCATTTTATTTTCTTCGTCACGATTGTTCACAAGTTATTCAAAGATATTTCGAGAACATGATTTTATAACTAAACAGTTCATTTATACGTAAAGCATACACCCTTGATGAGAGGGATAGATGCTCAGGTATGTACTATCAATAAAATTGATGTTAATGAGATGTTGGCTTACACTTAGGTAGAGCATGTTTGTATGAGGGCATGGCGTTTTCAAAATTATGAAATTCTATCCAACAAGAGGTTTCTGATAGTACCGAAAATGTACTCGAAAGTTTAGTGTCATACCAGTTTTGGTGATTCCTGAAAGTCAAAAACTTTTTGTTGGAACTGTGATGATATTATTAACACAAACACCTCAACCCATTTAATCTGTTCGGAGCTTTTTTAAAAATGAATTTAGCTTTTTGCGTCATGATCTTACTGTAAAAAAGAATAAGGTTAGATGCAGGCAAAAAAGGCAGTTAGCATTTTATTAAGGAATTGGGAACTGTGGTAGCACTCTCAAAGAATAGGGAGTTCTATGCAAAAACTACACACTTTTCAGTAACTACCAGCTTTCTGTCACGATGTATTACCTGCTGCACGTGTGAACATCGTTTGACAAAACTCCGGGGTTGTAGAGATTGTACTTGCTGTACGTGGTCTCAAGATTCGGTGGGTCGTACTCCCGTGCTTTGACGTACTGGAGTACTCGAGTCTTCTTCGCCTGCTTGTAGTACGACTTCCTCCCAAGGAAAAGAAATTCTTCCTTCACCATGTGCTTGATTTGGGAATCATTCCTCTGAGAGTAAATTTGTAGTAATGGGAATCATCACATCATGGAGATTTTTCCGATTTTGTTTTAAAGCCTATAATTTCATAAGTACACGACTTGTTTTTTTATATTTTTTATCTGATAACTACTATGATTTAAAGAGATTATTTTTACACCGCTCTTCATCATGTTTTTATTGACAGCCCTCTGAAGCCTCCGATACGAAGATCCAACTACCAGGCATGGAGGAAGAGACGGAAGAGCCCCCGATCAAAAAGTCGCGTGACAAACTCGACGAGAACGAGAGCGAAGAGAACGAAAAGTGATCGTATACGAGTCACCGCGACCAGTTGTACATAAAATACTAAAGGGGCAGTGAGTGACACGCGTTCGTAGTGTGTGAGATTGCAGGGCGTGGATGAGACATTTAGTGGAAATACATTTTGGCCGGATTGGAGAATTGGGTTGGCATGGTGGCTTCTGTGACAGCAATTAAAGATTGATGATAGAAAAGCGGTGGGTTAGCCAACATAATCAAAATCTACAATAAGGCAATCTACGGATATGCAGTCTTACAACAGGCTGGCATTATGACATTCTCGATCTTGTTGACTTATTTGTAGGTCGAAATTTGCCCCTGTTATTTTCACAGTTACATCCTCCAACATCCTTATTATGTAACTGCAACTGTAACATTGGAATTCCTTATATTACATTGCGATTGTAAAATTCCTACCGCGCACACTGGCCTGTCTAGCTGTATGTCTTGCCTACTAAGCTACAAAAAGTCTCAAAGATCTTTCCTTCAGTTTTTAATGATGTTTTTTCCCCAAATTATAGTCGCAGGGGTGACCATGTCAATTAATAAGGTTGCTTTCAAAATGAGATGTGTGATAAGAATGAAGAATAGCCTTACAGTACGATTTTAGTGTAAGTGGTTAGAACATTTCAAGGGATATATGATTTTTGTTTTTGGTATTCAGCCTCTAATTTTAAGGTTGAAACATGCAGAATGCGGTAGAAGTTGTATAATTGTGTTCTTCAGCAAAAAATAGTTTCTTGTTTCCTTGGTAGAGTTGTGTTCATAAAATAATCTGATAATTTCAATTTGTACCCATTTCTAGTTACGATTACGTCAGTTATTTGTCAAAAATATACTTCCTGTTTTGTTACGAAAATAAAGTAATCTATGAATTATTTCTGGATCTCCTGTGGAGCTTAAGCAAAACACAATTATACGTACTTCTACATTAACATTGGATGTATAAAGTAATGTAAATCATATGTTATCAAGTTTACTATCAAATTCACTGGGTACTCAGAACAGGTTTTAACCATCCATCAAAACGTAGACTGAAATTGAATTTTTTGGGCATGTTTGTTGTCAAAATGTTTGTAACATAGTATTTCAGAAGTATCTTCATTTGTCCAACGTTTTTTGAAATCAATGACGTTATAGATGGACATCTAGCAACGTTGAGGAAGATAGCTTTCTCGATATCGTCTAGTACAAATGTTCAACAGGAATGAACCAGCTGAACTGATACCTTTTCTGCTGGGCGTTTATGAGAGAGTTGGGTTTCTCCTTCAAAATATAGCTAGGTCTCACACTATTATTTTTTTATTGTTGATAATTTATTTATGTATGTTGATCAGAGCGCGAATTCTAGTTTGCTTTGTCTGTTGAGTTAGCTGGACAGAAAGATCACATAGTGTAATGTTACGATATACTGCTCTAATGACTCAAACTCGAGGGATTCGAAAACCTTTGCCTTTTTTGATGCTGGAGTTTGAAGTTAAGGGGTAACACCAACCGAAAAAAGCATTGCTTTGCCATTTTTTGGGAAGAAGTGGTGATAAAATAATAATAATGGAGGAAGTTATCAAGTATATGAATAGCAAAAAAGAAAATTGTCAGAAATTGTGAAACATCACAAATATAATTTTTTTCATTCGGATTTTTCGGTTTTTAAAATAAAATTTGAAAGGCAGTACTTGGGGGATTTTTTGATAAATTAACGAATCGGATGTAAAACTTATCGGTAATAATTTTTCTTTTGTTACTGAACTGTGTGCTCAATAATTTCCTCCGATATTATTTTATTCCCATTCCTTCCACAGAAAAAACATGACAAAAAATCACTTTTTTGGACGTTTCAGTGGTGTTATCATTAATGCAATAAATTTAATATTGAATCTAGGACCAAAGTCATACTGAATGTTCCCCTACTGACTCTCCAGACCGTAATTTGCTTGACTCTTTTTTTTTTGTTTTAGGTAGTATTTTTGTTTTACAGGTGTACCGTGATGTATTTTTTTCAATTGGACAAGGACTCTATACGTATTTAAAGATGTAGTCGTGATGAGAGTACACAGATTCCTGTAAACCTATGTAATAGTTATAAGGTTTTGAAAGTTATTTTTATAATGCCGGGTGTATCGTTTCTACAACTTGCTGACATTAGTCTGTTTATTATTTATTTATATTCGAATCGCACTTTTTCAAATAATGTTCAGCACCCTTTTGACGTAAAATATAGCAACTTAGTTTTACAAAAATCATTTGTCAAGCTGGGTTGGGGAATTTTACGTGATAAGGGTGCAGGGAGGCGTTTTATTGTGTCTCTTATACATTTCTTATTGATTTGTTGAGGATTAATTATACCGCCACTGAAAACGATGGCAAAGAATAATTTTGTTCAAATGTAGAGTTTATAGGGTTGATTGATTCCAGTTTTAGAATCTATTTATGAAATTTCATCTCAACTTGTATCACATGAGTCATATGGTTGTTTAGTTTCAATTTGGTACATATTTTCTACTAAGCAACTTAACTGTACAAATATTACTTTAATAAATAATTGTCTACCAGATGATTTTCTTTTAATAAATCGTCATTATGGATTTTGACAAAAGCATCCGACATAACTAAGGAGGAGTGGTCCAAGAACGGATGCCTGAGGTAATTTGTTGTATATTTTTTAGTAAGTGAGGCAACTTGGGTCAGCTGGACTGGTTTTCAGAAAATAGTTTGGTAGCAAGTCAGTGGACAATTATAGTTAAAAGGAAAACAAGCTTTCATAGCAAACTGAACTAAAAAAAATAGAAAATAATTTTCAAGTACGCTGTTCTGTGATAGAAAGTTCAACAATCAAGTTTAATGCTTTTCTAAACTAAAATTTATTCTCTATACAGGGTGTTTGGTGCATCGTTTGCCAAATTGAAATGGCGGACAGCCCAGGTCCCTCAAACAGTGTTTAGCCCAATGCTTTGTTAGTTTAAAAATAAAAAACTACATGCTGCTGGCAAGTAATATTGATTTTGTAAGATTGGTGCAACATCACCCATTAAGATAAATTAATCATTTATCTTTATTTTTTTTAATTTCACTTTGTGTATTACATTTTGGAGTTTTTACTAAAAAAAAATAAAAGATCTACATAATTAATGCCGTTGGGCTTAAAACTGTTTGAGGGTCCTGGGGTTATAGAAAAAGACCTCTCCTGTCCGCCATTTCGATTTGGCAAACGATGAACCCTGTATATTCGATTTTTGGTATATTTATTCAACATTTTCAAATCCAAATTTAATTTTCGAATTCAATTTTTTCCAAATTACAAAATTCCAATTTTTTGAAAATTTTCAAATTCGAATTTAATTTAAATATTGCATTGCGACCGCCCTTATTTCCCTGTGCAAATTTTCAAGTTAGAATTCCTGAAATTGGTGAAAATTAGGTTGAAAGGTAATAAAAGTATGTTAAAAAATCACTTTTTTATTTGATAATATACTACAACAATAACAGTTGTCTAGAGAAACTCTGTTTCTGATAGAATATATATATATATAAATAAAACAATTTTCGAAACATATTGAAACAAAAAATATACACATGAGGAACAATTTAGCCGACCACACGTATCACATATAGAAATTAAAAATGAACATTTCTTACAAACAAACAAAAATACTTATTTCTCATAATACTTCAGCTTGAACTATGGCATTTTACGTCACAACATTAAATTTCACATTAAGGCCACAACATATATTTTCAGAAAAATTAAATTTTATAGCAAAATATATAGGCAAAAAAGCGTTCATTCGATTTTTGGACCAATATTGTAGCATCTCAGCAGTAATGATGATAACTAAAGACAATGGCCATCAACCAATGCTATTGATAAAATAAACTAGTAAAATGTCATTAACACGTTCAAGCTAAACAGTAATCTTCAGTCTCAAAACAAACTGAATACTCAGAGACAGATTTGCTAATCACTTTATAGCAAATAACAAAACTGAAACCTACAAAGAGGGACATCTAAAGCCCTGAGTAAAATGAACTTAGAAAAATATAATGTTTTTGACAAAATATCTGTGCATACAATTGCTAAATCTTCATTGTGCGATTGAGCAAGAAATATGAAATAAAACTCGTCAAAATGAAAAAAAAGTGTATCCAAATTGACTGAATTCTAATTCACTCTAAACCTCTGATATTGAATCATAATTTCTTTCAATGAAAGAATAACAATTTGCGCGAATTAGAGGCCAAGTATTTAGCTTCAAAAAGTCATTCGATGTAATAATTGGTCTAGGAAAAGGCTCTAAAAGCTGTTTTGTGTGAGGTATACGAGCAATTTCTACCATTTTTTTTTTTTCGTTATAGGAAAAATGTACGGTGAGATACGCTATGTATACAAGAACAAATCTATGAAACGTTCAGCAAAGATTAGTCAGCATTTCAAAAATTCCGAATAATGATCAGAAAAATAAGGTTATTCGTAATCTAAGACTGGTTGAAATCAAACTTTGGAAGACAGTGCTTAAACATGTATACAGCATAACATTTAGGGATAATTGGCAACGTTCTCAATTTATGCGAGAAATATGGCTTCTAAAGAATGGACTGAACAATTAGTTCCACTGCAACCGACTACATTTTTATAGGCTTGTCATTGTAACAAAATCGTATACACCCACAAAATATATAGTTCCCCTTGAAAAGGCAACTTTGAATTGTGCTAAAACATTTGGCAAAACCTAGCTGTAGATAGTATTTAGTTGTTGAGTGCATCTAACGAAAGTGGCTCTCCTGGGTAGCTCCTTCAACTTGAAAGCCCCTGTATAGGTGCATGCACTACGTAGGCCCCCTAGGATGTCCAACACTGTCACTTCTACATCGCCTTTATAAGGTACCTCCACCGTTTTGCCTTCCGAAGATCTGTATTCAGCTACACCACCTGCCGAATGTTCGATATGAAAGCTGCTACACACAGTGACGGCGGCAATGCCGCCGGGTTTATGTTATGTTTAAACACATAAACCGCACGCTTTCTATGCCGCCGGGTGTACGGCAGCCCTGCCGCCGGCACTGTGTGTAGCAGCCTTTAGGGTGATTTACCTCGCAAGAATGCAATTTAACACAAGCAAAATCGGCAATGAATTTGTTCACCACTATCCTAAGAAATCACCATTATTGACTGCAATGCCTTATTGAGAAGTAGCATTTTATTTCCTTAGGTAAGTAATGAAATAGTCTAATCATAGACGAAAATACTCCTGGTGTACGAAATACTTGTAAAGTTTGGTTTTATTGCTGCAAGTTTTTCAAGGGGGTATTAAAAACATTGGAAAACTTTTTATTCGACAACAAAGAATGAAAAAAACGTGTTTTTTGGGATTCAATCGAAAGTGTTTTCAGGAACGATATAAGATTTTTAGATATTTATCATACCTACAAAATGATACCACACGTAAAACGATCCGACTAATAGCACTTTTGGTAATGCGACGATGGTTTCTCGCAGATATTTGAAATTCTTCAAATTCGTAGGATTCGTACTTCTAAATAACCACAACGAAATTGGAATAGATTGGACAAGTCGTTTTTGAGAATTTCTAATTGTTTTTCCCAAAACACCTGTTTTCCGGCCATCACTACTAGTTTATTGATCAATATACAGGGTTAGTTCAAAGGGCATTTTATAGCAAAATACAGTAGTTTACCTTGCAGATATGAATCGCAAACCATTCCGGAAGATAAATGTTATTTTTATGTAAAAAAGGATGGGTTACTTTTTTCTTCTGAACAAATTAAAACATTTCGTATGTGTAATTCACAACAAATGATGGACACATCCGCTTTGTTTCAAAATGTGTATGATAACGTATGTTTTTCGAATATCGTAGCGCATTTGTTCAATTACAAAAACGAAATGTTTGAATTTGTTTAGAAGAAAAAACGTAACCTTTAATTTTCGCATAAAAATAACATTTATCTTTCGGAATGGTTTGTGATTCATACCCATTTTATGCGTCCATGTTTTATATACCCCCATTGAAAAACTTGCACCAATAAACCAAACTTAACAACTATTTCGGAGAAATTTGTTAATATGATTAGACTAAAAGCAAAAAACACCTTGGTAAATAATAAATTGTATTTTGTCAATTTTTTTGTGTCAGGTTGACAACAGATCCTTGAAATTTCGAAATCATATTTACATTGTGAAATGAGAAATTTTGAGTATAGCTCATCATCTAATTCTCCTTGAACACCCCCTAAAATCGGCATAATTTTGAAAACTGCTATTAAGCCATTAAGTGTTCCACACACGGCTGTGATGACGTTTTCTGATTGGATTTGAATAGACCCGAGTTTATAACAAATCTTACATCGCTTATCCATCCGACTCACTGAGACCTACCCGCATATTTTTCCATAGCCGTTTTTGAAGACATCCCATAAAACATCTTATACTTTTTCCCGTCTCTCTCGATAAGTTCACCGTCACACTGGTCATGACCTGCGAACATTCCTCCTGCCATTACGAAGTCTGCGCCTGCTCCAAAGGCTTTCGCTACGTCACCTGGACACGTGCAGCCACCATCCTGAGATCAGCAAAAATGGCGTCACGTATAATAAATAGGTCAAAAATATTTAAGCATAAAAAATCAATCACTGAGATGCACTCATTAACAAAGTATTAAAACTTGACGGCATTTAAATATTCAAAAACAAAAAATAAATCTGAAGAGGCTCCATGTATACCGTAAATATAACAGAATAGTAAAACATAGTACAAACAAAATTAATATAAAAAGAACATTACAAATATACGATAATCATAATATTCATATAGGCTAGTGACTATATCTGGGCTTTAGATATAGGCATGTACGACGTTTTGCCATATATACGTACAGTGGAACCCACTTATAATGAACTTGCTTATAATGGAAACCCGTATATAATGGACACAATTTAAGGTCCTATAAATAATTGCATGTAAAATCTTCGAATATTGTAGACTAGGCTAAAATAGATCCGCGCTTATAGCTGACTATTTTAATCCATTATATGCGAGCTATTTTGGTAGCTCCGCCGAAGCAGATTTAGCTGATGCAATCGTTTACGGCAGTTATACTGTATTTATTAGAGTTATAAACATGTCGAAAAGTGCGAAACGTGCATTCACTTTACACGAAAAGTTCACACTAATTAGTGAGCTTGAGCAGGGTTCATCTCGAGCAAATATACATGTGCTCGTATAGCTGTAAAAAAATCCACTGTGTCAAATATTTGGAAAAGAAAAAAAGCGGCTATCGCTGCATCCCCAAGTCGATGATATGCTGTTTAAATGATTTCAACAAAAGCGTGCTAATAATTTTCCAATACGTGGACCTATGCTACAAATAAAGGCTGAAGAATTTGGGAAATTGATTGGAGATTACTTCAAATGTAGTTCCGGTTGGCTAGACAGGCTTAAGAAAAGATAACATTGTTTTTGGGAAAATATGTGGTGACTCAGCTTCAGTTGACAAGAACGTTACCAATGACTGGATTTTTCAAGTTTGGCCCGTAATATCCAGTGATTATTCAGAAGATAACGTATTCAATGCAGATAAAACCGGGATATTTTATAGAATACTACCAGATAAAACTCATAAATTAAAAAGTGAAACTTGCAATGGAGGAAAACTATCCAAAGAGCGACTAACTGTTATGATTTGTGCTAATGCTTCTGGTACTGAAAAATGGAAACTATTGTTAATAGGTAAGTGAATGAATAGAAATTCATGTTCTAATTTTTTTGATATTCAATGGCAGTGCTGCAAAGAATTTATGACCTTTTCTTTATTGCACGGTAATTTAAGAATCCCAGGTGTTAAAACAATTCCCGTCGAAAATAATAAAGCTTAACGGTGTTCTAACTTAGTTATACCAGTTTTAAACGTGGATTCGTCAAGCTTTTTTTTATACTCCAAGTACCACGAAGGCCTAAGCACCCATTGGGTACCGTGGGGCTATAGGGGGATACATGGGAAAGGGGGGGGGGGGACGAAACACGGACTCTGGCGAGGGAACACGTGTGCATGCAACATGCACACATTCTGGCTCCGCCTACGAGAACCGCCGGGTGGTACCTCCGCGTTTGACAGTCAGACACCATCTACCACCTACGGACAATCACAACATCCATAGCCAAGAGAAAAATTTCTCCTGGGACGGGACTCGAACCCGCACAGCGCACGGCGACTGATCAGGAGACCGAAGAGTCTACTACTGCGGCCACCGCTCGTCAAAATACTGATTTACAGCTTCGATAACTTCTTTTTTGCTCTTAAATCTTTTACCGCCAAGCCGTTTATTGAGGTTAGGAAACAGGTAATAGTCGCTGGGGGCTAAGTCTGGAGAGTAGGGAGGATGCGTCATCAATTCAAACTTCAATTTGTGGATTTTGGACATGGCAATAATCGACGAATGCGCTGATGCGTTATCGTGATGAAACAAAATTTTTTTCTTCGCCAAACGAGGTCGTTTAATTTGCACCTCGTGCTTCAAACGTTGCACTAACTCTGCGTAGTATTGACCACTGATAGTCTTACCCTTTTCAAGGTAATCAATGGAAATAATTTTTCTCGCATCCCAAAAAACAGGAGCCATAATCTTGTTTGCCGATAAAATTGTTTTTGAGTTCTTTGGAGTTGATTCCACTTTTCCAACCCACTGTTTGGACTGTTTTTTACTTCCAGGAGTGTAGTGGTGGACCCAAGTCCCATCAACAGTTATGAATCGACGCAAAAATTCGTTTGGATTACGCCTATACAGCGCCAAATTGTCGGTAGACATGGTTTTTCGACGCAGTTTTTCGACCATTAGCAAACGCGGCATCCGCCTTGCACACAGCTTTTCCATGTTCAAATGGTCTCCAGCTACCTCGTGCACTTTCAACCTGCGGTCTTCCAACACTATTTTATGGATTTTCTCAATCGTTTCTGACGTTGTGACCTCAACGAGGCTTTTAAATTCAGAAACCCACTGCTTAATAGTTGAATATGATGGGGGAGGAATGTCCTAGTGTTGAATCCATCTCTTATTTTATTTGTTTTGGTGTAAAACCTTTCAAATAGAATTATTTGATGACAGCACGTTTTTCCAATTTTTCCATTTTTACGAAAACAACGGACGCGCATTGTGCTCTCAAACGCAAACTAATCTAGCGATCGGGCTGGAACTGTACACACAAGCTTGGTAGGAATGGTTCTATAGGACGCCACTCCAAAAGTAGACCTAGTGGCGCCATCTCTTGGTCAGGCCGGAAACTTTTCACCCCACCCTCGTAGATAAACACAAGAGAGTTGTTTTTTCCGGCTTGGGTACTATTTGGTGCAGAGTCGCTTTTTGGCGGGTATCATATTTAAGGTACATTTTTGGCTAAACTTCTAGAGGAATTTTAACATTTTCCTGTGAAAAGTTCCTCTGCCTCCCTGGAATGGGAAAAAATACTTACTGATATAATGTGGCCTTGTAGACCGTGCGCAGCGTCAGCGCATTCTATCACAGCCGAAAGTTGAGGATATCCCACTCCAGTCTTCATGCGTGTGGTACACACCGATCCAGGTCCTATGCCTACTTTGATTATGTCAGCGCCACTAAGGATAAGTTCTTCAACCATTTCCCCTGTTACCACATTACCAGCCTAAAATAAAAATAATTTGGCAAACTTTCTCTGTTATTGTATGGTTTTCAGCACGAGTTTTTTGTTCGATCAATCGTATCAGACTTTAAAGGCATTATCAGAAGGGAGAAAGTCGTTTCAGATTGAACCAGTTATATTGAGGGTAACAATTTGAAATTGTAATTCGTCTCGTCACTTAATTTACAGACCTCGTACATGGATAATCGATATTTTGTTTGTTTGTTTCAGATTTATTTAGCATTAATGTCCACAATATCCATATTACACAGTATATCTCAAAATATATTATGTCTTCAAGACTGCATATTTTTATACAAAATTTTCACTACTATGAATTCTGGTTTACCATGAGATGTTTTTTCAATTTCCCTTTGAACATTTTCAAACTGACACACATCTTGATATCAGCATGCAAAATTAAAACAAACCCTGAAACCACAAAAACTTACAATGATAGTGTGCGTAGGAAACGCAGCCCTAACTTTCCTGACAAACTCAACAAAGTGCTGCGAGTATCCATTAGCGACGTCCAGACAAATGAACGTCACTTCCGGTGCAGCCTTGAGTATTTCCGATAATCGGTTGAAGTCCCCTTCACTGCTTCCTGAGCTAGCCGCTAAGTATTGCAGACAATCGGGGTTTTCGGACGCAAATTTCGTCCATTCGTCCACTGTGTAGTATTTGTGGATACAGGTGAACAGACCATGCTGGAAAAAATGTCAGTTTAACCTCCAGGGAATTTATAGAAGGACCAAGGATTAGCGGACAAACAGACCGACGGAAATGAGAATTTGTTTTTAGTGATGTAGATGTGATATAACATGAAAAAAAGAACATATCTCATTTCTGAAATTTTTCACAATAACAATAGTTTCTCGCCAATAGCCGTCAGAAGAAACAAACAAATTATATTATGAATTTGTTGTTAATTGTTAGATAGTACGAGGGATGTCTTTTTAAGTTTTCCATATGGAAATAAAACAACACGGTAGGTAGTTTTAAATGACTTTATCGTTTTTCGAAGTATTCTCCACGAAGATTAATACACATCTGCATGCGCTCGAACCAATTTTCGAGGCACTGATTCCACTCGTTTGCTCTCAGATCCAAAACGGCATTTTTGAATGCGTCAACTGCGTCTTCAGGTGACTGGAACCTTTGACCACGCAGTCTGTTTTTAATTTTCGGGAAAGTAAAGAAATCTTTAGGACTTAGATCGGGACTATATGGAGAATGGACCAATAATTCCACGTTTTCTTCCGTTAAATACTGCCTTGTTTTTTGGGCTGTGTGCGAGCTTGCATTGTCTGGGTGGAGGATGATTCTTCTTTCGGGATTGATTTTTCGAAGCTAGGTGATGACTTTTGGCAAACAAATGGTGGTATACCAATCCGCAGTAACAGTTCTTTGCTCATTAAGAGGAATTATTGCAATATGACCCGCTTTTGACACAAATGTCGCGACCATCTTCCTCGAAACACTTCGAGAACGGATGACTTTTGTTGGCTTTTCTTCATCTTGGAACACCCAAACAGCCGACTGTCGTTTATTTTCTGGTTCATAACAGTAAATCCAATATTCATCGCCACTAACAATGATGTACACATTTGTTGAGTTTACGGAATTGAAACGGTCAAGCGTTTTTTGACACCAATTAACTCTGGCTGCTTTCTGCTCTTCAGTCAACAGGTGGGGTATCCAACAAGAAACTAATTTTCTTACTCCTAATTCTTCATGTAAAATTTTATGAATTGAGGTCTTTGAGATCTTTAAGGGCGCCTCAATCTCGCGATATGTCACATGTCTATCTTCAATGATGAGTTTGCGCACAGCATCGACGTTTTCCTGGGTGACTGCCGTTTTTGGTGCACCCACCCTGGGATCGTCGCTAAGACTCACCCGTCCACGTTTGAATTCTCCGTACCAACGGGAAATTGTCGACTGATGTGGCGCTTCGTTGCCGAAAACAGACAGTAACTCAGCAAGGCATTCTTGTTGCGATAATTGTGTATGAAAGTTGTAATAAATTATGGAGCGAAAATGTTCCATTTTTCTAATGACTTGGTGACACTTAAAAATTCACTGTAGTGAGAACACTGCACGTATTGTTGCGAAACTTTGAATTTAAGTTTACTAAAGAGTGGGGTTAAGATTCAGTACTGACGTTCGATCCGCATATGTTTCTACATTTTCAGAAGGTACAACAACGTTTACATACATTTAGATTATAAATTATAGTCTACCTTGCAAGTTTCTCAAGAAAATATTTGCCCTACTTTTTGCATGAAATGCTCTTATCGGCGAACGGGGACACCCCCGCGCTTAGTATGTTGTGGACGTAAATTCAATTTTAAGTTTAACTGTTTCGTAATTTTCGGGAATTTCGCAATATTTTCGCTATTTTATTTAAGCTTGCGAATTAGGAATGTTGGGAACTTGTCAGCTGTTCAGCGATACTAAAATATCATACACGAGATTTTACACGGGCACAGTTGTCACCAGTCGTGGAGCTAAAAATACTATGTATATTGAACAGTGGCGGTACCATGTTTTGCTGCAATTCAAGTGGTAGGACAAAATTCCCATTTTCACATTTTGCTCTTTCAATCGAATAATGCTTGGTAAGCTAGGTAATTTGAGGCATTTAATTCAAATATTATCGTAAAAAAATAGTGCAGATGACAGACAAAGAGGTTGGGTTTTCGTCCAGATCGCAGTGGTTGCCATATTAGGGGATTTTCCCCAAAAGTCGGGATTTTTATTTCAATGTAGGGAAGATTTTTGGGATATGTTTTTCTGGTGATTTATTTTGGAGAGTCATATTTTACTGGGGAGGTATTATTATGTGAAATTCGTTATGTCTTTCGATTCGAAACAAATACTTTTAATTTTTGGGGCAGTCAGCGACATACCAAAAACACAAAAAAAAATAAGATCCAAGAATACCTAAAAAATCGTAAACCTATGGTAACAAAATATAAACAGTACTTTTTGGAGATTTTTTTTTTAAAGTCCTGAATTTAGGAGATTTTTACATTTCGACTGGGGAAACTGAGCTAAACGACCTGGCAACCCTGTTGGATTCGGTTTCCGAGAATTACACAAATATGACACAGTATTGATTGATTAAATATTATAGTTTAAAACAAAACATTATTGTGATAATGATGCGTTCCAAGAAGTGATTTGTGGAGCTATTTTGTACAATCGAATTTAGGTGGGAGATATAAGTTATTCAACTGTGAGGTTTTTTACCTATTTTTATTAGTGAACATTTAAGAATCTAGACATGCAGATGATAAAAGTAATCATTATTTTGACGGTTGTAGAAAAAACAACTCCGATTTTCGGTAATATTTGTTCCGTATCATTCCGATTTTTAGAGTATCGATACTTATGAAATGATACGAATCGTTACATGGTATCGATATTTTTCGTGGATCGGAACGTCCCTATTTCCACCCACTCATTCAGGGCGACAATGTCATAACTCGATACTCCTCTATGCAGTATCACTTTTACTCTCGATGCCCACTGGCGGTAGTGGATCCGAGAGACTTAGAAAAGCAGGTAGCAGGCGGCACGGTGATGCGATATGCGCATACGAGGTGGTCGCGATATTATCATATAGATTATGCTTGTAGTGTAATTTAATGATGTTACTTGATTTCGCGATGTATTAAACATTGTTGACAAATATTTCCAGAGCTCCAAAGCAACGAGGCTGCCTTGTACGAATACGCTGATTGCTGAAATTTGGGGTATCAGTTCCATAAAAAGTCAAAATAATGTTTTTGACCAAATCCACGTGTTTTTGACATGAAAAATTGTAGTAGATGTTGGGAAGTACAGAAACAATCGACGCATGTTTTTCTACTTTCGAACAATTATCGTTAGAAAGTTCGGAGGTTACAGATTTTCTTCATATCTAATCACGCACGGCACTGTCCAGTTCACTGTGTTTCCTAAAAATAGAGAACGGAGCATCACTTTAGCCTTACCTTAGCCAGGGCCTTGGCCATCTGAAATGTGCCAACGGTGTCCATGTTCGAGGCCATCACGGGAATGCCCCTGTACGTCCTTTTCGAATTCCTGAAGGTGATGTCTCTAAACAGATTCACCTAGAATTAAATGTGATATTTGCTTTTTAATTAAAATGACGATGTATCACGGACTAGACTTTGGAATAAGAGGAATAACCGGCAACCCCAGTGGAATACAAATTTAAAGTCTACCTTGCAAATATGTATATTTTTTCTCAAAAATATATTTGTAATACTTTTTACTTGCCCTGCTCTTATCGGCAAACGAGGACACCCCGCGTGTAGTATGTATATTGTAGACGTAAGTTTAATTTTAAGTTGCACTGATTCGTAATTTTCCTGTATCCTTTCTCTATAATCGTCTAAGAATTATATGAAAAACTACGTCGCATAGAATATTGTGATAAAATGGGATGTATCTCAAAAAATATCACAAGGCTGCTGACCTCCGTGCATTTTTCTAACATAGAAAAAGATACCAGTAAAATGTGTGCGTATTGAATGAACAAGTGTTTTGAGTGAATTGAAACTATTAAAATTAATAGACGTTGTTACTGATAACAGGCAATTGCTTGAAAGAAAACGTGTTATCTTACGATTTTTTACGAGTAAGCTTAAATTCATTGATAGAGAATTTTAACTTTTGTATTTGTGTGTGTATATCATATCATAAAGTTGGGTGAACAAATTCTTTGTTAAATCAAGCTTTTTAAATAATAGATATACTTATTTAACATTATCAATGTTCTCAAATTTTGAGATGTATCAAAAATATACAGAGCAAAGATGAGGAAAGTTATGATATAAAAGTTATGATATATTCTGTAAGTTGGGATGGACAGTCGCTTTCCAAAAATCAAAAGGCTGTTGACACTTTTAAGACGTTTTTCAAAATTTATCTGATTTCTTCATTCTACCTTAGTGATATTATTTTTATCGATTATAGGTACACTTTACATTTACATTTTCCATTCTGATGTCACAAAACCTAATTTATATTCCTTGCGATATCTAGGCCAATAAATGCAATAATGTAGCAAAAACGTATGAAACTATTGCTCAACAAAAAAAAAGTTGCGACAATCAGCGATTTTAGCGGAACGCGGTAAAATATATATTGATGCAAACATAGAATATATATCAATGAAGGAAATGAAGAAACAGTTGATTCCTATTATAAGATAATTGTGATAGTAGAATTAAAATAGCTTACGCTTATAATAACATTGCCCTTTATCACGATATAATAAAAATAAAACGAATTGTCTTGTGAATCGTTAATCAATAATAAGTATAATACAGAATTACGCATTATGCTGCATCAGCAATACACCCGCATCATAACAGGGTGATGGTGATCCATAATACTGTAGGAGACGCGACGAACTAGGTACAAATGCTAAGTTATATTTATTATAGAGAATCATATTCCATAAAGTAAAAAACTTGGAAAGGAAAATCAAACCTTACGCTCTGTAACTAAAAAAAGGACCCCTCTGTTTATTATCGCATGAACGAGTTATATTTTTTTACGAATGCAAAAATGTATTACTACAGAAGGAGCTATCTTATACGATTTATCTTCTCATATATTTACGAAACAGAAGACGCATTATTCTCAAATATGTACAGATGTCGCCAGAGATTTTGCTAATAATAAAATACAAATTTACTTAAAACAGTTGCTCAACATTTAATCTTTTACAAATAAAATGTAGCCATACTACTTTTAAAGTAATTACCTCAACAAGTTTTTCAAGTCAGACATTGTCATGAATTAATACATGTTAGATTATCATATGATTTTGAAAATAAATTCTTTGTTTTCACTACATTCTGATGATAGCTTGCTCTATCATGATCAACCAACTTTATTCTTTACCTTAAGGAAACAATTACATACAGCAGGACATCTAACAAAAAATATTTTATTTCTTTACTTATAAGTTATTCAAACGATGTACCTAATATCCCACTTTAGAAGTTTTTCCATTCGGTACAATTTGGCAACACTGTTTGCTTTTACTTCCCGGAATTACAGCTGATGAAATCAAGGAGGGATTGAATTGTTTTCCACTTTTCATTTTTTCCTTATGGAATGTCATTTATTTTCTCTATTTTTGAATAAAAACAGATTTAGAAGTCTTCTCTGCATAAGGTTTGTTTTCTCGCGAGTTCCCCAATAGGGTGTGAGAACAACGCCATCTTTCTATACGCTTCTGGGAATCCCAATCTAGCTGGTGTTTACAATAAATTATATCAGTTGATCAATTTATTGTTAAATGAAATTTAGTCCACAATACTTATTCTACCAGAAGATATATAATTATCATTGACTAAAGGAAGTGTCTAGAAGAAAGAAAAAGAAAGCTTTCTCCCCATATACAATATATGATTATCGTGGTAGAATTTATAGAACGTTTGTGATCATTTTGATGTCGGTGATCATGTCAATTGTTTTCAATTAAAAAATTTACGATGTGTGCCCTGTCATAAGCAACTTGATTTATGAACATTGCTCCGTTACGCCTTTATTTATCTGCAATATTTTAACTATTAACCTTTGTATAGCCCGACATGTGTTAATATACGACGAAAAAACGGCAAACGCGTGTTCCTTATAGGCGCTTATTTTTAAAACTCCCTAAAAATAGAGACTGAGCTTCAGCAAGGTGGTTAAAAAACCGCCGAAGCCAAATATATAATCAAAATCAATACGTACATCGTTCCTGCTTTTCAAGGTTGATCGTTTCGGGCGTAGAAGCACGTCCTTAAAATCAAGTTTGATCTCGTTAATGATGTTGGGCATTTCGAAGACGCTCTGTGCAGGTTTGATTTAATGAATTAAGCACAAACAGCCAAGTATCGAGCGTAAACTAGCGTCAACGCTGAACTACTGACCGTCTGCCGTCTGGCGTTTAGTGACGCGAGTCGTCGCAAAACCGCGAATCCCGTGCGCGCCTGCCAGTGTTGCCAAGTCGATATCGCGGCTTGGGAGCATTAATTCGTATAAAACCATGTATAGACAAGCCGAAAACTTTAAATTCGCGCGAACAGTTATCCAACTAGATTTCTTTAGTAATCACGATGGTTGGATGCCTCATCTTAACATAACATCAAGTGGATGTCGGGCGGTAACCGAAGTTTTTTCCTTGCGTTAGAGAGAAAGCTTTTTGGGTTTTTTCTTCCCACGCCACTGGCGAAGAAGTATCGTAACCGTGAAAATTTTCGTAATCGGGGCATTATTATTGGATGTTTTTGACATGTACAGTGACACTCATTCTAGTCAGTCTGATATCTGGCCCGTCTATAACTTAAAAAGAGCCGCTCGGATTTTGACATATGGCTACTACTGTGACAGGGAAGAAAGTTTTTTTGTAGTTTTTTAAAACCGAAGGGTGGCGGCTAGGGGCAAAAAAACGTTCAAAATTAAAAACCACTCAAACTTCTGTTTTTGACGGTCCAGAGGCGACTGCTCATTTCCTGAAAAACTATTGCAGGCGTTAACAATTTGAAGTTAGGGCTTATAGGGGTTAAGTGAACAGGGTATATCTCAACTTTTTGACGTTAGTATGTACGCTTCCCCGTATGTTTGCCTAAATCGTAACCGTTGTTGGCTGCCGAGTGGCAAGGTTGTTAAAAGTGGGAATAATTTTATGGGCCTGTTTGACTGACTTGATCCAACAGTCGCGTATCTGGCGGGTTATATCTGTATAGCACCGTTGTCAGATGCTCGGTATTATCGGTGGAGCAGAGACTTGAATTGTAGGAACCTGTTTGACTGACTTGATCCGTTTAATTCCCCTGTCATACATATTTCCGGCTATCAGGCGGACTTGCAAAGAACATAATTAAACTTTTTTCAGAGCGAAAATAGAAATAATTCTTTGTACTCTCCCTTTGTCTCAGACGAATGCGTGGTTTTTGCTTCTCCTCCTCAAGAGCGCAAAATGATACTTTACTGCTTGAAGGATGCGCGCGACGAGACAGAGCACAGCAATATTTAGCAAGATTTTGTACACGGTAAGTAACTCACATTTCCTTTTATTTTTTTTATAGATTTAGGGGAATCGACAATTTCGAATGTTTTTTTCGACATTTTGACGTCTAGAATAGATAGACAACACGTCGCTGGGACTGCCGTTGTCGACGCACCGGACGCACTGCAGTGAGGAGGTGCCAGCGTTGCCAGTTCTATCCAGATTACCCTGCTTTCCACTCTCGCAGCAGATTTCTATTCTTTTGTTTTCAGTCAAGGCCAACTGCAGTGATTTTACCTATTTTTGAATAACAAAAGTTTACCGTGGCTTGTAAATCGTCACGTGAAGAAGAAAAGGTGTCAATGACACAATATAAATTCCATTCGGAAAGTAGAAAAAAAAATAAATCTTGGTTTGTCACTTTCCTATGACAATATTTTCAGCCTCTCTCACCATTGAAAGTATAAGTGTGAAGCACTTCTGAATCTTTCTCTTTTTTATGCAATTGAGATGATAGTTTAATTGATAACAAAGAAGATTAGATAATTTAAATACAATTTTATTTATATCATCACATTCTGGAATATTAACGACTATGTACTATGAGCATTAGCAAACTTCCTCAAGGCATCAGCTTTTGACATAATCCCAATGTCATTCTCCAAATACCTAAAGACTGGAGCAACATCTTCAGGGGACTCCTTCAGCAACAGAGGCTGGATTTCTTTCCAAGTAAAAGCATATAAGTTTGTTTTACTATTCAATGGTCCAAAGTCAAGGATGTAAGGTTTATCTGGATAAGAATATACAACGTCCACAATGTAATTTTGACGAGGAAACCGTATTTTAACATTCTCAATATAGAAGTTTGAGAGTTCTTCAATTATCTGACTGCTTTCTTCTTTATAGTGGACATAGTATGTAGGCCAGTCTCTTGGTGTAATGCCCCTTAGCATATTGTTGATGATTATAAGTCGAAATTCTGCTGCAGGGTGAATATTGATCCATTTTCTGAGGCACAGACAGAATGGGACACCTTTTACTGTATCAAAATCATCTCGTATACACAAAGAACTGTTCAAATACATGAAGATATCGTCAACTGTAACTGCTTTGAGATTGTTGTCGAAACTGAACATACGCGCGTCCGTAGGGGCGTGCCAGTTGTTTTTGATAAAAGCGCTCTTGTTCAATAAATTCAGAGCGTTTCGTAGCTGTTCTTTAAACTGTTCAGGACAGTTTTGTGAGTTGACCTCTTCTTCGTCGTCTTGAAATTTTTCAATCACTTCAGGGGGTATTTCGATTAACAGCGATTTGAGACAAATATGTTTGAAATTTTCGTACCAATTCGTTATGGAAAAATCACGAAAATCTTGCGTTACCATACTTGTTTTGCAGCAAATATAAAATTTAATTCAGAAACAATCTGTATAAGATACAAGATGTAAACAAAACTTGACAACTGTCATGGTGTGGGCCATCTATTGTACAATAGTAAAATCATTTTATGCGTTTCCACATCGATATAATTATTAGTAGAGATTCGATTATATTCGATGTAATGAACTGTTGTCGCCATCCGTTGAGCGATAGTCAAACTACTTAAATAGAGACGCATTACAAGATCGATGTTTTGATAGAGATGAAATTAGTTATTCGACGATTTTTTTCAAATAATAAAATAGGGATGGTACGAATGAAAGATAACTAAGAATAGAGGAGGAATAAAATGATGAATTGCCTTCCAAGTCCGGATGAAATGAATGGCCTCAACAGACTTAGTTGAATGATACACGGGAAATCAAATACACGATTTAACGATTTGCGCACAGGTTGTAACTGCAAATGAAACAAATTTTCTATAGTAAATAATTTTATTATTAAACACGTATACAAAATAAATATAATAGTTAATTAAAAATCTGTTGTGCTAATATGCGTTTTCTTCTGATAGAATTCATATAAATGCGTTAATATGAGCTAGATAAAGTTTAATGAGGCATTTCATAAATGGAATGGCAATGATATTTTTGATGGGTTAATAATGACCCTCATACAAGTCTATTGCATGTTGTTTTGCATGAATTTCTCTGACTACTAACTGGTATCAACTTGACTGGTAAAATTTATCACCCATTATACATTTGTTACCAAGGACTATCATAATAAAAATGTATAATCAGAACAATCATCCCCAGTAAATTAGTTTTGAGACTTGATATGCACAGGTAAATATCGGATAAGCATATCTAACACATGTTTCCATATTTCGTCGGATGTTTTACCATGAAATTCTTTCAAAATGTCTTTCTCTTTAAAAAATTCTACAACCGGCGTAGATTGCTGTTGATATTGTTCTAGCCTCTTTTTCACAACTTCAGGTTTGTCGTCATTTCTCTGGACCAAAGGCTCTCCAGTGACGTCATCTTTTCCCTGGAATTTATAAAATATAATGAGTGAAAAGCTTTTAATTACCAGTCATAGAATGTTCTAATATTGGATGCAAAATTTCATGGAATCATCAAAATGTGCTAAATTGACTTTTGCAACCTTTCAGCAAGCATGCCAATGTCAATGTCATCAAAGTTACATAACGTGATGGCACGCCGCGCTGTTGCCGGCTTGACAGGCTAGTCACAGGTTCACATTTATATATACAGGGTGTACTGGAAGCTGAACTTGAACAAATAACAGTTAATTTGCTGTAAAACAGCACCGCATCCACAGCATCCTGTATAGATTATCATATTGTATTTCCCCGATAGAAGTAGATATTTAGATTCTTACCGGTACTTTAGGATCATTGTAGCCCTGGTTGTAAACTCTCCCACTCGGCAGATGTACCAGTCTTCCTTTAGTTCTATCGATTATAACATCAAATGGAACTACTAAATTTATGGCGAGATCAAGTTTTTCTACTTTCCACAAGGCTTGTGCCTGAGACAACGTTCGTGGAAATCCTAGAACAATCAAATCCACTAGAATAACATAGCACTCTTCCATTTTTCTACCACATGAAACATAGACAAAAAGAGCATTATTTATGTTAAGAACTCACACATACCATCGAGTAGCCATGCTTCTGTGTTCAATTTCTTTATTTCATCTGTGATAAATTTTATCATAAGGTCATCAGGTACCAGTTTTCCTTGGTTGATATATTTTTGTGCTTCTAAACCAATTGCTACAAAAACACATCATAGCTATAAAATGTTATAATATCTAATCACAACTTAGATTGTAGTAATTGTGTGTGGGGAATAAGGATCCAATCTACTTGACCGAACTTTCTTACAAATAATGCTAATTCACAAAGTTACAGATTGACTTATAGATATGGCAACACTGCTTGATGCAACGTGTCACGGTAGATGAGTACTTTGACTGTCATATGTTATCTAGTTACCCATGATATAAAACAAAAAATAGATAATCGATTTCAATCCTGTAAACAAAATAAACAAGGGTAAAATAACCTTACGTGTATTCTGTTGTATCTGTCTCCTGAGACAATCCCCGCTGGAGATGTATCCCAAACTGAAGTTTTTCAGGATCCTGGAAGCTATCGTACCCTTTCCAGAGGCGGGCGCGCCCATTATCACAGCTTTGAAGGGTACCGTCGCCGCCATTTTTACACTTGCCGACTTTAAGTACTTCTTGATATGGATCGAAACAGCAGAATCGATGACCGATCTCCATGCATTCGGTTGCGGTTAAACGTTGAACTTTGGAATCTCCATGGATATCTGAAATAACAGCGTCGGCATGGGCGTAGAGTTAAAAAAGTTGCAGAGGGTCGGCACGAGTATTAGTATCTTGAAAAGTAACATTTTGTCAGTTTTTTTGATATTTCTTAGGTTTTTCGTAACATAACGTAGGGTTTTTTCTACAAGATGTTAACTTCCGCTGCCGCTATTGACGAGATGTGTTCGTAGGAGATCAAGTCATCGGTGATCTGGACGCCGACCAGCCAAAATAAACGGCGCAACCCGATGCGCACCAGGATGCTTTTTGTTCGTTAAGACTGACAAATATGAAAGCAATTTAGAAATCAGAATTAAAAATGTTGAGACCTCTGAAGAGAACCTATAAAACGTCAAAAAAAAACGATATAATGTCATCTTGCAGGCTAGGTAGTTTTTAAGGTGCAAATAGTTCATTCCACGTTTGCTCGCTATGATCGCTGTAAGGGTCCATCTATGGAGGAATGACTAAACCATACGCGTTGTTGGTTGCAGAAAGCAAGTATATGTATACGTTTTGTTGGTTGAATAGCAAGATCGCATCTGGATGATTATGTGTATTGGTTTGCATGTGTATAAAATCAGTGACATTTGCTGTGTGAGAAAATTATTACTGAATATGCTGCCAATGAAGTATACCTATCAGGTGTGCCCGACGGGTTATTTATAAGTTGTCCTTTCTGAAGACAGGTTACGATTTTTTCTAATTTTTTTTTGTGTGTTCAAAAACTTCGAAGAGCACTACGGGAAATCGCCATCGCGCCCGCGTTGTGTGCAATTAAGCCACATCACAGAAAAGTTAGGAATGACGCATCACACATCAAAGATTTTCGCAACGCCTCACATCTAGGAGCTTATCTGTATTTTCTATTGACATCGCAAAATAAAGTGCACTTGACATACGCCCATTTTTTGACACTTGTCATTAAATTTATATGTTTACTGTTATTTTTTAAAAATGCGAGTGTTTGCAGATAATTGTGGTTTTAGACATAGTGCTTCTAACATAATTTTCAAAGAGCGGTACAAGCCTAGGTAGATGTCTCCACCGGTAAATATGATGTTGATACAGCGCTGTCACTTTGGCAGACATTTATAGACAAATAAGTATGCGCTAAAATTACGCAATTTTGGCGACAAACAATGCAATGTAAACATGTATGATTTCTGATTCTAACCGAGTCGAATTTGTTGGTTTTAACAAAGAAAAATGAACTAAGTACATGATAACCTTCCTGAGTAGCTTTCGTAATTGTTCAATTGTTCCTAAATTCGCTGACCAAGATTATGTTCATGGGCGAATCTAAACAATATTTCTTGAGGGGTCCATATAATGAATATGAAATAACGCGCTCAAAAAAGTGCAGGGGGCTCAAGATGTTTCCCAAAAATGTCTGTCTCGGGGAAGGCGGGGGAGGGGGTATTAAAAAAAATTGAAGAGCGGGGGAATCGGCGATTTAAAATCGAAAATTCCGAATCCCTTGGATGTGCCCCTGATTATGTGCATTTCACTCCCATGGTACCCAAAATCTGTCGTAAGTCACATTGTTCAAAACCTTTGGTTCCAATTCTATCTCTCGTTGTTTCAAGTTCATTGAACTTCGTATACCTAGGCAATATGGGCGCTGAATTGGAAAAACCTGAATTGTCGTGGGGCCAAATGAGGCCATAAAAAATTCTGAGTTTTATGTGAAAAATGGGTCGTTTGAGACTAGCTGTGCGACTTAGCATCAAATTCGGAATTTACGCATCCGATTTACCTCAGAGATAAGTCCATACCATCAGAAAATCTATCACAGGGGATTTAAAAAAAATCTAGGAATTTGTAGCGAAACATTTCCATTCTCGTTTCCTCTAGTAACAAATTGAATGACACTTAGATAATTTAAACGGAACTGAATATAACAAAAAAAATACATATATTTCGAAATTAGTGATGCGAAACCTATTCTGTATCTCAGAGCCAGACTAGGTTAAGTCCAAATAAATAGTTTTCGAAATAATTGAATTTGAAATATTTTTCTCGTATTGCATGCGACTGTCGTAATATTACAAGTAGCAAATGAAAATTCACAATATTATCATCAGCTTAACTTTGCTTACTGAACTCATTTTTGACAAAAATGGACTTGACCTAGTCTGGCTTTGGAGTACAGAATTATTTTTTTACATTTCCTTACAATTAACTCCTTTTAAGTTCTAGCCAAAATTAATGGATTAAAAAATACCGACCCTCAAAGCCATAAGTAAAATAACCGTATTTTGAATCCAAATTAGGAATCCATTAAACGTCATAAGCAGTGATAATTTATACAGTGATTTCATAATTACTTTCTGCTCGAAATACATTATCATGAAGTTCAACTGTTATCACCAGTGCTTTGGTCTCACAGTAATCGGATCGTAAACATGTCCCAAACGTGCAAGAAACTCTTCAATGCGTCTGTGTTTTCTAATTTTAAGGCATTGGTAAGTTAAAAGTTATTCAATATGAAGTTTTACGAGCTTTCGTGGATTTTATACGTGTACTTGTTTGGATTCGTACAGTGGATTTTTATCTACGTTTACATGTTTAAATATGAATTGCAAATGTATGTTTATGGATACAATAGGATAACTTCGAACAAGTGACGGTATAGCTTAATTAGACACATTATATTTATTGTGCCATAAAGTATATTGGCTGGGTGGTATTTCTTATACCTTTTGAGCTTATTTCGGAATCGAATGAACCACAGATAATCGATTAAAATTTATAGGTACATATAACAGACCTAATTTGCTACTTCGAATAGGGTTTCGCGACATTTCATCGTTTGGTCGTTCTTACAATGTAACAATTTTTATACTCAAATATAATAATAATAAAACGTCTTATTGGGCGAAGTTTAGCATAAGCTATTCTACCACTTAACCCGTAAAATGTCCATCCAAAAAATATATACCAACCATTAAAGTGCAGAGTTTCAACATAAACAAATTAATTAATTTAGTAAAACACAGGTAGATCAAGATTGGATAAAATTATAACATTATACATACATATTCATGCAAATATCATAAGCAGAAGTAAAATATAAATTTATGTAAATGATTGCTCGAAAATTATTTTTCTTAAATTTTTGAAATTTAAAGCTTTAGTATCAGAGGGTAAGGCGTTGTACACGATAGTAGCATTATAAGTAAAACATTTAGTAAAACATTGTTATTGTATCAATAAAACGAATATCTCGTGAGTGCATAGACCAACGAAATTTTAACTTATCTTTCAACAATGGGGGAATTGAGATAAGTAAAAGCTTGCTAATATAACATAGTAAATGCAATTTAAATAGATTAGGAATAGATAACCATTCCAATTTTATGAACGAGGAGGTAACTGGTCATATTTTGTCAAGTTACAGATTAATCTGCAACATGAATTTTTAATTTTTTGTAAGCGCTTGACAGATACTGAATCTAAAAACATATGAAAACAATGTCGCGGTATGTAATTGTTGAAATAATTAATAACTCACAGATAATTTTTTTAGTTTTGTAATCGAGAATTTGTTTGTTCAAGCATAATTGCCGAAGTATTAAAAAACAACTTTTTGTAACATTGTTCACATGAGGGATAAAATTCAGACATTCGTCAAGACGTATGCCTCGATTTTTTACAGTTTCACATACTTTTATAATTTCACTATTTATTTATATTGTCGAATATTTCTTAATTTGATTTCTAAATTTTCTAGGAGTGAATATACTTACTTATTTTTATGAATTTAATTTAAGATTATGAATTTTTGCATACTTGTCTTCATTAATTTAAGCATCAGCAATTATTTTATTGTATTAAAATTATTGTATAACTGCGAGTCATATTGCAGTATTTAATAGCCTTATCAAGATCGGAGATATATAAAATAAAAAGAAGTGGCCCTAGAACCGACCCTTGCGGCACTCCCAAAGAAATTAAAGCCTCAGCAGAAGTGTCCATATCGATGACAACTCTTTGTGATCTATTCTTTAAAAAACTGTTGATTAGAACAACTGATGATTCAGAGAAGCCATAAAATTTGCATTTGGCTATTTAAGAGTGAGTGCTTGATGGTGTCAAACGCTTTAGAAAAATCTAAAAGTATTAAGGAAGTAGTTTGATGGTTAGCCCAGGCCCTGACAATATTGTCAGTTACATGTAACAATGCTGCAGCAGTATTATAACCCTTCCTAAATTGACTAGATGGTAGTATACCACATTCCAAAACATGTTCATTTATTTGTGTATACATTGCCTTTTCCAATAATTTGGAAAGTATAGGCAAAATGCTAATAGGTCTCAGGTCAAAGTTTAGGAAATATACTTTTTTCTAAGCATTTATTTATGATATGTAATATATGAATTGAAATTAGGGGAAAACATAATTTAAGCATTTCAATATGAGCTCCGTGATCTGAAATACAAGAGTTTCATAATAAGAAATAGTAATTCTGTAGATTTACTAAGAATCGGTGTGAATGGAAGCGAAACCAATTTTTTTGAATTCAAAAGAGTTTTTATGTCAAACTGTTTCTGAACACATAGGAGTTTTCGTCAAAACAACGACCATTTTTTCATTTTTCCATACCAAAGCGGCATCATCTAGAAGAGAAAATAGCTCGTTGACATAGCGATAGAAGAAGGCTGGGACTCAAGCCGTCTGACAAATTTGGTTTTCCCTGCACTGCATCTTGCGTTGATTGATACTGTAGGAGAGGAGCACCCGTCAATTACGACGGATATCTTGTTTTGCATACATACAAAGTGGCCCAACGAAAATGTCGCAACCCTATTTGTGATTCTCCTGGTATATTTTGGGAAAAACGCTCCGACACGTCTATTTTGATTCCTAGGGGGACGTCAATTTCATTTTTTTTATTATATACTCAAATAACGATTAAAGATATGTATAAACTTTATTATACAAAAGTTCCTAAAAACTTAATGGAAAATCTAAAAATAAAAAAATGCTAATGCTATTACTAGGGAACTTGTAATGCGACTTTTTTGTAGAAGAATGTCATGTTGGACACAATCGAAAGCCTTAGTATGATCAAAAAAAATTTAGCTAAGAAAAGAGCACCACTTTCAAAAGCTGTATTTATTTTCTCAATGAAGCTGTCAATAGCTAGACTTACCGGCGGGTAAAAGTGACATTGTGTCGATTTTTTTTGACATTATGCTGGTTTTTTGACATTATGTAGGTCATTCTACCAGATATTAACTTAGCACTTAGTTGTACGTGTTGCCTAAACATCATGAGGCATATTATCAATCTTTGGCTCTGATGCGATGTAAAATCTGCTTCCGAGATGCCATTACTGGAGGTCTAAGGTGTAAGTTGTATGTGTTGATGATAATTACATTGGGTTCTTGTCTCAAATACACTTATTTGAAATTCAAAGCTAGAAATTAGTTGCGCATCCACTTTTTCTTATCCATTCTGGAAATTACATATACAAATTTGCTGAATTTCAAAAATGAGAGAGATAAGAACTAATTATATTCACTGTATACTGTCGAATTACAAGCCATATATGTACATGCTAACAGTAATTACACACAACGCGGGCGCGGTGATGATTTCCCGTAATTCTCCTCAGTTTTTCGTAATTTATAACTTTGAACATAACCTCTCTTCAGAAAGCACAACAAAAATAACCCGTCGGGCACAGCCAATAGATATACTTGATTGGCAGCATATTCAGTAATGATTTTCTTACACAGCAAATACCACTGATTTTATACACATGCAGACCAATACACATGCTATTCGGCCAACTTTCTTCTCAGAAATAAAAACTACAGACAAGAACAAGTTGGCCTCACAAAACATATGCAACCAATAATGTGTTTAGTTTAGTTGAGTGATTCCTCCTTAGATGGACGTTCACAATGATCCTAGTGAGCAAACGTGGAATGACATTTTGCGCCCTAAAAACTACCTAGTTTGCAAGATGACATATTATACGTTTTTTTTTTGACGTTTTATAGCTTTTTTACATGATACCCATGCCGAACCATCAAAACCTTTACATTTATTTAATTTATTTATTGCTGCCCTGACTCGATTGTAAGTAACCACTGTAACACCTTTTACCAAAATATACCAGGAGAGTCACAGATGCGGGTGCGACATTTTCGTTGGGTCACCCTGTACGCTCTAAAATATTTGTATGCAAAAGTTTTATAGTTGCGAGCAACTTTAAATTTTCTATTTTTTGGTTTTTCAGAGTAACCGAAACGTCAGAAATGCGCCCCAACTGCGTCTCTACCACCTGGGTTCCAGCCTGGCAGCCAGGATATCCTTCAACATGGCCGACATCGGCGAAGGAATCAAAGAAGTGGTTGTGAAAGAATGGTTCGTGAAAATAAAATAAATAACTTCATTCGCCATTACAATAATAATAGTTTTATAATATTAACATTGATATTATTACAGCTGTACCTTATACCAGCTACGCATCCTAATTACATATAGTCAAAATCACGAAAGATGACTGTTACGTCATACCATAAATTGTCCTGAAGTAATCAATGAACGTACGTCGATGATAAAATCACGAGTCAGAATCATAATGACAAAAAATTTGTATTATGATTTTGCGAAGTTAGGTTATTTCACTGTTTAATTTTATTTTCATTTTATTTCATGGTTTTGAGTGATACCTTAATAATAATTTTAGTGGGTAGTTTTTCTTTGAAAAAAAAAACAGTTATGAGTAAGTAGAATACCTGAAGACAGGAACACCAAAGACCAAAGTATTATTCGAAAACAACCTAACCTGCTTTAACATAACCTAACTATTCATCTTTCAAATATGATCGATCATGCAACATGAAAACATCGTCTATCTTTGTCCGATACATGTAAATTAGCAATACAGTTTGTTTAGACAATAAAATTATGTTTGTCTCTGTCTAGCATATCAGAAACTTCATTAAATATATTCACAAATCGCTGTCGTTTGTCAATACAGACTAAAATGATGACGTAATCGACATATATCGTGATTTCGACTATATAGTCTAGACAGAGACAAACAGAATTTTATTGTCTAAACAATTGATTACTTCAGTACAATTTATGGTATGACGTAAAGGTCACCTTTCGTGATTCTGACTTATAACATTAATTACTACGTTACTTTAAACAAGGTTCGTGAAAGAAGGCGACACAGTGAAACAGTTTGACGATATTTGCGAAGTGCAAAGTGACAAGGCGTCCGTCACTATAACCAGTCGGTATGATGGGGTGATCGCAAAGTTGCATTACAAAGTTGACGACGTCGCGTTGGTTGGGAAGCCCTTGGTTGATATTGAGACAGATGGAGGTAGGTGACGGTAAGAATGGCTATGGAATAGGTGGCAGCGACTTATCTTTATGAATATTTCCCTCATGTATAAAAAAAATAGTAGCATTGTAAATAAACACGACGACGTACGCGAACAAAAACAAAACAACACGCCCGATGCTCCGCTTGACAAAACGATAAAGTAATTTATCTATGCAAAACGATAACTAACCACTGTTACCGTTTGCGATCGCTTGCCGGTTCGATAAGAGTGATGAAAGGCCGACGCGGTGTTGTCATGTGTGTTTTAAATATTTAATTTAATGAAACTTACTTACTGACTACAAATTTTGGCTTAACTTAGAAAACTGAATGTTATTTATTTGTTAACTATTTAAAAACGTTTTAGATTAGATTATAAAAATTACTAAGATTGTGATGATTGTGGTCGATATAAAGGACTTAAAGTTGTAAACTATAAAGCCATTTAGACAAAAATTTATTGACTTTTGGACCATGGGTCATATGAACTTTTTTACTTGTTTTGAACCCCCTATTATCCATCTGAATAATAACTACCATAACTTTTACACCCTGTATTAAATGTTACAACCATTCTGTTAGCAACTATCCATGAGAGCAGAGTTATGAAAATGAAGTAAAAAGTTTAATTAACTTGTAACAGTGCAAGGGCTAGCCAAAACGGATATTTTGGCCTATAAAGTTCTATTTTAAAGTTTGTCTACGAGGAAAATTTCCAAAACCCCTGCGTATTTCTAAGACGAACAATATTCTTCCTCTCGCCTGCCCAAGACTTGTGTAGTACTGACGAACCCCAATAAGAACGAAACAGTTCCGTCTTTGCCGAGAGTTAACGGTTGAACCTCCAACTTTCTCTTCTGTGGCAGTCTAAGTTTTCAAAAATAATTTTTCAGATGACGTTCCTCGAGAGGAAAAGTCGGAACCAGATCCTCAAATCAAACAAAAATCTCCCCCACCAGCATCAAAAGAAGATACAGCAGAAAAAATCAGTATTCACAAAGAGCAAAGTTCAGGTCCAGGTATGTCAACATGTTTTCTTACCGACTTGACTTTTGAAATCAAATAAAATACGTCCATTTTTGCTTTTTTCTTAATCGTTTATTGAAACATAGAGATTATGTATGAAAAATAATATCAAACAAATGTCCGCCCCTAGAAACCGCGCAAACCTGAGCCCTCTTGATTACATTTTCCATCGCTTTTTGGTAGGTTTCGGGAGGAATATTTTCACTACGCTTACACGAACTCTCTCGATATTTTCCGGAGTACGAACAGTTCGAACACACGTTCCGACCTTGGCTTCAACTATTTGTTCAAATTTCCGCACCTACTGACGAATGGGCAAATTATTTCAACCGAAAAAATGACGCGCAATTTAAATCAGTCATTCATATATTGGCCACCCTGTATAATACCACTGTTATGTGGAAGATATTCAGTATTACGTATTACGTTACACTATATAGAATATGGTGTCCAAAAGACTATTCTGAATTTTCCGTAAGATTGTAGATATCGAAACTGAAATACTAAAAAAATCAAAGTGGCTCTTTACTTTTTCGTATCAGAATCATCAATTATTCATAAAACATTCAAAATGTTTCTATTCAATTTCGTCATCTTTTTCGTCTACTGAGTAAATTTTATACTACGCTTACAGCTTCTTCTACAACAAATGAAGTGGTAGATAGTAATAAAGAAGTATTATGTATTCCAGCTGTCAGAAGATTGGCCAAAGAACACAACGTAAGTACAAACTTTTTTATTAAGAAAAATCTAAATTTACTTTGCACAGCTTCGATAATTTTTTTGTATAAAATATATATATATATATATATATATATATATATAGATATATATATATATATACGAGTATATATATATTGAGGGTATTTCTATAATATCAAACTAATCGTAAAAAAGATGAAAGCAAGTATGTAATCACTTATCTTGTATGTTATTATGGATTTTTTATGAAATAATATTGCTACATTATTTTTATTACCATATCTTTTCGCAATGGCAATGAAAATTCCACATCAACACCTATACGGATCCAGCAGATAAGATCTATACTAAGTGACATATAAATCCGAACGCCCAGTTTAAATGGTTTTATTTTAATAAAATTTTGTATAAGTACTTAATGAAGCATAATAAGTAAATGATAAAAATTTCAAAATGACTGCACTGCTTTAAAGCCCTTTGACCTTTAATAATGTGTGGATGCACCCTGATGTGCTACACATTCTCCAACGCGCCTAGGCATGCTTCTGATCAGGTGGTCAATGTCCTCCTGTGGTATCTCATTCCAGGCAACCACCAACTCCTCTCCAAGTGCTTCTAGAGTCTGAGGAGGACGTTGCAAATTGAGCAATCTCCTACCAATCATATCCCACACGTGCTCAATTGGGGATAAGTCGGGAGATCTTGGTGGCCATGGTAACAATGTGACATCATTATGTTGAAAGAAGTCTATTGTGACTCTTGCAACATGTGGTCGGACATTATCTTGTTGGAAAGTTGGATCTGCCAGGGTGTCAAGATATGGTAAAAGATGGGGTTCTAGAACTTCGTGGATATAACGCTGCGCGTTCATGTTACCTCTGATGAAGATTAAAGGTGACCTGGAACCATAAGCTATAGCACCCCAAACCATAACTCCAACAGTGTGATGAACATGTCTTTCAACAAAAAACTGTGGATTCCTTCTTTCACCACGTCGCCTTCTAACCCTGGCACGACCATCGTGCATGCCTAAACAAAATCGAGACTCGTCACTAAAGACAATACTGTTCCATTCCTGATCCCAGAGTGACCGTTGTCTGCACCACTCAAGGCGATTACGTCGGTGTTCTCGAGTTAAAGGGAGGACCCAGTGTGGCCGGTATGAAAACAAGCCAAAACTTCTCATCCGTCGGTAAACACTTCGCATGCCAATAGGTCTTCCGTGTTATGCAAACCATTCATTTGCAATGGACCTGGTAGTGGAGAAACAGTCCCTTAAGGCCAATAATCGGCGGCGTCCAGTGCCCCTTGCTCTTTGCGTACGGCCTTCTCGAAGCCATGCCTTACAACACCTAACCACAGTGTCTACACTTCTTTGCACTCTAACTGCAATTGCCCGAAAAGAAAGTCCAGCTTCCCGAAGTCCCACTATACGGCCCCTATCAAACTCACTAAGTTGACGAAATCGTACAGGTCTCCGTACTCTAGGCATCGTAACCGATCGTAAAGGATGTCAAGAACCAAAATCTGCCAACGTTGATTCTTTACTGCGGCTTAAATATTTATTTTTAGAGCGTTAGTGAATTAAAAAAAAGCAGTATAAAAACCGAAATGTCCAACTGATAAGGCTGAAAATTTTTTCACTTGTTATTTACAGTAAGATAAATACATTCACCAACTTTTATTAAAATAAAACCATTTAAACTGGATGTTCGGATTTACATGTCACTTAGTATAACTTCTAGTATAATTTTCCATGGAATCAAAATAAAATATTGCTCACTACCTTTCTCTTTGGATGAGCAAGTTATCTAAAATCATTAAAATAAGTATTCGTATGTAAAACACAGGACGATTTCAGTAGTCCAGCGATGTTTGGTTTGGTAAAGCTGAAACCGGAGTTTGGTGGTAGGTGGTTCACAGACCCAATGTTGCCAAATTTGTACTGTACAGGGTTTGTCCGGAAAGTAACAGGACTCATTTTCTTCCGCCATGACTGTACTTCGGAGCGAATGAGGGGCTGGTCAGTTGTCTCCGAGGACTTGGAGAGTCAGGACAGGCATTTTCGCGCGACGTGTTTCTGCGAGTGGTGCAAGCTGAAAATGCGGCGTTCGTTAGAGCAGAGGTACTCGATTAAATTCTGTGTGAAACTCGTAAATCTGCGACAGAGACGTTTGATATGATCAAGCAGGCTTATCCAGGTGTTGCTTTAGCAAGAAGTGGTGTGTTTCGGTGGCACCAGACCTTTTTGGAGGGCCGGGAAGAGGTCGCCGATGAAGACCGTCCTGGAAGACCTTCGACTTCGACAAACACCGATAATGTGACTCGTGTGCGCAAAGTTTTGAACTCAGACCGTCGACTAAGTATTCGTTTAGTTGCCCAGATGTTAAATTTACCAAAATCTGTGGTTCATGACATTGTGACACAGCATTTGAACATGCGCAAGGTGTGCGCGAAGATGGTACCAAAAGTGCTCACTGACGACCAGAAATTGCGGCAAGTGGAAGTGTGCCAAGAAAATTTGAACATGTGTGAAAGTGACCCCCAATTTTTTAATACCGTAATCACAGGTAACGAGTCGTGGATCTTTGAGTATGATCCCGAGACAAAGAGGCAATCTTCCGAGTGGCACACGACGGCGTCTCTTCGCCCAAAAAAGGGAAGAATGAGCAAATCCAAAGTGAAAACGATGCTCATTGTCTTTTTTGACATCAAAGGCATCGTCCACCATGAATTTGTTCCTCCTGGACAAACCGTCAACGCCAAGTTTTACGTGGAAGTGCTCAGGAGACTCGAACCAAGGGTCAGTCGGGTCCGACAAGACATCGCAGCCGACTGGTAGTTGCACCACTTCAACGCCCCGGCTCACACCGCCTTTCTTGTGAACAGCTACCTGACCAAGGCCGGCATCCCAACGCTTCCGCAGCCGCCCTATAGCCCAGATGTCCCCCCCCGGACTTTTTTTTCTTTCCTCGCCTGAAAAGGCCGGTGAAAGGCAAGCATTTTGAGACGACAGAGGGGATCCAAGCAGCATGCACCGCGGCACTCAAGGTTATTCCGGAGAATGCCTTCCGTGACGCCTTCAATGCTTGGAAATCGCGCAGCATCGACGCAGAAGGAGCCTATTTTTAACGTTTTTAAAGAATTGTAACGATTGGCTCAATAAATTTGTTTAAATCGACTCAGTCCTATTACTTTCCGGACAAACCCTGTATGTATCCAAATACGAGGGTTGTCTCAAAAATATGGTACCCCCATTTTTTTCAGGCACAAGGAATTTCTCATTTAAAAACGAATTTACCATTGGACACGTTGAGACGTTTAATCCACTTTGCTGTTAGATTTCGCCAAGCATCACGCGTGGCAAAGTTACAGTGTTGGGAACATTATTTTCGGAACAACCCTGGTATACGTACAGCGTGCGAAAAACAAAAGTTCGCGTCTTGTTGGCCTACTAGTAATGTGCTTTCTAGTTAATTTCGGTGAACTAGTTCAATAGGTCGCGCCCACTAAAAGGAACTAGATCTGGGAACTAGTTCGCCACCGTACTATTTTACCCAAGATTAATGACGCCTGCAGCTGGAGCATGTATCTGTAATATGGTCTCCTACGCACGGTCCCTGAAAGAGGTTTTGACCATTCGGCACTGTTGAGAATCTTTCAAGTTGAGCCGTTACAACTAAGTCGCGATTTGTCGGTGCTAGGATTTTTAGTACGGAAGTACGGAACATTACAATTGATTGCTCCTTAATATTACATAAGTAAAATTAAAGTTCGCGTTTCTAGGTCAAGTAGCTGCTGCCAGAATTTGTTTTAACCTGACATTTGTAATACAAACATCGGCACGGATATTACGTATCTTAAAAAGTGACATTATTTCGATTTTTTTGACATTGTATTGTTTTTTTGTGACATTATGTAGGTTTTTCTACAAGAAACAACTTAGCACTAGCTATGGACACGTTGTGAACTCGTTTTCTAGTTGTACGTGTTGCCTAAGCGTCAGTTATAAATGTTTGGTGATGTGAAATCTGCTTCATAGATGGCATTACTGGTGGTGTAAGTTTTATACTATAACTAGAAGAAAACGGCAATGCATAGGTGCATATGAGGATTTGTGTGCTAATTGTCGATGTTCATTCCATTGGATTCTTGTCTCAAATACACTTACTTGAGATTTGAAGCTAGAAATTAGTTGCGCATCCACGAAATAATTATATTCACTATACACTATCGAAATGCAAGTCATATCTACTAACAGTAATTACACACAACGCGAGCGCGGTGGTGATTTCCGTAATTATCCTCAAAGTTTTTGAAAACACAAAAAACGTAAAAATCGTGATTTATAACTTTGAACATAACCTATCTTCAGAAAGGACAACATATAAATAACAAATAACCCGTCGGGCACAGCTAATAGATACACTTCATAGGCAGTTATGATTTTCTCACACAGCAAACATCACTGATTTTATACACATGCAGACCAATACACATAATCATCCAGATGCCATCTTGCTATTCAACCAACTTTCTCCTCAGAGACGAAAACGACAGACTATTCGGCTTCACAAACCATATGCAACCAACAATGCGTGTAGTTGAGCCATTCCTCCATAGATGGAAGCTCGCAACGATCCTAGTGGAATGACTGTTTGCATTCTAAAAACTACCTAGTCTGTAGGATGGCATTTTATAGATTTTTTTTGACGTTTCATAGATTTTTTACATAATACCCGTGCCGGTGTAAATCACCGCTAAACTATATGTGTAAGTATTTCAACCCAATTGTGATATTTTCTGTGATCCAAACTTTGGATTGGATTGTTACAGAGATTGGTACCTTGGTGTGATACAGAATCAACCTGTTAAAAGCTGTTTCCTTATGTCTAATACTGGCACACTTGTATACATTTTTTTGTTTTTCTTTTTTTATGTTCCGCTGTCGTTCAACTATTGATTTATTTTCGTTGTTGGTATATTTCATGTAATTGGGTGTAACCTGTTGGGAATTATAAGCATATAAATAAAAGAAAACATTTTTAATCTTGTTCACACTAATTTTTGTACGATTTCCGAGCTTAGCAAATGAAGCTATCGACAGTTTGATTGTTGTAGATCGATTTAACGAAAGTAAAAGGCACAGGACGAGATGGAAGGATACTGAAAGAAGATGCCCTGCATTATTTAGAGAATCTCAAAAAATCGCCAGCACCAACTCAACAGCCGCCCACTACAACGTCACAACCTCGGGTGCAATCCGTTCCTAGTGGAACCGATAGAGTTGAACCTATCAAAGGGTTCCAGAAGGCTATGGTCAAAACGATGACTGATTCATTGGTAAGAGAAACATTCATGCAAGATATATGAAGGTTTATTCAGTTAAAGCCAAGTATAAATACTGAAAGTACATTTCGTTATTTCGAATGATGATGATGAATTGGATATAGCCAAAATAACTCTCTTATTATGCAACTTTTATACATGTGATTTTCGGTATATCAACTTCTTTTGATGAGTTCTACAAGCTGTTAAAATAAATGACTCAACTTTGAAAACACCCTGTACAGTTTGATAAGCAGAGGTCGAAGATTCATCGTTCCTAAGTGAAAGTAACTAAGCACGAATCGATTTTACCTATTGAAACGACTCGACTCATTCTTGAAAACCTCCAAAGAAGGCGTAGAGTCAATCTACTCGACGCCAATTGGAAAAGCCACGTCTTTTTGCGTATCTAATCAACCTACATGATGCGATTTTCTTCTTCTGTTCCAGAAAATCCCGCACTTCGTGTACAGCGACGAACTCAAAATAACCCGCCTGTCTCAAATCCGCAAGACATTGAAAACCTCCCACAACCAGTCGATATCTTTTATGCCGTTCCTCGTCAAAGCCGTGTCGAACGCCCTGCAGCGCTATCCGGTCCTGAACTCTTCCATCGACGACAGATGCGAGAACGTCACCTACCATGCGAGGCACAACATCGGCGTTGCCATGGATACCAAAGTGGGATTGGCCGTGCCCGTCATAAAGGATGTGCAGGATTTGGGAGTGATGGAGATACACGCGGAACTAAGGAGGTTGGTGGAATCCGGGAAACAGGGGGTATTCAAGCCGAGCGATTTGGCTGGCGGGACTTTTGCTGTCTCCAATATAGGATCGGTAAGTATCGAAACAAGACAGCATAAAGTGCTATCTATTATAACAATCGACCACCGCGAGAGTGAAAACATCAGGCTGTATCGCTGGGTAGTCAGAATCACGAAAGATGACCTTTACGTCATACCATAAATTGTACTGAAGTAATCAATGGACGTACGTCGATGATAAAATCACGATGTCAGGAATAACAACAAATTTTGTATTAAATGATTCTGCGAAGTTAGGTTATTGCACTGATTATTTTTATTTTCATTTTATTTCATGGTTTTGAGGAATAACAAGTAAAAGAAAAAGCTTTATCGAAAATTACTTGTAATAGTAATCTTAGTGCGGAGTTTTAAAAAAAAACAGTTATGATTAGAATACCTTAAGACAGAAACACCAAATACCAAACTATTATTCGAAAACAACCTAACCTGCTTTAACATAACCTAACTACTACTCATCTTTCATATATGATCGATCTATCTTTGTCGGATTAATGCAAATTAGCAATACAGTTTGTTTAGACAATAAAATTATGTTTGTCTCTGTCTAGCATCTGAAACTTCATTAAAAATATTCACAAATCGCTGTTGTTTGTCTTCACTACAGACTAAAATGATGACGTAATCGTCATCTTTCGTGATTTCGACTATATATCAACTTCTTTTGACGAGTCTACAAGCTGTTGAAATAAATGACTCAACTTTGAAAACACCCTGTATATTATATAAATCATCTAGGTGCACCAAATTTCCGTTTTTATGGAAACATTTTAAAACTTTCTCATGCTTAAGAAAATACGATCAGATCAAAAAACGAAGGATTCTCGATAGTTGGATTAATTTTGTTTCCAAGATAATTTTTTCCGTAACAAAAATGTACAAACTATGAAAAATATTTTCATTTTTTGCAGATCGGAGGAACATACATGAAACCAGTAATACTTCCGCCTCAGGTGGCTATTATGGCTATAGGAACTTCACAAGTAAGTATACAGGGTGACGGGAAAATAGATGCGGAGCTGGTGGGAGGAGATAGTGCAAGCCAATCTGAGTCGATTTTACTATACGAACTACTGTCCGAAAATTAGCCTTTTTCGATTTATACTAATTTTTAAGATTGTATACTAAAATTAACGTCCTTTATACGTTAACCAAGTCATGAAACTTGGAAATTTGGTGTTTCTGTTTCTGAGGTCTTCTATTGTGGGTACAGGATTTTGATCAGAGTATACTAAAGTTTTCGTGCGACGCCACACAAAAAAGTCAATAGGTGTGAGATCGGGACTGCGTGCTGGCCATGGGATTGGTCCGCCTCATCGATTCGGAAACTGCTCATTTAACCAATTTCTAACACTAAGTCTGAAATGTGCTGGGCACCCGTAATGCTGAAAAATCATTCTGTGTCTTGTGTGTAGCGGTACGTCTTCAAGTAATTCAAATAGAACATTTCTTAAGAAATTTTCGTAGGCTTCTCCATTTAAGTTGTCGGGTAGGAAATGTGGTCCTACGAAACAGTTATTTATAATGCCCATCCAAACATTCAGACAAAATCGCCTTTGAGATCCTTTTGGTCTATTCATATGAGGATTTCCCACTGCACGTTCACGAAAAATAGTGAGGGTTATGGTAGTTTGTTTTGCCGTCTTTATCAAATTTTGATTCGTCGGTCCATAGAATGTTTCTTAAATAATTGCTATCTTCATCAGCGTTTAAAGTAAAACGACAACATTGCATGCGTCTCATGGGATCTCCTTCCTCTATGACGTGCACAGGTGTATAGTGGTAAGGGTGGAATATGTTTTCATGCAAAACATACCACACTTGCCATTGGGATAATCCAATCCGTCGAGCCACAGCGCGAGTAGAGAAAGTAAGGTCTCTTTGGAAAATATTTAATATTTCTTCTTCTTCTTCCACATCATGTCGAGGTCTACCTGCATCACCTGAAATAAAATGAAAAAACAAATAACAACAGTTTTTTGGAGGAAATTGTTACCTAATAAACATAGCGGTAAGACTATGAGCTAGAGTTGGCAAACTATTATTTAGAAAAAATGATACACAACGTGTGGATGTTTCCATCATCAGAGCCATGTAGATGCTCGTGTTAAAATTAAATGAATAAACTCTTAATTAAGAAGTTCAATCAACTGTATCAAAACAACTATGTTACAGTATCATCGGTTCAGCCCACAAACCTCCAAGGCTCTACATAGGCCTTACTGAATGACTGATTATGATAAGTTAATAATTATCAATGATGCAAACTTACCTTGGACTCTTACGAAGGTACCGCGCTCTCGAACCCGACGGAACGTGTGCCTAAATACGCAAACGTCAGGTAGGCGACGATTGGGAAACATTTCCCCATACTTACGACGAGCTTCTTCAGCATTGCCTCTGGCATCTCCATAGTAGAGAAGGATATCGGCATATTCTTCGAAACTGAACGGCCGTCTCCTTTGTTCATCAGCCATTGTTCATCGATAGGTAGATCATCGAACAATCAAGTCACACAGCAACCAAGTCGTAAGGAATCACAGAAAACAGGGTACAGTCCAACAAGAGCCAAGTCGTTAGAAATATCAAAACAGCGAGCGAACAAGTCGCAAGAGCAGATTGAAGCGCGAGAGGAAGGGGGGTGACCAGTCTTACTTATCACACTATTCCGGTGGCAAAGTCCGATGTTCGCGGCTCTCCCTGTTTCTTTCACTCATATCTTTGTCATTTCTAAACAGGTTTGTGACTTTGATACCTCATTTGAGAGGTAATGAAACGTAGATATTTTAAAACTGTTTTGCACGAAAAATTTGTAGGTGAGTGTTTCTAGTAAATTGAGTTTTTGAGATGAACGAAGATTTTTTTGACAAAAATTGAACTATTTTGAAGCTTACTGCATGAGATAACGTCAATAATGTACATTTGAGTATCTATTTTCGTATTTTAGAATATTTTTACTGTAAAACCGAAAAACAATCAAATGAAACACCCAATTTTCAAGTTTTATGACTTGGTTAACGTACAAAGGACGTTAATTTTATCAAAACTTAAAAATTAGTATAATTCGAAAACGGCTAATTTTCGGACAGTAGTTCCTATAGTAAAATCGACTCAGATTGGCTTGTACTATCTCCCCCCACCGGCTCCGTATCTATTTTCCCGTCACCCTGTGTAACAATCTTAAAACTGTCTTGTGTTAAATAATAATCAATTGTCAGACTTCAAACGTAGATTGACAATAAATTATTGACAATCACAGAATAACAGAATAATTTCAATCATAATGAATCATCCAGGTAATACTAGTTGTTCAAAGGCCTAGTAACTGAGCAAGATGATGCAAATAAAACCAAACTTTGTTCCAACTGTTTATACTTGCTCATACAAAACAAATAATAAATTTTTCTTGTCTAAAAAAATAGCTTGCTCCATCAAAATAATTTATGAATTTTGAGCCTTATTAATTATTGATCTCAACGGAGAACAAAGCATTCTTATTCACACCAGAAATACAATCTTACATGATGATGTATGAGTTCCTTTTATGAATCCTGAACGTTTGTTCCAGTTGCTGCCAAGGTATGATGACGACCTTAACATTGTGCCAGAAGAAATAGCCAACATAAGCGTTGCTGCAGATCACAGAGTCATAGATGGTGCTACAGTTGCTAATTTTGTAAAAGACTTGAAAAAACAAGTCGAAAATCCTTATCTACTATTTCTGAATATTTGATAAATAAACTGATTGCATCCACAATTTGTGTATTACTAGAATTGTATCCACCGCAATTAAAAATTGATGCATTTCCATGTCATTATCTGAGACTTAACCTCCAGAATAATACATACAGGTCAGTTAATTTCCGAACTGGACTGCCAATAATGAACAATGCGAAAGAGAGCTACTGTTGTAGACAGCAAGATCCAAGCTTTATATTGGAAAACTTGATATATCCTAATTTTATTTTTGCAAGCTTTTTTATGAAGCCGAGTTTCAAAGTTTCCTGGCCAGTACATGATTTTGTAAATGGGAATTTTGGTGAAACTCGGCAGGCGAATGAAAATTGAACATATTACTCAATAAAATAATTAAATATCCTATTGCACTTGTTGAAATATTTTTTTATTCGGTTATTGTTACTTTTATTGAATATAAGGCTTTTCTTTTGAGAAAACTCTGAAATCCATTCCTGGTTATATTTTGCATGCTACCCATTTTAATGAATTTTTCGACATTAACTTTAACAAAATCAGTCGTTCAATGTCTCAATCCAAGAAATCAGTTCCTGGTTGAATATAAAAGGATAAATGCATATTAATTAATTTGAAAAATACATACTTGATATTTCGGAAAAACCCAAGAAATCCTTGCTTTCCCTAGTGGTTGTCAAGCAAAATCACAATATTGACATTTTTGACACAAATCAGCTGTTTTCTAGAGTGAAATGGGAATTCCCTGTCAAATTCTTCTTTACCATGACATCTCGTCGGCAGGTGCTGCCATCTCAACAAGTACCACAACACTCAAATGAAAGACTTTTCAAAAAATTTAAAAACTCACAATTGTTTATTTTCCAAAAAAAATTTGGAGTTATTCAGTTTTAATCAGGTTTAAACTGAAATGTATGTCATGGATTTTTAAGTGATCTATTAGTAATATTAAGAGGGATTTTCTGTATGAAATGAAAGCAGTGATTGTGTTGTCATTGTACGTCAGCTGGTTTGCCAAACGAGAGATGGACTTGACTGGAGAGCAATGGCGGCGCTCTGTCCAGGTGTTCAGTATGGGTTATCCTCACAGCAAAATTTCGGTGAAAATAAGGACTTGATATTTGTGAAATTGACCGATTCGGCGTTACGTGCAATTGAAGAATACCTAAAAAATCAGGTGAGTGATTATTTCCATATTTTCTGCATGTAGAGAGCACTGCAATCTGTTGCCCGAATCCGTACTAGTCGCCATATTCTAAAAACTTGTTAACCTATTATAAATTATTTTGAAAATATCTACGGAGTTATTTGGGGTTTTACATGCTAGTTAGATGCTTAAAGGTCCGTATTTTCGATGTATACAGTGAAAAACTTTGAAATCTTCCCGTAAAACTCGTAGCCACGTCAACATATTGAACATTTTCTTCGTGAGTATTTTACGAAATTTTTCAAAAAAGTTACTTCACAAGCATTTCTGGAATTAGCTAGTCTCGGGATCGGGCGAGCTCAATTTTTTCGAAACTGTATTGGAAAATTTTATCGAGTAATTATTCTTGACCATGAAAGGAATGAGTTGAAATTTAAGAAAGTAGTATTTTAACCCAGTACTCTTGTCTAATATAAACTTGTTTTGAATTGTAATTTTAGCTTTTTCTTTTGACGTTTTTCATCGTCGACTCGGTAGATGTTAGGTCATAGCTTACGTATTTCGTTGAAAGGTGAAAATCGTTTGTTATGGACAAAAAAAGGCGACTAATCTCACAAAAACTTTCAAAATACTGACTTGTTTGACTCAAAGATATTTTTTGTATTCTCAAAATAACTCTTTAAAACGTTATGAAATCGTGAAAAAATTTAAATAAGAAACTCAATCTACAGTGTGACAACTAACATGTAATGTAAAACAATACATTGATTTTCTTACAAAAGATAATACTAAAGATTTATGAAAATATCTGTATAGCAAATAAGAATGATTTTCTGACCCCCATCTACTATGAAAAGTATTCTTATAATAATTCCAATATGTGTTTACTTCAGAAAACAATGCATTGTTAAAATCAGGATCTAATAAAAATCCAGGCAATATAGAATAAAGTTGTTTTTTTCAGTGTTGTGCAATAAACATTTGAGGTTTACATACATTTGCGTTAATTTGCCAATAGATTGCACGTAGCGTATCAGAATTTGTTAATTTCCATACTTTTGAGGACCAAGAAACTGAAAAAGTGTTATTTATGGAAATACTAATCAGCTTTTCACCTGTTGTTAAAATTTTTCAATGAGAACTAATCATTTTTCTTTAACTATAGTCTAGTAATATCCTTAGACCTCTACTACTGTCTTTTGATATTTGTAAGCTATTTCAACTATAGCATGAGGTCTAAAACATACAAAAATATATTTTGCTTATTGAAATTTAAATGATTATACTGTCCTCATAAATGTGTTGAACTTTTTTAAAATGCTTATCTAATACATGATATTATGTATCACTCAAGTCTTGAGATATGCTGATGTGAGTTACTGAACTGCACTGTAAGATATTGATATTTTTGGGATAATGGATCCTTTGAAAACAATAATCAAATTGATCTGAACCAGTGGAATTTTTAGCAGTGAAAATTTTCCTTGCAAATTATCTTTATCACAAAATATATTGAATGTAATTTGCATATGGAATTACCAGCATCATAATATATGCTCATTTGTATTATCTATAACACAAATAACTAATCAACACTGCCAATTGATTGTGTGAATACCAGCACAGGATTGTAAATATTATAAATAACTATGATCATTAACAAGAAAGATTAAATAAAAACTAGTTCTTTTGAGTTTTTGGATTTGTGACACTCCTAGTCATTCATAAAAAAATGTCGCTTCTCAGGCATTTGAGTTCATTGCAAATGGCATAAATAAGGAATATAAAAACTAGGTATTTTGAATTCAAAGCCTGAGACTCAGACGTATGTCACTATTTGTCTTATTTTCATTTAATTACTATTATCTAACAACTGCTATGCCAAATTGTCCTAATCACAAAACCTCTTGAGATTTTTCCCGATGTTGAATAGTGATCTTGATTTGCGGAGCTCTTCGAATGTTCCAATGTATGCAATCCTTAAATTGAGTGTTGCAATTATCATTCCATAGAATTTCAAATTCTGATGTTGAGTCAACAGCACCAAAACTTAATTGGTTGTAACAACTTTCACCGTGTTTGTGCTTGAAAAGTAACACTTTTATAGTTATTTATTTGTGTATTCAGTTCAGAATGGGTATTATCACTTGCAAACTACTGTTTACATGTCAAATTACCACGTAAAGTATCGTTTATTGGCACATGTGCATCCATGTAACAATTTAAAGCGTATTTACAGAAAATTTGTTTTATGTGAAAAAATAGAATTTCTAGGTTTTTGTATTGTTTTTTGTGTTTTTATGGATTGTTATTCTGCTATCGAAACTTTCTAGAAATGTTGTCCTGTGTATAGATTTTGATAGCATAATGATAACAGAATTTCACACAATAGTATTGAAAAATAAGTGAAATAAGATTTATGGATAATAAGTGAATACATATGATTGCATCTAACGTGTCACAAGAGTTATTTGAGGGTATCTTATCATCCGGGTTGCTGTCGCGTTTTAGTCCTGCCAAACGAACCTGCCAGGCTTGTCGTTCTTAGTCTAACTCGACAGAGTTCTGTACATTTAAAAAACGGATGAACTTTTAGTATTTAGGCTGTGACGTCACGTATAAATATTCATAACAAATAGCAACGAATTATCATCAATTTCGGTGACACTCAAAAAAAACTCTTCAACATGTCATGTCCAAACTTGTCACATCGAAACGCTTTATCTGCAAATCTGATATCAAATGTTTTTGCAGTGTTATGCAAAAGCGGACTTGTTATTCCACTTCGCAAATATTCATAGTCAATAAAATAGCTACTCCTTATCTGGTAAACACACACGAGTACACGCAAGATAAATATTTCTGCTAATCGAAATCTCGAAGCCTGTGGAATGATTCAAATTGGTTTCTTTTCGGAAATAAGATTTTTTTTGTTCAACATGTTCGATTAAAATTTCGGTATATTTTTTATTCATGTAGCTATGTTTGACTATAATTGTGGCACCTATAGCTAATCTATATTGCAGCATATTTCTGTTTTTTTTTTTTCAATATTGTCGGCAATCACATGAACGTTTCAGAATTTCTCATCAGAAGGGCTATAACATTAGGGAATAATGGCTGACAAAATTGTACGCGTCATGGCTGCTGACATTTATATCGATTACATGAAGACCTAGCCTCGAGTACTGCTCACATATTTGGGGTGCATTCTCGGGACCCTTTCGCGATCTGGCGTTCTTCCACCGCTATGTCAACGGGCTTTGCTCCGCCATGATGTCACCGCGCGATATGCCTGCCAGACAGACCCGCCTGACTTCGTACATCCAGAACTTGCCTTTGTCCCAAGGGTGTCAAGATTATGGAACACTCTGCCTGACGAGGCTTTTTACAACCTTAGGCAGTTCAAAAATAGGATAGGAATAGGATATATTTGTGAGAAAGAAGACGTTCCAACGATGTGACAACTTGATCGATCATCTCGACGCCATTTTTTGTCAGGTATACATTTGCGAATGTACTCGTATATCATATTGTATCAGGCCAACCGACATACGTATAATTGTTTAATTGCCATTCAATTTGCCGTCGCTAAAACAAGGTTTTCGTACGAAAGAATCATGTCAATAACACGTCGTACACTAATTCAAACGCCCAAGATATAATTTATTAGAAAAAATGCGCGAATACAATCCGCAACCAGTTTTTCAACCTATTAAGCGCGAGCAATACGCGATTTTCAAATGGGACGCATACCTTTCGAATCTATAAATTTCACCTAGACCTATTAAATGACTCCTAAAACTCGAAGAGATCGGTGTCGGTGTGTCTCGTTCATCTGCATGTTGATCGCGTCTATCAGGTGCGTTCACTAAATTGCTAACCTTCGTTTTGCAATAGACTACTTTTCTACTTTCACAGAATACATGGGTATTTCGTACAGCGTTTGGTTCAGGAAAATGAACTACAGGGTTCGTGCCGAAAGTAATAGGACCGAGTCTTTTTAAAAAAATTTATTGAGCCTTTTCAGGCGAGGAAACAAAAAAAAGACCGGGGGGACCACATCTGGGCTGTAGGGCGGCTGCGGAAGCGTTGGGATGCCGGCCTTGGTCAGGTAGCTGTTCACAAGAAAATGTATATGAGTGATGTGAAAGAAATTTATAGTGATATTTTGATCATAGTTAGCGACAAAGTATCAATTTTCATCGAGATCATTTGAGGTCATAGACAAATTACCTTTGTTATCGTAAAACTTTTTTTAGAAACTCTTATCCAGAAAATGCGCGGTTGACAAGTTTTCGAGGCGGTCGGGTATTTTACAGACAAGCCATGCCTATACCCTTCGTGGGGTATGAATTAAATGTAAAAATTTTTATATCTCTTCGTATGGTGGCTCAGACGTGATTCTAGCAGATTGGAGAGACATTCATATTTATACAGAGTGTTCGCAAAATAGACGGATATATTGGTGATTCCTTGTTAAAAAATATGAACAAAAGTTTCTATAAACAAAGGTCCGGAAATGCAGATGATAAATTTAAAAAAATCTTTTTTATTAATATCTTTAAAAATCAAAATATATACTTGATCCTGTCGAAATCTGGCAATATCATTTGTTGTATTAAGAGGCTAATTTAACCGTAAATAGATTAAAATTATTAGTTCCAGTGGCGTCCCGGGGGCACCTTAGAGAATATTATTGGCTAAAAAATGTACTCCACTGCCTTTTTTGTAACTTTAATATCTGCTGTTTGATTAAGCATACAAAAATAAGTTCTTTGCCTCTTGTATTTTTTTCGTTTTCGAGAAAAAAATAAAAACCGTTTGATTGCATGTCACTGAACAAAATTGGTTTATTAATTTTTGCTAAAAAAATCACAAGTGCCTTGGAAAATAAAAATGAAAAAATATCCTCTTAATACAACAAACGATATTGCCAACTTTCAACAGAATCGAGTTTTTTTCATATTTTTTAACAAGGGATTTCACCCTTTTTTTATATCGAAGCAGCCGCGCAGGCAGAAGCCTAA